GAAATCATGGGCAGGTCATGCGGCAGGGCTGCTATGACAGGTAGAGACTGCAAAGTACATTCTGAACCAGGCTTCATGACATGCACAAAACATTGACTGCTTTCTGAGAATGATAAATGATTTCAGTTCACATTCAGTGTAACATCTCTCTCACACACACAGTGACAAACTTGTTCACTTGTATATCGAGCGTTTATATAACGATGCTCATGCACAGAAACATTGACTCATGCAGAGACTCAGACATGTTCGCGTGTCCAGCTTATGCCGCAATCTGTCAACTAATACGCCTCTATTCACATATTAAAGGCCGATTATAATCTCTGTATAGAAAACTGATGTGTAAAGCAAACACCGGGTAAAACAGCTAACCCCAAAGCGTATTCCTCCAAACATATAAGAATCGTATAATAAAAACACGTCATGTTCAGCTGATGTAATCGCGGTACCGCTTTTTAAACATTCTTGTGAACGTGTAACTGTCAATCTTTTGACTTAAGAAATACAGGGATAAAATTGCGCCCTTAGCGGGCTAGCGGCTAGTGAGGCCTTCACTAACAAAACACAGCCCTAGCAAATGCTGCAGAATAACTGTTTTAGTCATTACATTCTTATAATCATCAACCAGAATGTGTTATATTCGAAATATGTACTTTACCTTCTCTTTTTTTGTTTTATTCGGCATTTTGCAAATGTTGTCTTTAGCCGTGCCTCCGTGATAAGGCTTCCCTTGCACTCGGGCTCTCGCGCACACTGTTACCTCCAGCTCCCGCGCCCTCCCTTACCAGCAGCACGCTCATTGGTCGACAAATCGCCAGTCCACCTAGCAACAGTACAACGGTATTTTTCTATTGGCTGGCCGGCGAACCAGACGGTCTTGAGTTTCCCAAACGGGGTCCAGGCTGCGCCGATGAAGGATCTAGCGGTCAGCTGTTGTTGACGACTTATATACAGAATACTTTTAATTTGATTTTATTAAAAGTAAATATTTTATATATAGTATATATACAAGTATATATTTTATATTTTTGTACGTTCTATCAACAGCATCAATGTTTATTTTTCTGTTGTCATATATATATATATATATATATATATATATATATATATATATATATATATATATATATATATATATATATGTATGTATATATTGCAATTCCATGCAAATGTCAACCTTGCCATGAAAAAAAATTAAGTTTTCGCCAAAATAGCACAACCGTCTCTGCATTTTTTGTGTAGGCTCATATTTTACAGTGGTTTAATAATACTAAAAAATGTCTCTGTCTGTGTTTTCAAACTAGTCTATTTGTTTACCAAAGTCACACAAGTGGCACGTTCACATCCGTCGCATAACAGAGAGATGTCACATCCATAACGAAGCTTTTTCCTTACAAATGCAAACATGTAAAATCAAATAAAATCAATCAAGTTTGTTCTATAGAAAGGCAACTCTTATCCTTTCGATGATCATCCTTTCTTTTGGGTCGTCCAGTTTAATTCACAGAACTTCTATAAAGTATGTTGTATACTGTAAACCTGCAGACGTTTTTGGTCATGATGACGCATGTTTATTTTTAAAATATAAAAAAAATGTTTACAGTTTAATATAATGTTAACATAGACGTTCTATGTCAACTTATGTTTTGACATTTTACTGCAAAAGTCACACCCATAACGCTGGAATTGCTCATATATATATATATATATATATATATATATATATATATATATATATATATATATATATATATATATATATATATTAAACATGTTTGTGTATGTGTAACTGTCAATCTTTAAGCTTAATATATTTAATATCATATGATATATTTAATATTCACATATTGTCTTATCATGTGTCTTACACATGATATTAAATATATCATATATATATATATATATATATATATATATATATATATATATATATATATATATATATATATATATGTGTGTGTGTGTGTGTGTGTGTGAAGAGTTCTGATGCAAAAACCTCTAAATGCCATCTGAAAAGTTCTCCTATAATAAAATAATTTCATTTTAAATGAAATTCGTGGCACCATAAAAGTCAAATTACTGAGCCTATACACAGGAGTCAGAGAAAAATGCTAATTTTACAAGAAAATATCAGATGGCTTTTAAAGGTTTTTGCATCAGAACTATACACACACACACACACACACACACATATACATACATATATATATATATATATATATATATATATATATATATATATATATATATATATATATACACACATGTTAAAAATAATAATAACAAAAGCAAATTACACTATTTTGATGTAAATGCATTTTTATTATGCTTTAAAAAACAGCTTTCTTCACAACAGAACAAAAAAATTAAAGCTAGGGTGATAGAAAGTACAAAGATTTAATATGTAAGATTATATACTTTTAATAAACTGAACTTTTTGGGAGGGTCAGTATGCCTACTTTATATACTCATTAACTTAGACTAAGTGGTGCATTTTATCGTACTTAACTCGTATTCTTTTCTTATAAACAAGTTTTCTCAATAAGAAAACATTATATATATTTTAAGTAAAACAGACTATAAAATGCCTTCAATTCGAAAAAAGGTTTTAAGTAGTTTATATTTTACAATCGTTTCTAAAATAAAGTCATTTAAATATTGTCTGCTTATTAAAATATACATATAGTAGCATCTACTGCCATCTATTGGTACATTGCGTTTATGTTTGGACAGGACACGACCCTCCATTTCGGACGTGAAGGGGGGGGGGGGGGGGGTCATGGGGTGGTTAAGGAAACAAAACATACAAGATTTTATACTCAAGCTTTTATTCAACAAATACAAAAACACAAAATAATTATTTTTAGGTCCAAATCTTAAACGTTTTGGCTCAACTTCTTATTTAAAATAAAAGACAGATCACACCAAAATGACAATTTTTGTCCATCAAACACTACTGTTAATGTTGACCTTCGATTCAATTGTTGTTAACTGTTTTATATTCGGTTAATTATATTTTACATGAACCACCAGAAAAAGTAAATTAGTAACATTTAATGGATGCTGATTTATAAATCTTTTAAGAGATCAGCACTTCCGGTGAACTGTCTTTCCATTTTAAAATTGCCACGTTTAAGGTGATTTCTTTAAAAATAAGCAATCTTCACTGCCTGATAGATATACGATATAAAGTGGGTCTCAGATCGGACAAGAAGCACTGCATCAAATCCCATTTCCGCCACGATTCTTTAAAACATGACATTATCTTACCCCAGTATTTCCAATGGAGTTTCTGTAGTGACCTGCTGATCTTGACGACACAAGCGGTTACACAATCTTTTATTTAGTTTTACGCTTAAACTAAACGAATGCTTATGTCTATTTAACTGAATGTATTGTAATTCAATAAAACATTGATGCTGCAAAAGGAACATTGTGAAATTGTAAATAATTACATGAAGCGTGCACTGGGTGTTTACCATTGGCTGAAAAACACTAGCATACTGTGCACATACCCCATTGGTTTCAAATCTGTAGTTTCCTCACAAAATACAGTATATTCTAAAGAATAATGGAACCATTCACATCCATAGAAGGAAAAAATATATTAGAGAAGTTAATGGTCAAAACTTTTAAATAAATTTTTTTCCAAGCAGAATACAAAATCTAACATATTTAGAACAATCGGAGAAACATTTGGCTATACCTATAATTACCAAGGACCAGTGAAATATAATTTTTGTCAACTCTAACACAAACCCCGCCCACTTTTCAAAAATTTTATCCTGCACATGCCCCTTGGGTAGTCTCTGCACGGGACTGATCCCCGTGGTGTTTACCTGGTGCCATGAACTGAATCCTAGGAGACTCAAGCATATTATTTAAAGAGATTATGATTTAGTTTGATGCCTAATATGCTTTTAATTGTTTAAATTAAACTTGACTAAATGGCATTAAAGTGATGTTTGCGCCACAAATGCACTCTGAAATGGTTGCAAGAGCTGGAGGTTTGTAGTCCACAGCTTGTTGTTGCAATGTTTACAGTGTTGATCCAATACTTCCAAGTTTCTTCCCACCGTAGCCTCGATTTAACTAATTTATTTATTTTTCAATAGTGGTTGGTGGAATAAGTGTATTGTATTGATTAACATACACTGAATGACCAAGACCAAGGCACTTACCTTCATGGTAAACGGCAGCTTTTTCCCGATGCTCCTCTGTGGCTGAAGATATCGGCTGAAATATTACTGACATTACATCACAGTGTAAACAAGTCAATCCATACATGCAGCAAACGCCTGTTTGAAGACTGCAATTAAAATAAATAGTTATAGCTTGAACTGTTTTCCCTGTAAGAATTCAATTCTGGAAAATATCCCCATATGAACAATGCAAAACTACACATTTAGTAAACAACTACAGTAACGTTATGTTAAAAATGTTCAGTTAACTATTACCTTTAAATATGTAACAAGAACTAAAATGTACATCCATATTCACATTTGATGTTTGCAATATAGTAATACAATGATCCTCTGTAACCAAACAACAGAATAGATTTGTATATAACATCCATCGTGCAAAATGACTTTAGAATAGTTTTATATGCAGAAATCAATTACACTCATGTCGAGTTAAATCAATGTGTATACAAAAATTAAAAAAGATGCACAAGTCTAACAGCAGCAATAATGTTAATAAGAAGCAAAGCCAGAAAGGGTTGCTGTGATTTATTTGAGCTAGCACAGAACTTGTGCAGTTACACCAACTATCTGTAGATGCTAATGCAGTATGGTAGCAATATGAACATTAACACATTTTTTTTTTCATTTGTTTGTTTTTCAGAAAAGAAAAAAGAAATCTTGAAAGAAAAGCTACCAACACATAGTACAGCGTAAGTAAAAACTACAGAGACCAAGCCGGGTATTTTCTGGGCAGAATTGTGAATGCATATGTCCTTGAAGCATGAACGCCACGCCATTTGTCTTCTCTGAGCCTGGATCTTTCTGACTCCTGCATTAAAATATCTTCGGTGATTTAAGTGAAACGAATAGAGCAAATGGTTTTAAGAGTCTGAAATGTTTGATACACATCATATTCGTTATATGCTTTACGTTACCTTTGGGGAAAAAGGAATGGTTTCTGCTGGAAACAAATAAGGAAACAAGAAGCTCAACACCAGGTGTTTTTGACAAAAAAAAGCAAAACTTTCACACATATTCATGGTTCATTACTTGAGGAAAGTTTTCAATCTCTTTGAGGGATTCCTTCCCCCGGCACCCACTTCAGAATGAATGCTTTTCAGTCCACGCTTTCACTGGCATTACCTGCCAAAAGGTTAAGAATAGACATGAAACATTCTAACTGGGTCAAGCAAATACAAAGAATACTTCAAAATCACGTATTTACATTCAGAGTTAACATGTACATCCCTAAACCTACTCTTGGAAGGTCCTTTACAGAGGCTCAAAACTGAATTCAAATGTGTCCAAGTTCAGTTGTTCGGTGAAAGAGCCAGGAAGAGGAGAGAATGCCATGGGCTCCTCTGAATCCAGAGGCAGTTCCTCATTGTTTGTCTGCAGTAGTGTGTCCACACTGTTAACTTCCATGTCAGTAACATCCCCCATAGTGATATCAATAGATTTAAAAGCTTGCTGATCATCAAGATTTTCTTTTGCATCAACGTTTTCATTCTGAATGTCAGGTTTTAAGATTGCCTCAAATGATTGTTCAACATTTGGGTCTTCGTTCTTAGGAGATTCTTCACCCTGAACCACTTCTGTGTCCTCGTTGTTAAGGGTTTCACTTTGGGCAACTTCTAAGTCCTCGTTCACAGGAGAATTTTCCCTCTCTGAAGCATTCAAGTCTTTATTCTTGGGAGGTTCTTCACTCTGAGCCATTTCTGTGTCCTCGTTGTTAAGGATATCACTTTGGGCAACTTCGGAGTCCTCATTAACTGGAGAATTTTCACTCTCTGATGCATTTAAGTCTTCGTTCTTGGGAGATTCTTCACTCTGAGACACTTCGGTGTCCCCGTTATTAGGGGTATCACTTTGGGCAATTTCTGAGTCCTCATTCACCTGAGAATCTTCACTCTCTGAAGCATTTAAGTCTTGGTTCTTGGGAGATTCTTCACTCTGAGCCATTTCTGTGTCCTCTTTGTTAAGGGTTTCACTTTGGGGAACTTCTGAGTCCTCATTCACTGGAGAATTTTCACTCTCTGAAGAATTTAAGTCTTGGTTCTTGGGAGATTCTTCACTCTGAGACACTTCGGTGTCCTCCTTGTGAAGGGTTTCACTTTGCACAACTTCTGAGTCCTCATTCACTGGAGAATCTTCACTCTCTGAAACCTTTAACTCAACATTTTGGGGAGATTCATCACTCTGAACCACTTCTGAATCCTCATTGCTGAGGGGTTCTTCACTTTGGGCAATTTCTGAATCCTCATTCATAGGAGAATCTTCACTCTCTGAAACCTTTAATTCCACATTTGGGGGGGATTCGTCACTCTGAAGCACTTCTGAATCCTCATTGCTGAGGGGTTCTTCACTTTGGGCGACTTCGGAGTTCTCATTTGTGGGAGAATCTTCACTCTGTGAAATCGATAAGTCCTCGTTTTTGGGAGATTCGTCACTCTGAGCCATTTCTGAGTCCTCATTACTGAGGCCTTCTTCATTTTGGGCAACTTCTGAATCCTCATTCACTGAAGAATTTTCACACGGTGAAAACTTTAAATGTTTACTCTTGGAAGAATCTTTACTCAGGGCCACTTCTGAATCCTCTTCGTTGAACGATTCTTTACTTTGTGTAACCTTAGGATCTTCGTTCTTGGAAGATTCTTTGCTCTCTATGTCTAAGTCCTCATTGAGAGGTTCTTTACTCTGGGCAACTTCTGAGTACTCATTATTGGTAGATTCTTCACTCTTTACAACATTTAAGTCTTCATTTTTGGAAGATTCCTTGTTTTGAGCAATCTTTGAGTCCTCATTATCATCTTTTCTTTCAGCAACATTTGCCTCCTTGTTCTTTAGAGATTCTTCATTTGCTGTAACTTGCGAGTGCCCATTAGAAGGGAGTACTTTGCCCTGGAAAATATCACAAGCTTTTTTGTCTTTATTGTTTGAGTTTTTACAGGTTGAGCCACTGTTCGAATGTGCAAATCCAGGGTCTTGTTTGTTGACAACTAGGGCACTAACAGAGGTTTTAGCAGTGGTGCCTCCACTGTAGAAAATGTCAAACAAATCTTTTGCTTTTCCCGCTGCAAGTGTCTTTGGCTTCACCATTTTGGGGGGCTGGGCTCTTACATTAGATGGATGCTGAGGAGGAGGACGAAGGACTAAAGTTTGCTTCCGCTCCTGCTCAGGCACTCCAGGAGCAGCGACATCAGACTCGAGAGTGACAACACGTTCAGGCTGAAGGACGGGTTTCAACTGGGAGGGTTTTACAATTTCTGGGGCTGCAGTGAGAGTTGGAGCGGGAGATAGAATGGGAGGTGGAGTCGAAGATGGAACGAGAGGTGGAGCGGGAGACGGAGCAGAAGATTGAGTGGAAGACAGAGCGGAAGATGAAGCAGGAGCGGGAAGTTGAGCAGAAGATGGAGCAGGAGACAGAGAGGGAAGTGGGGCAGAAGATGGAGCAGGAGACGGAGCGGAAGGTGGAGCGGGAGACGGAGCAGAAGATGAAATGGGAGACGGAGTGGGAAATGGAGGTGGAGCAGGTTTGTTGAAGATCTCTACAGGGCTCTCAAGAAGCTTTGCCTGTTTTAACTGTACCTCTTCTCCACTAAATGCCTTGGAAATAAGGTCTGCTGACAAAGCTGTGCCCTTTTGCGTTCCTGTTAAAGGGGCAGGAAATTTGTCACTTAAAGCAGGTGGTGTTGGTTTATTCGGCACACCTGAAAAAGACTTCCTAATAACCATTGGAGATAGCGGAGGAGGTAAATTGGTATTACTTTTATTTTCGTTGAATGCCAGCCATTCACCTGAGGGGGGAATCATGGCCTTTCCTGTCAACTTGATTGCAATTGATTTTGCAGCAGCTACAGATTTGGAAAAAGGATCAAGCTCTTCCTCCTCCTTTTCTACTTCATCTTCCTTCAAGAACTGTGCTGCCATCCTCTCTGCCTCCTTCTCCAGTGCAGTCTTTTGAGGCTTTTTACGACTAAACTTTCCAAAGCCAGGCCGACCAGCAGCCTCCTCGTTCTTTTTGCGAAGTTTAGCCAGCAAGGCAGGACTTGGGCCACATAAAATTTTAGGAGGCTCAATTGGTTTCTCTGGTTCTGTCTTGACATCTTTAACATTGGACATTCCTGCGCTTGCCTTGTCATCTCTGAAAAGACCAGCCTTGCCCTTCTGATAAGGTGTTTTATCGTCCTTTTTATCAAACTTGCCGCCACTCTCTTGGTCCTCGTCCCACTTTGATTTAGGCCACTTCCCCCAGTTCTCCCCTTTGTATTTTGACTTCTCCTCTACCTCTCGAGTGTATTTGTATCTTTTATCCTCCTCTTTGTCATATCTTGGCTTCTCATCCTCCCTGCTATACCGGCCCCTATCGTCATCTTTTCTATATCTGTATCTGTCATCATCATCCTTGTATCTATGGTATTCATCATCATCATCATCTCTGTTTCTGTAATGATCCTCTTCATACCTGGAACTCTCCCCTTCCCTCTTTCTGTACCTACGAGAGCATTCCTCTTCTTTCTTGTACCTGTTTCGCTCATCATCATCTTTTTTGTACCTAGATTTCTCTTCCTCTTCCTTCTTTATTCTGGCTCTCTCATCCTCCTCCTCCTTATATTTCAGCTTATCATACTCATCCTTTTTGTATTTGTCCTTGTGTTTACTGTCATTTTCTTTGATATCCCTGTGGTCCTCCTCCTTGCTGTATTGTGGTTTTGTGTCCATTGCATTACTAGACAATTTTCCTTCTTTGTTGTATTTTGACTTTTTTACATCGTCCTGATCATCATCTTCATGTTTTCGTTTGAGCACTGAACTCTTTTGGCTTTCTAAGCCAGCCTGACGGTCAAGTTTCCTCCTTTGCTCATAGAGGGGATTTTCATACAATTTTGCCTGTTGATGAAATCAAACAGATATTAGGCAATTACGTCATTAAAATTGTGGTTAGAGTCAAAAAAAGAGTTTTAGATTTCAAAATTGTGCTAGCTTTCGCAGTGTTAGATTAAAAGATCAGAAGAATACAACCTCTGCCTACAGAAAGTGGACTAAAGAAACACATTTGAATGCAAATGCAAATGGTAATGTGTCTCCTTTGTCTACTTGACTAGGTATGAACAGACAGTTACCTTGTATTTCTCATTGTGAGTATGGCAGGTGACGTGGGATTCGGCACAAATGGGATCCCCAAAAAACTCTTCACATAACTGGCAGAAGAATCCCCTAACAGGGACCAAGAACTCAGAGCCTGGGAAAGTAATACAACAAGAGTTAATCGCATTTATCTACAATGTGTAATGATTTTCATGGCTGGTAATGCACTGTTCCAATGATAGGGCACACTGTAAGAAAACTATAGCTTATGCTACTGCAATTAACATGGCACCAATAATTGAAGTGAATCAAAGAATTTAACAAATCAGTTCCTCTAATCCAGAGATTGCATTCAATAGTTTGCACCTTCACTACTTGACAAAAGTTTTGTCGATCACAGTTATAAGAGCAACAAATAATAACTTGACTTCTAGTTGATCATCTGGAAAAGTGTCAGAATGTCGATTTGTCTGATGAGTCATCTGTTAAACTGCATCCCAATCATCACAAATACTGCAGAAGTCCTACTGCAGGGGTGTCCAAACTCGGTCCTGGAGAGTTTAGCTCCAACCCTAATCAAACACACCTGAACCAGCTAATCAAGCTCCTAGTAGATATACTAGAAAGTTCCTGCAGATGTTTTGAAGCAAGGTGGAGATAAACACAGCAGACCCAGTATAGAGATCTGCGCGGGACTAAATTTTGAATCCTGCTCCCACCCAGTTTTAGCCCAAACCTGACCGCTCCTGCTTATATTCAGCATTTGTTGTCCCGCTGCCCGCCCCGCCCCGTTTTCTATCCGCTAAAGAGCGGGGAGGGGAACAAAACCGAAAACCACCCAGCCATCAACACCCACCCACCCACACACACAGACAAAGCTCTCTCTCTCATTTACACACACACACACACACACACACACACACACACACACACACACACACACACACACACACACACACACACACACACACACACACACACACACAAACAAACAAGCTAAACACAGCCTCATGCTCTCTTGATCATTCACACAAATACATACGCATTCTCGCTTGATCGGGAGCGATATTGCTAGACGGCCTGATCCCATCCAAAATTAAACCAGTTACCGACCGATACCGCGCTTTATGCGGCAATTTATTCTCGCCCCGCAGAAATCTGGTCGGGTCCTGCGGCTCCAGCAGACCTCTAGACCAGTACTTCATTTAATTTGGAATGAGAAAGTAAAATTCTCCTACAAGAGTGATTATAGCACCTCCCGATGGTGAATGCGGTTATAATCAAGGATGGTATTTGATAGTTTGGTCATTTATTTCACTGATTTGGCAAACGTCAAACGTCATCAGGAAAACGATTTAAATTTCCGCTTAGTAAAAAAACATTAGTGTTCCATTTGGGACAACACTACATACATATACTATGCTGTTGAGTGTATAAGTGCTAAGTACATAGTGCGCCATTTGGGATGCAGCTTTGGTGTCAGTTTATCAGGAAGTGACGAATTTGTTCTCTTTGACTTATTGGATGGTGCATTGTTTGCAAATGTTTAACGCGATAACACAGTTTGCACAAAAGTTTAACTGCCGTCTTTGGAGGAAAACATGACTTACGATTGCAGTTCGATAGCTATGCTCATGTTGTAACAAATTTTCACCTTAGTGTAAAATAAAACAAGGATTTTGTAGCTAAAAATGAAATTTTCTGTATAAAAGGTTACCTTTGGCTGGCTTTGAAGTCTTCTTTCCAGCTGGTCCTTTCTTTTCACTCTCTGTTTTTGCCCAAGGTCTGTCATACGGATCTAGAGTCTGTGGGAGAGAAAAACAATTGATGACTAAAGCACAGATGCAGCTGGCGGAAATGAACAAATCAAGAAAAAGAATCATGTCCAATCTAAAAAAAAAAGTTAAATGATTAGATCTATATAGGCACACGTACCTTCCTATGTGTTTTGCTGTGCAAATGCATGAAATAATCAAACATTGAACCACCGGTAACATTGCAGTTTTTACACCAGTGATTTCCCGCATCATAGTACTCGAACTGCTCGGCAGCAGTGTCCAGGGAATGGCTGCTCGACAGAGGAGACTCCTTCAGCTTTTCGGGTGAGGCTCTTGATTTTAAGGAGGCGACCTAGATTAGTTTAGGCAGTACAAAAAATGTGTAAGTAACAGTGATTGGGAAAACAGTCAAACTAAGACAGAAACATCTAATAAATACTTGTTATTTACCCAAGTACCCAAGTTTAAATGCATAACCAAAGATGTGTAAATAAAACAAACATAATTCATATCCTAAAGACCAATCATTAAAGTTGTCATAGGAGCCTTACCTTTGCAAAACAGGCCATCTGTTTTCCAGCCGAGAAGACGCTACCATAGTTTTAAAAAGCCATTTTAAAAGGAGATCCAAAATGGCTTTAATGTCATACAACATATGTTGAACTATCCAAACATGTATTGAGTGCAAATGCAATAAAAGCAACGATAAGAACAACTAAATTTCATAATGCATTTTAATTGAGTTTGTTTTTATCTGTATTTATAAGAATTGTGATAAAAAATGTATGTATTAGCAAAAAAATCCAAGATTGAAATGAATTAACATGAGCATTTCAATAGTAGTTAGTGCTGTCAAACGAATGATCACAATTATTCACATTCAAAATAAAACTTTATTATTTGAATGTGTGTACATGTGCATTTAAAAAGAATACAAAAACAAACATTGCACTGTACACAGACACACACACACACATAAGTATAATATATATATATATATATATATATATATATATATATATATATATTTTTTTTATACAACAATTCTGTCTGGTACTCGAATCTGATTGGCTGATAGCCGTGATATATTTAAGTAATATCAGCACCCGTACAGCCTCTTTACCCTTTGTGAATTACTCCGCCCAGATACAGCCAGCAAAAAGGAGACACTACAGATCTAAAGTTTAAAAGATGCTTGCTCAGCTGTTTAACTGTCAGCTTACGATTTGAATCCAACGCGGAAGTAAGTAGTTCCTCATACAAAAGGGTTTTTGAGACTCTCCATGTTTGATTTTGTTTTTATATATACAATTATGCCGTCAAACTGTTGTATAAACGCAATATCACACTCGTAGCAGTGCGATATGGCTGTATATCAGCAATAAGGCACAAGGCCGCACACATCCCACCAGTGCCGATATACAGCCATATCGCAATGCTACTTGTCTGATATTGCTCATGTATATATATATATATATATATATGTATGTATATATATATATATATATATATATATATATATATATATATATATATATATATATATATATATATATATATATATATATTATTATTATATACAAGCTTTTATTCTGGATGTGAATAGTCTTCTGACAGCACTAACATCAATTTAGCACTGTAATAAATAGCCACTTTCCCAGTGATGGTTTGCGGCTGGAAGGGCATCCACTGCGTAAAAACTTGCTGGATAGGTTGGTGGTTCATTCCGCTGTGGCGACCCCAAAATAATAAAGGGACTAAGCCGAAAAGAAAATGAATGAAGGAGTATATAGGTCCACTTAGGTGGAAACAAAACAATGGTCTAATAATAATCAGCAATAATTATGGAAGCCTGTGCTGAAAACAACAACCTTAACTTAGGGTGATGTGTTCATACATCACAGAAGCTGATTATAACCAGTATCAGAAATAGAATCTTCCAGATGTGTTAAAACTCCAAACAGTTATAGCTCAAACCAGTCTGATTTTTCAGCAGGTGTAAAAAAAAAAAATCTGTCTACTCTAAACACTATCAAAAATAACATTAATAATTACAAAATACATCATTTAAAAAGGTTATGTTTTTACCAGATACTAACATAACAGTAAAAAGTGAAGATTACATCAGCATCACGGACATGCTCCATGTAAGTTATTGTACGATAAGCCATCATGAACTAAAACTGTGGCTTTTAAAATAAATAAATAAATTAAAATCCTAATATACAAATACATGCACACAAACACACACAATTAAATACATTAATTTGAACGACATGATCATCTTAAGTCAAAATGAGACAATAGTTAGCTTTAATCTAGCACCGAGCATGGACATGCACAGGTCTTGTGCATCTGATCATAACAAAAGTAAAGACGGTAAAATTAAATTGACCACTGGACTAAAAATAATTTGTAAAAATAATCAACCAATCATGTTTCAGAAGCTTGTGAGTAAAATTTGGAAATTTACTATATATTTTTCTTAATAGACTTAGAATTAAATCACACATTATTTAAAATAAATACTTAATTGGAGTCAACAGCAAAAATAAGCTACGCTAGAAATATTTTATTAAGTATATTCATATTATAAGTGACAGTTTAATACATAACTATTAGCGCTGGGACAATAAATCAATGCATTGTGATTCATAGACTGCTTTGATTTTAATCGATTCTGAGCTTGGTTTATAACAGCAGATGGCACTCTAGGCTAGATTTTAACAGCAGACGGCGCCATAGGCTAGTTTCTAACAGCAGACGACGCTCTAGGCTAGTTTAACAGCAGACGGCGCTCTAGGCTAGTTTTTAACAGCAGATGGTGCTCTAGGATAGTTTTTAAAAGCAGAAGGCATTCCAGGCTAGTTTTTATTAGTAGGTGGCTTTCTATGCTATTGTTTAACAGCAGATTGCGCTCTAGGCTAGTGTTTAACAGCAGATGGCCCTCTAGGCTAGAGTTTAACAGCAGATGGCGCTCTAACGTAGTTTTAAAAGCAAATGGCGCTCTAGGCTAGAGTTTAAAAGCAGATGGCGCTCTAGGCTAGTTTTGAAAGCAGATGGCGCTCTAGGCCAGAGTTTAACAGCAGATGGCGCCCTAAGCTAGTTTTAACAGCAGATGGCGCTCTAGGCTAGTTTTAACAGCAGATGGCGCTCTAGGCTAGAGTTTAACAGCAGATGGCGCCCTAGGCTAGTTTTAACAGCAGATGGCGCTCTAGGCTTGTGTTTAACAGCAGATGGCACTCTAGGCTAGTTTTAACAGCAGAAGGTGCTCTGGGCTAGTGTTTAACAGCAGAAGGCGCTCTAGGCTAGTGTTTAACAGCAAATGACGCTCTAGGCTAGTTTTAACAGCAGAAGGCGCTCTAGGCTAGTGTTTAACAGCAGAAGGCGCTCTAGGCTAGTGTTTAACAGCAGATGGCACTCTAGGCTAGTTTTAACAGCAGAAGGCGCTCTAGGCTAGTGTTTAACAGCAGAAGGCGCTCTAGGCTAGTGTTTAACAGCAGATGGCGCTCTAGGCTAGTTTTATCTAGATTACTTTTACTGAGGAAGGATTCTGCATCGATTCTGAAATTCTCAATGCATCGATTTACTTTCCCAGCCCTATAGCCTATGATCATATGTAAATACCTGTGATCCTGTAACAGAATGAGCAACTCTACCTTATTGTACGAGGTGTTGGTTTTGGCCACTGACTTCTCCGGGCTTCTGGCCGAATCTTTACTCTGCTGCTGACTATGGGCCGAAGAGATCTTCCACTCTTTGTCTATACCGAGAATGAGCGCCACTTTAACCAGCTCTTCGTGTTTTTGATCTGCCTCTTTCTGTTCAGAACGCAATTTAGAGATTTGCGCCATTGCATCCTCCTGGAGACGACCGAGCTCTACCAGCAGAGGGTCCTTGTGTCCATCCTTCTCCCTTCGTTTCTTACGAAGAAGCTCCCCTGAAGGAAAAAAGCAAACCTTTTATAATACAGCATACCCTTAAACTAGGACTGCACTATGTGAAGTTTATTTATAGTTTAGAGAGGATCACTTGCTTATGATTGCTTGCGGCTGGTCCTGCATTATCCGATCTATAATTCACCAATCAAACGCTTCCTAAGCCACTATAAATACCATCCAAGTTCCATATCACAGCCATCTTCGTTTTGAAGAATCCCCCCTTCCACCCCTGCTCCTCTTTTCCTAGATGGGTGGCCCGGTGGCCCAGTGTTTAGCACTGTTGCCTTACAGCAAGATTGTCACTGGTTCTTGATAGTTTACATGTTCTTCCCATGCTTGGGTTTCCCACCACCATCCAAAAACATGCAACTTAAGTTAATTGACGAATCCAAATCGGCACCACAGACATGCTCCGAGTAAGTAGTTATCTCTTAAGAGCAATCACTATCTGTTCATTATCTACTACAGCAGGGGAGTTTTTGAGATCTACCTAAGCTCAAACTCCCCTCTTATCTTGCAAACGGGAAGGAGCCATGGCTCGAGGATCTTATGAGTTCAGGGCTCGCTCCCAGGAAAGCATGCCAAACAAGCTTTATAATCAATCATCAGCTAAGTGTGAATTCTTGAAATATCGATATCGAAATGTGATCATTCCCAATAGTCATATCGCAAGATATGCAATGTTGAGCCTGGATTATAATTTATCATTTGCATGCGTTTTTAAGACCTGTTACTGTTTTATGATTTTAAAATAGTTCAGGGATAAGAAATTGTACTATTTGTATCTTTAATAACGATGAATTTTATTGAATTTATTTTTATTATTCAATTATTTAATTAAATTTTTTTTCTTTATTTTATTTATCTATGTTTATAGACTGTATATAAGATTTTATGCCTCGCTATCACTGAGTGGTATGTTCAGTTCGGTACGATACGGGTCACCTTAATCAGGCTTATGTCTTCACTGTCAAATGGTACCAATGGCCTTTTTAATGGGGATTAAATAAATACAATGAGAACAAACCTCTATTTTCATACTTCACCAGCACATGCAACATTAATATCTTATTAAAAAGTAAGTTCATAGTAGTACGAATGGCGATGATATTAAACATGTTTGTTTGTTCATGTTACAAGTTGCTGAAAGAATCATTTGCTCCTTTGTTATGTAGGGCTTCTCCTTTGTTCTTTGGCTCTTTACTCTCGTGTTTGTTCGTTTCTTAAAGGATATGGCTTACTATAATATGTATATACTATTACAGTGTTATGTCTATGCTGTGTTTTTAAAAATAGCGCTTCCTTTGTTTCCATTCTCCTGGCTTGTGCATAGGCTAGTGACGCATCTCCGTAAACCAATAGAGTTCAGCTGTGCATCTAGCTCTGCTTTCTGGTACCCTTTAGTTGTGCAAGGTACCTAAAAAGTGGTACAGTACCTTTCGACAGCAAAAGCAGGCAGTAAAGCGCACCGCATCATACAGAACCACTCAGTGGATACAGGCTATTATTCAGATACACTCCCATACAGGATCATCCTAATCAATTTTAAATGACAAATCCTTTCCATATAGACATTATATCATGCGGTGAAATTGTTTTCATAATCGCAATTATATATATATATATATATATATATATATATATATAAATATATATATATATATATATATATATATATATAAATATAAATTGTAGAATAACAACATATCGCAATGTAAGATTTTTCTAGTATAATGCAACCCTACATTAACATTTATATTACACTAGAAGAAACATACCTTGTTGCTTTCTCAATGTCTCCACATCCTTTAAGAGATTTTCTTTCCTCTTTTGTCGAACATCTCTTTCCATTCTTAGCTTTTCAAGCTCTTCTGTGACCTAAGAGAGAATTTATTTTTCAAACAAAAACAGAGGAATGGGAGTCTTCAAGAATTATATAGTAACTATGACATACACAGTACTTGATATCCATCTCTATGCTTAAAATATCAGATTTGTAGATGAAGCAACAATTATAAATTTTTTGCACATTCATAAAATATTTTCTGAAATTACCTTTTGTTTCTGGCTTGCTGTGTTTTTGTCCTCCATTTCTTTCCTCTGAAAGTGGTCAGTGGTGATCGCTTTAGAGGCCACAGCATCCAATTTAGAAGGTGCTAAAATGATCATCAATCATGTTGGTTAGCAGTGATGTGCAACGTCTAAATCAGGCAAACTTTTTTCTTGTTTTGAACCATTGCTTACTATGAAGCAAATAAATTTTGAAGAATTTTTGCTAAAGGGGGCACGGTGACTCAGTGGTTAGCACTGTCGCCTCACAGCAAGAAGGTTGCAGGTTCAAGTCCCAACTAGGCCAGTTGGCATTTTTGTGTGGAGTTTGCGTGTTTTCCTCGTGTTGGTGTAGGTCGAGCTTTGAGGAGGTATAAATGTAGAGAAATTTAGAGAGTTGTTTGTGAAGCAAATATACTGTTTTATCACAATCATTGTTTTTCAAAATCATGGAGATAAAAAATAGAAACTTAATTTTGCTTAATAGCACAGCCTTGGTTAATAGTATTACAATAAACTCGTAGAGAACTGGACTTGGAGTATGTGTAGGTGGCTAAGGGTTGACGGATCATTATTTTATTTTGAAGTCGATTAAATTATTGGTAGGGATATTTCAATAATTGGTGGATATTGGTGGGGACACATCCCCTCCCGTCCATGCTAATTCTACGCCCTTGTTTTGATGTACTGAATACCCCCATGCGAAGATTCTTCAAAACTGTCTATAACACACACAATACAACTAGTCCTGAATTGAATAATGAACTCTGAAGATCACTAACCTTTTTTAGTATTGTCAGCTTTACTCTCACTTGTCACATTTTTAATCGTTTTAAGAAAAGGTCGCTCCATGTTAGGGAGGCTGTAGGGGTCGATTTGACTTGGAGGAGGTACTGGCATACCTGTGGGTGGGTACATTGGCCATCCCGGGGGCATATAGGGAATGTAATTACCATATGCACCATAACCATGTGTACGGTAGTCAGGAGGCATTATCTCACGTGGGGGAGGTCCTGGGTAAGGGGGATGCGGCAAAACGCCAGGTCGGGAAGGATAACTCTGTGCAGGAGTGGGGGTTGTAGGCCAGTTGCTTTCTGGGACAGCAGGCTGAGTGTCTTTTTTGCTCTGGCTATGTACATGCGGAGAAGCTTTTTCAGGAGAGACAGACTTCTTCTTGCTGCGACTTGAAGTGTGATTTAGGCTGCCACTTCGGCTTCGGCTTCTACTTCTGCTCCGACTTTCGCTTTGACTTCGACTGGAGCTTCTGCTGCCGCTTCCACTACTGCTGCTGGAGCTTCTGCTTCGACTCCGGTGCTTTCTATCTGACTGCCGACGAACAGGTGTCTTTTTTGCAGGGACGCTGCCGTGGAGGCGTTCTTGTGTCCTTGCAGCCATCTTGCTTATTTCGGCCACACCGAGATCCAGGCCAATTGTTTTCAGCAAATCTTGTATCTTCTCATATTCCTCAACCTCACTCCTCACCGTGACATCTTGCGGCCCGACTCCAGGTGGGAAATCATGAGGTTCTTCCTCAGCATGCACCTCAGGTGTGGCAGAAGAACGGCTTGGCACATTTTCTACAGTACGGGTAAAACTGTAAGGTGCAGTGCCATGCTCTCTTGTATCTGGATAGCTGGAATCGGTTGCAATCTCCTTAGCCGGTGTCACCTCATCCGCCTCCAATTCATCTCCGTAGAGAAACTTCTCCTCGTCTTCAATTTCTGTAAGACTCTTTTTTGGATTGTGTTGTTGGGCTACCTCGGCTATCATTCCAAGGAACTCTGTGAGGTCTGAGGTCTGCCTTCCCTTCTCGCGAGCGAGGAACAAATCACCTAGATCCTCTCGGGATGGATGGATCTTGCTAATTAGCTCCTCCAGAACATTCCCGTCAGAGCTTTTGCCCAGCATGGAAGACAATACGCTTGGATCCATGGTTTTGGAAAGTGCACAGAGAAGCTGTTCAGCCTCATGTGATAGACCCCCATCTGAATTGCCTCGAGGGGAATCGCTAATCTGAAAAATGCAAGTTAGACATGTTTTAGACACTCTTACATCATAAATAAAACTTTTAAAGGATAATACTAAGGACGTACTCACACTAGGCTAGGTTTGCATTGTTCCACACTGTGCCTAGGGACAGTTTGTTGAATATTTTCAATTATATAAGTGTAATAAGGTTTCAAAATAAATAAATAAATAAACAGAGTATAAATTCCTCCATGACCCAAGAATTCAAACACAACTTCCAAGTTCGTAGTTGACAAATAGGCAATAAAATGCTTTTTTGTAAAGCATAAAACCACTACAATATATCTTAAACTTCAGCTGATGTGTAATGTAGCTGTGTGTGCTTCCGGGTATGTGCATTCACCACCCGCACACCGTCCTGGTTTTTCCCTGAGGTCTCCTCACGGTGGGACATGACTGGACCACATCCCTAGGTAGGTGTCCAGGAGCCACCTCAGCTGACTTCTCTCGATGTGGAGGAGCAGCAGCTCTACTCCAGCTCCTCACCCGATCTATAAGGGTGCGCGCCCTGCCACTCTGCGGAGGAAACTATTTCAGCCACTTGTATCAGAGATCTTGTCCTTTCGGTCATTGCCCAAAGCTCATGACCATAGCCGAGAGTAGAAATGTAGAGTGACCAGTAAATTGAGAGCTTTGCCTTTCTGCTCAGCTCCTTTTTCACCAAAACGAACCGGTACATCGACCGCATTACTGCTGCACCAATCCGCTTGTCAATCTCATATTCCATCCTTCCCTCACTCGTGAATAAAGCCCCAAGATACTTGGACTCTTCCACCTAGGGTAAGGACTTCCCTCCAAACAGGAGATGGCAATGAGCACCATGGCCTCAGATTTGGAGGTGCTGATTCTCATCCCAGCCGCATCACACTTGGCAGCAAACCGCTGAAGGTCCATGTTCAATGAAGCTAACAGAACAACATCATCTGCAAATAACAGATGAGATCCTGTGGTCCCCGAATTGGACCAAACTTCTCCTCTGTTCATACAGGGACGAGACAGCCCTCAACAGGGCACCTCTAACCCCATACTACTAGAGCACCCTCCACTTTCTGAGTGTTCTACATCTCAAAAAACAAACTCACGTTTCGGGTGTGAGGTTCAGCTGTGTGCTCTTAATTTTTCCGTCTGATTCAGGCAGCTAACAGCTTCTCTGTTTACACAGCACAAAAACACCTGATTCGCGAATCACAGCACATTATGTTAGCTGACCAATCAGAGTCTCTTGAGGGCGGGCCTTTCAGAGGAACTAGCAAATATGACAGTAGCTTTCATGTTAGCCGAGTAGCTGTATGATTAAAGATAAATGGAAAAAAATAACATGATTTTCTACAAGTGAAGCATGAGCGCACATTGCTTTGCATCTTATAAAAACAACCCAGCCTTAAAAATACACTGTGGACCACAACTTTAAGAATAAAAACAGTTATATTTATGTAGTTTAAAGTCTGACATTACCAATTCTTTTAAGTTATTTTTTTTACTTCATGAACTCTGCTGTATAAAAATGTCCTATGGTGTGACCTAGCAAGTTAAGAAAATTGAGAAGATTGGAGAGGTATTATATCCAAATCATATGCATTATAAGTTTGTAGAAGTTATACATTAAAAATACCCTTAAATATACATTTTTAGTACTGCTTCAGTGAACGTAAACACCTATATTTAAATCCATTAATTTTCACTAATAATATTAGTATTTTTTTTTAAGTGTGCTTTGAAGGCTTCAAAAAATAAGTTAAATCTTTGTAGATTATAAATACATGCACTGTATATCGTTTATTTTAAAAAGGCAAAACATTCTAGATTAATAAAAAAAAAACTAAAAAAAATTATATTAATCTTATTTTTAATTCAACTAGGGGTGTGGCCAGGTAGGGGGCCTACAGGACATTGTGCCTAGGGGCCTTTGAATTCTTAATCCAGGCCTGACTGGGCTATTAATTTTGACTTCAACTGTATCTTCATATATTTAATTTTTTGTTTGTGAAATTATGAATACTCTTTCTCTGACATTTTCAATAAATAGGGTGTCACACCAAAGGTCGGGAAAAATTTATTTGAGAGTGGTTTAAAAACATGTTAAATATGAGACAAAAACTAAATATGTGCGTTGGTCACAGATTTGACATTGTTCTCTCCTGAATGCCATTATCAGTCTCACATTTTTTCCCCTTTTTCTGAAAGTCTTGATAACATCATCATGGAGGTTTTTTTTGGGGATATTTTAACAAATATTCACTGCGCTCTAATGCCTAGTTCAGACTGCGTGATTTAGCCCCGATTTTGGCTCGCCGACAGGTTTTGAGAAATCGCCGACAAATGCCTGAAATCACAGGCGAATCGCTGCTTGTGCAAGTGAGTGACAATCACACAGTATGAACGATCAAAGACGCGATCTGAGAGAATCGCCGATGAGTCGCAGATGCCTGTGAGATATTTGGCGTGCTGAATATCTGGAGCTGTCGGCGATTCAAATCACGCCGTGTGAATTGAGTTTTGACTGAAAATAACATCAGCGATCGCCTACAGCCAATGAGAGAGCGGCTTTCACTTTTGTGTGCGTGTGTGTATACCTGCTGCAGGCCAGTGGGAGGCTGGGGGAGAAGTTAAAAGTGCTCCTTTTCAGTTTATTTTGGACCCACGAAATGGAGGAAAAACTAGTGGAGGTTTGACAGGACTCAGGAGCAACTGTGTCTGTTTGACGTTTCATACAGAAAGAAATTAGTTTATTATCAACGTTGAGGAGAAATGGCTAATTCCCTTTAAACCCAGGTGAGCAAACATGTACATCTTCTACCCCATTAAAGGCTTCTTTCTCATTATGTAGTTAATAACAAAAGATATACTACTTGTTTTTGGCTGTGAGACGTAGTTTGGACGAAGTTGTCGGCGATTCTCCCTATAGTAAAGTCATGCAATGTGAATGTCCATGTCGCCGAACCATCTTGCAGTGTAAACAAAGCAGCGACGAAACGCTAGCCCAGATAGTCATGCAGTGTGAAAACATCTGTGACACGACTAGTTTGAAAATCATGCAGTCTGAACTCGGCATAAGTTTACCCAACTATGATGATTTCCCCCACTGAAAAAATGTGAAATGTAAAATGTGTCCATAACCTCTTCTACACCCAACAGCTTTATCTTCAAGACATACTGAGAGGAGGTTACCTGCATTAGCATTGGAGAGTCAGTCTCGGAGGAATCCACTCTTTTCTTCAAAATGGACTTTGCGGGCTTTATAAGCATATCCTGAATCTCCTTACGTCGTCGAGCTTTCTCCAGCTCACTGAAGTCCTCCTGCTCACTCTGAAATTTACCCGATTTGCTTCTCCGGCTGACACTGCTGTGGCGACTCCTGCTGGACCCACTGCTGCTACTGCTACTGCTCCGGCTCCGAGCACGGCTTCTCCCTCTGCTTCTCCCCCGGCTACGGCTTCTTTCTCTGCTGCGGCTGCGTGGCCGACTCTTGCTCCTCGCCCTGCTCCTGGCCCTACTTTTATCCCGACTCCGACTTCTGCTCCGACTTCTGCTTCTGCTGTAGCTCCTGCCGCGAGGTCTGCTCTTGCTTCGGCCTCGGCTTTTCGCACGTTCAGGACTTCTACCACGACTTCTTCCACGACTATAGCTTCGACTCCTGCTCCGGCTGCGTGGTCGGCTTTTGCTGCGTCCATAGCCGGGACTGCGACTCCGTCCTCTGCTCCGGCCACGACTAACACTGCGCCTCTTTGAACCCTTATCACCATGTTCATCATAGCTCGACCTCCGTGGAGAGTAATAGGACTTTTTATACTGGGAGTCTCCAGCAGCATAATCCCTGTCAACAGAAATCATTACATCAAAAAACAACCAAGAAAGAGAGCAAACAAGGACATTTACTTGGATATCAGTGATCTGATTATTAGCCTTAAAGCAGTGGTTCTCAAACTTTTTTCATCAAGTACCACCTCAGAAATCTTTTTCTCTCCACGTACCACCATAATGACCAGTATTAAAATACAGTAGCGTAGTAGGCCTAATTAAGCCAGGTATGTATAGCTGCACCTCCTGCTCTGCACAGTTCAAAAACGTGCCAGATTAATTCTTATTATTATGAATATTTATAGTTGTCAGCCACTTTAAACATTATAAATAGCTTGAACATTAACATTGTACTATGTTCACAGGTAAAGAATAAAACGTCAACGCTTAAATTAAAATGTGAGTTGTAGTTAAAAATTAAAAGTTTAAAAATTGAAGTTGTAGTTCATGTAGTAGTAGATGTCATTGGTATAGTAGTAGCAGAAGTAGTAATGGTGTGGTTGTTACAGTAGTAGTAGTAGTCGTTGTTGTTGTAGTAATATCAGTAGTAGATGTTGTTGATGTAGATGTAGTAGAAGTGATTGTAGTAGTAGTAGTAGTAGTCGCAGTAGACATTGTTGTATTAGCTGTAGCAAACACTATAGTAGTATCGGTAGTGGTAGTCGTTGTAGTAGTATCAGTATTAGTAAACACTTTAGTAGTAATAGTCGTGGTTGTGGCTGTAGTAGAAGCAGTAGTAGTTGTAATATAAGTAACTTTCTGTAGTAGTAGTTGGTGTAGCACTTGTGATTTATTATTATTGTTGTCAGTTATTACTGTTGTCCTTTCTCTCTTTTTACTCTCATATTTACTATCATACATTGATAAGCATTGTTGTTACTCCCTACCCCTGACTGGTTTCTTTCTATATGTTTTATCTATATCTGTGACACTTGCTTCATTTATTGACTGTTATTGTCCCTTATGTATGTACTCTGACCTGTCCACCAAGTTACCTTTACATGCATACACACACTCACACGCACACACTCACGCACATACCAGTTCCTGACTATATTGTTGATGTTTTTGTTTTGTTGCTTTGTATTTGTTATCTGTTGATGTTTTTTTGTATTTGTATGATTTTTGCATATTCTAATAAAAAATTAAAAAATAAATAAATTAAAATGTGATTTTGAAAGTTGATTAAAAATGACACTGTTCTTAAAAGTAAAAAAGAAAACTGCTGTACTTCAATGTAAAGTATTATCATAAAGTAACCTATTCATCAAAACTTGGAAATGTACTTTGGACCTCATAAATATAGGCTATATGTCATCATATTCATATATAAACTGTTTGATAAATTTTAAAATATATATTGCATGTACACATGACTTTTTTGTATATCTTTGAAATATAAACATTATCTTGTATTTTAAATATATGAATTAAATTTACATATTTAAATTAGAAATAAGATCTGCTTAATGTGCGTTAGAGTAGGCTGTGTGTGCCAGAAAAGCAAGTGATTAAACTATACCTGTCAACATTTTTTCTTCTTTTTCCTTATTATTTAATTTTTTGTTTATCTATACTTGCACTATCTCTGGAGCGGACCTGACCTACATTTCACTGCTGGTCATACTTTGTATAACTATGTATGTGACAAATAAAACTTGACTTGACTTGACTTGGGATGTAAAAATAAAGGATACGCCCCCAACAACCATTACAAATATGGGGAGATTAGTTTCACATGATAGAATACATAACAAACATTAGAAAAATGAAAATAAAATAAAAGGTTTACACTATTAAAATCAGGCCTTTACTGATTACATCAGGCTCATCGTACGCATTAAAGGGTTAAAAGTGTTTTTATTTCTTTTATTTTTTATTTATTCAGCGAATCCTCCGCGTACCACTAGTGGTACATGTACCACAGTTTGAGAACCACGGCCTTAAAGGTTTCGAGTACTTTTCCTGAGATTTTAACAGATTTGTGTTGAGCATCAATTAAGAAAACGTTGGCCCATGTTAGCTTTAAATATAGGGAATTCTGGATCACTCTGAGCTTTTGTCAGCTAATTTTACGTTCTGGGTTTAAAATAATTTTGGAGGCCAGATCAAAATCGGTAACGTACCACGAATCCGCCGGGCCAGTGATGATGTGTTTCTCATTATTATTCATAGCCGAGTTCTCTTATCCTATGAGAATACCCTGCTTCTTAATTATTCATGAGAGCATGTGCTTTCCGAAGGCAAGACAGACCTGCCAAGCTGTGAGACCACCTCCGTGCATGGCACGCAGTAAGTAGTCATTCATGAAGGGTCGTATGTGTTTGTTTCCATGATCCACAGAGTTTGATGTATGTTTTTCCCCGCGATGCTGTCAGATCTGATCCAGCAAAGCTGGAGGCTGATCCAGCAAAAGCTGGTCGGGGGAGCTGTACGAGAATTGAGGAATGGTAGACGATAGCTGTTGTGTAACATCATCATCAGCTGCCAATGTTCAGTTACAATACTCAAGACCGCAAGAACAGGACGTGTGAAAGTTCCCGGATGTGATCTTGATATCGAGGACGAATGGATGCAGACTTGAGCACCGAACTCGCTCTAGAAGTCCCAGAAGTCATTGAAACTGGTGGTGGGAAGTAGAGGTCTGCAATCCCGCGGAGCCGACCAGATTTCTTGCAGCGCATGAATAGATTTCCAAATAAAGCGTGGGAGCAGTTGGTAACTGGTATAATTTGAACAGGAGCTGGTGGTCAAACAATATCGCTCCCGAGTGAGCGAGCACGTGTATGCATGTGTGAATAAGAGAGCGTGATGCTGCGTTTAGTTTTTTGCTGAAATTCGTATTAAAATCTGTTTTATTTTTATCATGCAACGTATTTTTGTAAAGTCTTTATGCAGAGTATATATTTTGGGGAAATAGGGGGAAAAACAATAAATCGTTGTATGAATGCTGTAATGTTTAAATATTATTTGGTTAAAAATGCATGAGGGTTACCGGACCATCAGGAAGAACACTGCATCTCATTTCTCACAGGACACATTCTCTGTCTCCAGAGTTGGCTTTTCCAAGGTAAACCTAGCCAAGACCACTCTTCACAAAAATGCAAGCCTGCTCTCCGCGTTCTTGGAATTAAGAAACAGCCATTTGTCATTTATCAGTTGACTTTGTTACCATTCAGACACATCGTCTACCTCCATGCTGCTGTGTTCGCCTATGTTTAAAATCCTCCAGACTACCGTCAGGGCTAATGGTTGGAAAAGACAGGGCAAGAGACCTGCTTAATTCCATTTCTGTTTGCTTCAATTTTGACTTTAGTCAGATTAAGCTCATCAAAAATCATTCTAAACAAGGTGGACTCTTAATCAGAGTATTGTCTGCCTTGTATTAAAATCTGAATATTGGCGACATTGTAAACGTAAGTCTCTGTGGTGCTATCAGTTAGCGCGCTAGGCTGTTAACTAAAGGTTGGTGGTTCAAGCCCACTCAGGGACGAATTATGCATTGTGCTTCCTCGCAACTGCTAACACGTGCACTGGGCGTAGATCCTGGGCCACATTCTGGGTGAGGCAGTGGCACAGTAGGTAGTGCTGTCGCCTCACAGCAAGAAGGTCGCTGGGTCGCTGGTTCGAGCCTCGGCTCAGTTGGCGTTTCTGTGAGGAGTTTGCATGTGAATCTGTGTGAATTCGCGTGGATTTCCTCCGGGTGCTACACTTTCCCCCATAGTCCAAAGACATGCGGTACAGGTGAATTGGGTAGGCTAAATTGTCCGTAGTGTATGAGTATGAGTGTGTGTGTGTGTGTGTGTGTGTGTGTGTGTGTGTGTGTGTGTGTGAATGTGTGTGTGGATGTTTCCCAGAGATGGGTTGTGGCTGGAAGGGCATGCGCTGCATAAAAACTTGCTGGGTAAGTTGACGGTTCATTCCGCTGTGGCGACCCCGGATTAATAAAGGGACTAAGCCGACAAGAAAATGAATGAATGAATGAATGTAAACGTACTCAATGGGATTTTTCGGACAAATATTTCCATAACACAAAATAGCTTCAAGCATTGTGGTATTATTTAAAGTAAAAACCTCATCCCTCAAAGGCCTTGGTATACTTCAAAACGAAATTACACCATTCTGAACAAAAACAAAACGAAGTTCACTTTCAGTTTGTTTCTGCAGTTCGAAACAACTCACCAAACCTTTTTTTTTTGTTCTGTTGAACACAAATAAATACATTTGGAAGAATGCTGGAAACCTGTAACCATTAACCTCCATAGTATTTGTTTTTCATACTAAAAAAGTCAATGGTCACAAGTTTCCAACATTCTTCCAAATATCTTATTCTGTGTTAAACAGGGAAAAAAGGGGTGACTATGGCAGACTTTTTATTTTTAGGCAAAATGTCCCTTCAGCAGTCGATGTATTGTTTAATCACACAAGGTGAACAGCTTACCGGACATAGGGAGCATCTGTTCCTTTAAAGCTTGAGGGACTGTTCAGCTCATTGCCCACAGTTATGACCAGACTGTGATCAACAGGGAGACCACCACCACGAGGAGGAGATGGGCTGTACCTCTGTATGGAAAAAAAAAACAAATGATAGTAATAATTAGGACTGCAAAATATTGAAAAAATCTAACATTGCAATATTTTATGATTTTCATATATATATGTATATATATGAATGAATGCAATTTCCCCAACTGACTTAATATCTCTATTTGGAAAGAATTTATAATGTTAGATCCACTGGGATGATTCTGCAGTGGGAGCGCATCTCCATAAAAACATTAGCAATCGATAAACTTTTTGGGGTTCCTCAACATGTTTTCGTTGTAGTCTGTGCTATTTGCAGTGCATTTCTGTATTTGCATGTGTTGTATGTTCATGCGCATGTTTCGTCAGAGATTGATGAATTAATATTTACTATTTGCATCTTCATAAAATCTAATAATCTATCAAATTTTCGGGGTCCCTCAACACATTTTGTTGTGGTCTGTGTTATATGCAGTGGATTTCTGTATTTGAGGTGATGTGAGTATTTACATGCGTGACAACCCATAAATGCAATCAATAAAAAGAAACTACTGAAGTAAAGTGTTTTATCGTTTCCTTAGTCTAAGGGTGCGTTCACATCTGTGGTTCAGTTCATTTGGTCTGGACCAAGGGCAATAAATGGCACATTGTAGCCTTTTTCCTGCCATATGTTGGGTCGTTTTCACACCACACTGATTGCTTTGGTCCGAACCAATTGAAAAGAACAAAAATGCAGTCAATCCACATCATTCATTGGCCAGATGTTTTTAAACGTACTTCCTAAACTGCATTTCGATTGGTCAGAATAAACGTACAGAAAAATGCCAATGGAACTCCGGCAAGTAAACGAACCGGCAAACATGACTATGTAGGGACGACTTCGCTGACTAAGTGTATCCCTGCTCATAGTATACTATGTAGTTTGTATCACTTCATATAAACTATACATTTTGAGAATGAAGCACGGCTGCGGCTGGAAAACAATATTTTAATGCATTGTGACTAGGCATGGACTGTAATAAGATTCTGACGGTATGATAACCTTGGATAAAAATATCACGGTTTCACGGTATTGATTACTGCTCTAAACATGTTCTTTTTAAATGTCCGGGTAAAATACAAAACCTTTTTTCCCTTTCGAACACAACATGTTTGATTTTGGGAAACATTTAAAATATTTTGGAGCAGTAAACATGTCAGGCTGAATAATGTAAATAAATCATTAACTTCCGCTGTCTTCATTTGTTTCAAAAACACAGTTTTTATTATCATTAAAAATGCCATGTTTGGATATTTTTTCTGCTAGAGATTTCTATAGCTAATTACTACAGCTTCCAAGAGTCCAAAAAGGTCCACATTTTAAATAATAATGTTATCACGACTGTTTTAACATTAAGTTATAATAGAATTGCCTCTTGTTTCAGTTATGAAATGGTTTGATCACTAACAGGAAATGGTATATAGCAGAATATTTTGGCAGTTTTAAAACCCTGACTTTTCCAAACCACGGTATACCTTAAAAATAGTTATCGCCCCATGCCTAATTGCGACATGGTCATCTTCCAGAAATATTAGTTCAAAAAAAGTTCAGTACTTTTTGTGGTTGGGTCTGTACTAGTTCTGTTCATGTTCACAGCACAAATGAAGTACTCCAGGGTTTGTTTGAAAGCGTACCGGGACCACTTCTTCAAGGAGGTCCCGCTACGCTTTTTTTGGTCTGCTTTTGGTGCGCACTTGAGTGCGATTGATACATTCACACCTGCCCAAACGAACCGCATCAAGAGTGGAAGCGAACTCAAGTGCGATTCAATTAAAGTAAAAAAGGCAGGTGTGAAAACAGTATTCAAGTAACTGAATGATAAAAATATTCAATAAAATTAATTGTAGTCAATTTCACAACTGATACAATTCCTTACACCTGAATGCTTTAAAAATTATTATACAGGCATCAAAGCACATACAAATAATAAATTATAATACTGCGATGCGACTATTGCGAATGATCAAATTGTGATATCAATGCTCAAACGATATATTGTGCAGCCCTAATAACAATAATACTAATAAATACATTTTTAAAAGTCATTTTAGTGGATATAATTATTATATCAATTTTAAGCTCTGACTAACTACTGCAATGAAGTGTAAACACTCCAGATTTTCCAAAGCACACTAATGACATCAGATGGTAATTCAATATCATGTATATAGCATCAATTATACTGCACATACATTATACTGCACTCTGAAGAATAATATAGCATTATGTCTAAACAATTTAGCATAAAACAATGCACTTTTCATCAGTACACGTTAAGTTAGTAATTGTCAAAGTTATGAATATTACTTTAATGCCATATTCACGTACGGCGGTGTTTACATTAAATAAGCTTAAATTTCATCATACTAACTTAAAGATAAATGCGACAAACGTGGTACCACCAGTAATACAGTAAGTGTTGCGAGTATAAACACACGGTGCATTCTGTGTGAGGCTGTAACGCAGTGTTTTGTTTACTCCATACCCCATAGCCTCTCTGCGGTCGTCCGCCTCTGTATTCATCTGCTGGATCCGGCGGAGAGTATCTTCTCCTCGGGGACGGCCGACGGTAAGGGTCTCGGTCCGGGGGATGGCCCGGTCCAGGACGGGGCCCGAAACCACGAGACGGCGGGGGATGGCGATAACCGCCTCTGTGCGGCCTAGTACCGCGAAACATGTCGACGCTTCACTGCTGTTTCTGCGTCAGCGTCGAGTCCTTATTACCCTGGGAACGGGACTGCGATTATCCCTGCAACAGGTAAATGCACATTCAAAACAATATATATATTTCTGAGATGCGATATGAATGACGGCGTATTTATTCATCACACACGGACAAGTCTTTCTGTGATCGCTTCCTGTGCCGCCATTGGCCCGCATTCACAGGATGTGACGTTCCGTCTGGAATCCTTCAATCACACGCAACAAAATTTTGTTTATAAAATAAAATCAAACTATCAAATAAGATAGAAATTATTATTTTTAAAATCGAACTAAGAAAATATATATTTTTTAAAAATTATGTAAATTATTTTAAGTCAGTTCACAAAGGGGCACAATTCACCTGAAATCCAGCTTGCTTTTATTAATTCCGTAGTGTATGATTGCAGAAGTATGTGCTATAGAGCAGGGTATTTTGAGGTAAATTGATTAGTTTGAAATTATTAAAAGAACTATGAGGTGGAGATGGGGACTTTTATGAGGCAGGACTTTTAACTCAGCCACAGTTGTATCTGGAAGCAGGACTTTTAACTCATACACAGTAATATTTGAAGCATAGATATATCTAGAGCTGCGTCCCAAATCGCATACTTATGCACTATTCTACGCCATTTTGTAGTATAAATAGTGTAAGTAGTGTGTTCACACTGAAAACTCTTAAAATAATAAGTGCACTTTAATTACCCGGATGATGCACTCATTCAGCCGCTAAAATGAAGTGTGTATTGATGGACACTTCACGCACTCAACGACCGCAGGTTTGCTTACGTAGCGGAAGGGGCGGAGCTATCGGACGCACATGTTGGATAACTTTATTTATTTTGGATGGAGAAAGCAAAATTCTCCTACGAGAGTGATTATATCGCCTCCCGATGGTGAATGCGGCAATACTCACGATAGGTATTATTTGATAATTCGGTCGTTTATTTCACTAATTTGGCAACTGTCAAACGTCATCAGGGAAACGGTTTGAATTTCCGTTTAGTAAAAAAAACATTAGTGTGCCATTTGGGACAACACTACATACATGTACTATCCTGTTGAGTGTGTAAGTGCATAAGTACATAGTGCATGAGTGCATAGTGTATAGTGTGCCATTTGGGACGCAGCTTATGTATTTGAAGTAGCGACGGCGAAAAGGGGTCAACTGTTTCGGTTGTATTTTATCGGTTATATTATTTTGTGTAATACCACGTCCTTCAGTTAATCAAATTTAATGGCATATATCTTATTTAATTAACATTTAACATAAAACGTTTAATTTTTCAGTGTGTTTTGGGATAGTTGGTCAAACAAACTATACAAACTATGCATCTAATTTGACTTTTAGGCTACAGGCCTACATCTAGTTGACAAGAAAAGTGTTTTGTGAACTCTTACCATGTCTATAAGCTAAGATTAATCGCATTCACAATGGTATAATGCATTATAGGAGTGGTCTAATGCACTGTTTCTCAACTACGTTCCTGGAGGACCACCAGATCTGCATCCAGATTATCAGCTCATTAGCAGATCCTGAAAGATCTGTAATGTGTGTGACAGACAAAGGAGAAATCTAAAAAATGCAGTGCCGGTCCTCCTGGAACGTGGTTAAGAAACACTGAACTAATGTTTATTTATATCATCTATTATTTAATCAGTAATATTAGTATTTAAGATGCAGATAACTATTTCTGGCAATGCGGTGGCACAGTGGGTAGCACTGTCGCCTCACAGCAAGAAGGTCGCTGGTTCAAGCCCCGGCTGGGTCAGTTGGCATTTCTGTGTGGAGTTTGCATGTTCTCCCCGTGTTCGAGTAGGTTTCCTCCGGGTGCTTCAGTTTCCCTCACAAGTCCAAAGACCTGCTCTATAGGTGAATTAGGTAAGCTAAAATGGTGTGTGAATAGGTGCGTATGGGTGTTTTTCAGTGATGGGTTGCAGCTGGAAGGGCATCCGCTGTGTATAGCATATGCTGGATAAGTTGGCGGTTCATTCCGCTGTGGTGACCACGGATTAATAAAGGAACTAATCTAAAAAGAAATTGAATCATTGAATCTTGCATCTACCCCCACCCCAACCATCACAGAAATGTAAAAACTGGACCCAGTATTGAATGTTATTTAATAAATTACCTAATAAATAGCATTTTGTAACGCCTACCCCTACCCCAAGCCTAAACCATCCGTCACAGTACTGTAAAAATATGAATTATACAAGTCAGCAAAGTTTCCAATACCTAAACCTGTTAACCAGTATTCAACTGAATTAACTTCTCTCCTATCATTACAGGAGTCGACTGAGAAAACCAGAGAGGAGCAGAAGCAGGAGACGAAGTAATGATGATAAAGAGCAGAGTTTATTGAATAATCTCATTGGAGCGTGATTCAATGCTCAGATTTCGTCTGACCAGGATAAATCCAATAAGTCTTATTATACCACAAGCAACAGCAATGGAAAATTACTGCTTCACAACATTGTCCAGAGACAATAAAGACCTTGAAATGAAGACATTCTCTTATCTGTAACTCATGAAAACAAGTATCACTTAAATCCACAGTCATGCGAGTATAAAAAAATTAATTCATAATTTAAAGCTGGTTAAATTCAGACTGTTGTCACACTTTATTTAAAACCCCTTTTAAAAGAAATTTTGCATAATAAGTCCACTTTGGAAAAAAACTGCACCTCATATTTACCATAATCATGCAGGCACTTTATATTTATTTTAATAATCAGAAAGGCAAAGACATTGAACTTTAATAATTCAAAACAATACACTTCAGTGCTACAAATGTTTGTCCATATCGTGTGTGTATGTATGTATGTATGTATGTATATATATATATGTATGTATATGTGTGTGTGTGCATATACACACACAGTTGAAGTCAGAATTATTGGCGCCCGTTTAATGTTTTCCCCAATTTCTGTTTAATGGAGGGAAGATTGTTTTAGCACATTTCTAAGCATAATAGTTTTAAAACCTATTTCTAATAACTGATTTATTTTATCTTTGTCATGATGACTGTAAATAATATTTTACTTGATATTTTTCAAGACACTTCTATACAGCTTAAAGTGACATTTAAAGGCTTAACTAGGTTAATAAGGTGAACTAGGCAGGTTAGGGTAATTAGGCAAGTTATTGTATAACGATGGTTTGTTCTGTAGACTATCGAAAAAAAAATTAGCTTAAAAGGGCTAATAATTTTGTCCCAAAAACAGTTTTTAAAAATTCAAAACTGCTTTTATTCTAGCCAAAATAAAACAAATCAGACTTTTTCTAGAAGAAAAAATATTATCAGACATACTGTAAAAATTTCCTTGCTCTGTCAAACATCTAATAATTCTGACTTCAACTATATATATATATATATATATATATATATATATATATATGCAAAAGGACTTAACAAATTTAAAATATATACAACTTTTAAAAGTCTCTCATATATCTACAAAAGACTTCATAGACGGCACTATACAGGAATTATTGAAATATTTGCATATCCTAAAATGATAGAAATTATCATTAAAACAAATGTACACGGATTTACATAGGGTGGGCTTGCTTATTAAACATCTACCAGTCCAAATAAACCTCACCAAGCAAGAACAAACACTTACCTGAAGAATTTCAAAGCTAGTGAATCTGACTTCAAGACGGTGTTCATTGCAAGCTCCAGACCTACACAAGTGCAACTGCTAGACACCAAGCAGATTATACTTTCACAGAAGGAACAGAAATATGCAAAGACATTAAAAAAACCAAACACTATAAAAGATATCTGTGAATGAGCAGTTTTCCATATTTTGTGATCATGTTTCAATTTTACTGTTTATTTATGCTTTTGAATTGCATTATGGGATCTAGATCTTTCTTCCAACAACTTTTAACCTTGAAAATCTCGGAAAAAGTGACTTAAGGACATTTATAAGTTTAAAATGATATAATGTTTGGGTTGATGTTGTATATTACACTACAAAAGCCATTAAGTAAACTCCAGCACATTTTCTGTTATCTTACTGACTTATTTCTCTCTATATTGTTGCTTATTCTAACATTATATTATTTAAAACTACTAAAATGTCAATAAAAGTCACTATGTTAGACTGTAGAGTTGAATTTTCAACATCAGATGTTGACATAGCAGAGATCAACATCCCATAATGCAATTCACAATCGTAAATAAACCAAAAATCACAAAATACAGAAACTAATTAACAGATATTATTACATAGTGTAATTCAGGCTTTTATATTAACCGCAATTGCGAAAAAAGCAGCATGTAAACTTTTGGAACCGCTCAAGATTGAGTAACTAGTGAAAAAATATAGGCTCATTCTGAAAATGTAGCCCTATATACATTTCTGGGGATCGCAAATTATGTAGCCAGAGGTACATATGGCAGCAAAACGCCTTTAAAACGAACGATACAGGGCGGTATGATGCCATCTTTGCGCTTCCAGCTAACCGCTTGCCTCCATCTGGATGGCCTTTCCGCTGTTACCAGATCGTCCAGTGGCTCGTCGCATACATCGGAGGATTTGAGATGCAAAGCAAAGTTGACCGTGACGAAGAACAGTTCCAGAAGGCAGGCAAAAAAGAAAAGCCAAAAAATAAAATAACAAGTAAATATCAGGGTGAGGATGTGGTAAAGTCTGAAAACGTGGTAAAAACCAGGTGAGCGCCTTCCTTTTTCTGGATTGCTTTTGAAAACACCGTTGGTTGGGTTTAGGGAAGGGGGTGGGTGCTGGTCAATCAGTGATTTTGAAAACACTATTGGTTGGGTTTAAAGAAGTAGCTGGGTGAGGGATCAGTTGGTCAGTCAGTCAACAGCAGCGTCTGGTGGATTTACGCAAGAACAGCATGTGCGAATGGCACTCGCAAGTGATTTGAGATCTAAAGCGTACACGGTGGCCTCTGGTGGATTTACAAAAAAAAAAAAAACCTATAAAAAAAAGACAAAAAGTAACTCTAGGGACATATTTGGTGCTCTCCAGAAATGTATATAGGGGTACATAATCAGAATAAGCCTGGGTGGTTTTTGGGTGAACTATCCCTATCGTCATAATGTGTGAGGATTACCTTATTCCAAGTGATGGAAAATCATCAATAGAGTGAAAAATGCAAGTTTAATTCAGCGTCAGTGAATCAGCATCTACATTTAATAATGGAAAAGAGGTTTAATCTGTATTAATTCAAATTAAATTTAACCAAACCATTTGGTTGGAGTGCAGTGAGTGCACTATTCTGTGTTTCTGAATGGCTGTATTTAAATTTCTGTCAAGTTTTGTCTGGTGCAAACAGCCTAATTGCTTATCCCTGCAAATCTGGTCACTTAAGAGTGTTGTAGGACAAGGGGTTACAATGTAACCTGCTCACCTAATGTTTACACTCATAATTTTGCTAATTAATAACCATCTCAGGTGGAACTCTGAATCTGTGTCTCATTTCAGAGTCACGGACGCATACTTTGTGAGCCTTCATGGCTGAATGAATAAAATAAGCTGTTTTCCAACAAGGCAACGCGAGGTGCTGAAATATCAAAACAAAGACAGACGTTCCGGCACGTAACACATTTTCAAAGCAGAATATCTGACTTCAGCATTGTTTTCCAGATAAACAAAAATGTTCACTTAGCATGTTTCTTAATTATCTGCAAACATATAGTATTTTTATGCTTTAGAAGAGTCAAAAACTTACATACAGCACCTTTAAAAGGACCCTTTAAGATCACAATTTTAAAACACAAGTAGAAAATGAACACTTTTTAGGCTTTTCGAGTTTTAGTTTTTGTGCAATCAGATGTACTGAACCTTTTTATATATTTTAAATCGAAATGTGTGACACAAAGTTGATTTTCTATTGAAAGGCAATGAATTTTCATTATAATCAATTTATTTATCATTAATTGAAATGTATAAAACAAAACAAGTAAAATTGAACAGATACTCGCAAAATACATTTGTAATATGCACATATAGAAAAAAAAAACGATTCGGTTTTAATTCTACATAGGTTGTACAACAATCAATTTGAAGTTAGAAAAAAAAAACAATGCATACAATAATGAAACACCACTCTGCTGCCATGAAATCCTCAGCTGCATCAGCTGATCAAAACAAATAAAGACTACAAAAAAAAAACTCAATCTGATGGCTCCTCCGTTTTACTAGTTTCTTGCTCCCATTTCTCCAGAAAAGCCTGCAAGTTCTGATTGAAGACATCAATACCTTTCCCAGACAGGTGAACCCCATCTGGCCTATAGATTCCCAAACCGCTTGTTATGTTGTTATGGCTCACAGTGGAGCCACCGAGTTCCAACATAACTGTTTGTATGCTGTCATTAATAGCCAATCGGATGATGTCCATTTCTTTGCCATCTACCGTACCCCTCCAGGACCGTCGAGAGAGGATGCTGGACCACACCAGCAGGCACCCGGGAAATATGCTCTTCAGCGAGGTCATATCATTCTTCACAGTCTGGATGAAGTCTTCTGGAGCGGTTGTGCTAATGTCATTTCCACCCAAGTGGATTATAAGCACATCGGGTTTGGGCCAGTTGTCTTTGAGCTGGTGTAGCAGTGGGACGAGCTGTTTCCACGTCATGCCCTGCATGCCCTTCCACCAGACCCGTGCGAAGTCTGAGCGCATGCCCAGCTGCATCCCAAACTCAGCGGACGTAGCCCTCTTCTCAGCCCAAAACACAAGAGAGTGGCCACATATCCACACATTCTTTATATCAACGGGGGCACCTTTACCTGTGAACGTGTTACAATATAAAGTGTACATTAACAGGCTTGGCCAAGAGACATTTCTTTTTTTATTTTTTAAACAAGGATGGTCCATTAGTTAACATCATATCAGGACCTAACATGGTGATGTTATTCCACATAAATACTCATCTTCCCTAACAAGCCTTACCTAATTTTTGGCAAATAAGTTGAGAATTAGAAACATTTCAGTTCAAATAAAACATTGAAATGGATCTACACTACTGCTGAGTTGGCTTTCAGAGTTCTACCATGTTCATTTTTGCTAACGCACATAGTTATTCTTAAAATGAACATATAATTTATACAAGTTAATCAACTGTTTTGGTAATCTTCAATCAAAGTCTGAGCATTCACTTCCACTTTGGAGTGGCGGTGGTTCTCTGTTGGGACGGATTCTTAAAGCTCCCATGAAGTGCTTTGAAATGTGCATTTTTATTCGATGTTTGACGTAATATCAACCGAAAAAATTAGGGCGGGAAAGAGTAGCTCCTTCCCTTTAACAAAAATAGCCAATAGCGTTTGGTTTTCCTCACAGCTGTGCCAGTGAGAGTGGTGAGATGAGAAGGGGGGGGGGGGGGGGGGGGGCACGTCAGATATTAAAGAGCATTTAATTGGTCAAGATTTCATTAGAAACTGAAGTATGAGGTGAAAAAAAAACGCTTGCATCAATGTTTTAAATCAGTTTTATATTTTCTAAAAGCAAACTTTACCACTGTTTTGGAGTAAACTAGCTTATAGATACCCTTAAAACAGACTGAAAGTAATTTAAATTAATTTCATGGGACCTTTAACCACGCCCCTCTTACTGTTCGTTTGCTACAAGTATATGATGCGCAAAAAGAAGGCCCCGCCCACTACTCAGTATTTCCTTTTAGTCAGAAGTATATCAACATACTGAAATATGTGTGTTGACTTCTAAACGTGAACTGTGTCATCGTTTTGGAGCACACTAGCTTATAGATAACCTTAAAACAGACTGAAAAGTAATTTATTTAAATTTCATGGGACCTTTATCCACGCCCTTACTATTAGTTAACTACAAATATATGATGCGCTAAAGAAAGCCCTGCCCCCTACTCAATATTCCGTTTCAGTCAGAAGTACATCAACATACTGAAATAAGTGTGTTGACTTCTAGTTCATGCAAACGTCAAAGACATTACAGTGGCATCATAAGCTATAATTGCGGTACATAAGTTAACTAATAATAAGCAACTTTAAAAATAGGGTGTACACTCCAAAAAACTACTGCTGAGTTGGCTTAAGACTGTCTAAATCAGGGGTCACCAATCTCGGTCCTATAGGGCCGGTGTCCCTGCAGGGTTTAGCTCCAACTTGCTTCAACACACCTGCCTGGATGTTTCAAGTACACCTAGTAAGACCTTGATTAGCTTGTTCAGGTGTTTTTGATTAGGGTTGGAGCTAAAATCTCCAGGACACCGGCCCTCCAGGAACAAGTTTGGTGACCACTGGTCTAAATCATGGATCTCAGACTGGATTCCTGGAGGGCCGCTGCTCTGCACAGTTTTGCTTCAACCACAATCAAAAACACCTCATCCAACTAATTAAGGCGTTCAAGACTACTACAGACTATTAAACAGGTGTAAGTTCGAGGTGGTTGAAGCTAAACTATGCAGAGCTGCGGCCCTCCAGGAGTTTGAGACCACTAGTCTAAATTGTAAGTGTTAAATCTTATACCCCAACACTGCCCTAAAACCTAATCTGCTTAAACTATTATCACTGTCCAGTAGTGATGGGTCGGTCTTAAAGGATTTGTTTATTTTGAACGAATCTTTTATGTGACTCGAAAACGATGAGTCCCTCTAAGAGAGTGATTCAATCACGCTCGCGCACATTTGTGCAGACGGAGATTAGTTAATTTTTCGAGTCCTCTATCAGGTTTGAGTCACGCTTGAGTTACGTTAAATGACTCAAAAACCCGAAGATGGGACTATGGGACTATCAGTGTCAGGTGAACGAATGACTCAAATTTGAAGACATGCCAGAAGAGGTGAGAAGAGCTAATCATATTTAAAACACCAGGTAAACAATGAAGGATTATGTTCTCTTTCTTAGCCTTGCATTGTATTGCATTGTATTGTAGCATTCTACTTCTGACTTGTTTGTTGTGTGATTAACATTTGGGCTAGTTGTAGATGTGTGGAAGAATCAAGATAAACGACTTGAGCGAGTATGAACGGATCGAACGAGCTGAACGAACCGAACGAGATGACCTGATCGAACGAGCTGTACGAACCGAACGAGATGACCTGATCGAACGAGCTGTACGAACCGAACGAGCTGAACCGATCAAACGAGCCGAAAGGATGTAACGAACTAAATGGATCGAACGGATCAAGCGAGATGAACAGATCGAAAAAGCTGAATGGATTGAACTAAATGCACGGATCGAGCTAAATGCACAGATCGAACGGAATGAACGGATCCAACTGAATGCACGGATTGAACTAAATGAACGGATCGAACGAGCTGAACGGATCGAACTGGATGCACGGATCGAACGAGCTGAACGGATCATACGAGCTGAACAGATCGAACGAGCTGAACGGATTGAACGAGATGAGCGAATTGAACGAGACTCGAAGGTCCGAGCCAGTAAAATGATCTGAACTTCCCATCACTACTGTCCATACAAATGAATCTAAATTGCAGTTTCAAGGTATTAAAAAAATACACACATTTTCAATATCCAAAATGCTTTCGTTTTCCAAAATTCTGACACATGGCTGGCCATTTTTAAAGGCTACAGTGTGATCTAATATTAGTCCCCTATCATGACCTGAGAACTACCTGAACTACCACTTCCTTGAGATCCCAGCATTGCTCTGCACAACTAAGGTAATCAAGTCTTCCTTGCAAGACAAAAGAACAACAAAACAATGCAACTGATAGCATCTGACGCTCTTAAGAAGTCAACAAATGCTTGAACCTCAAGACTCTGGAAATACTAATACCTGGAGCTGAATTTTGGTTTTGTCCACGCGATCGCTGGGCTTCCATTTGCTTCTCTTTCTTCAGCTTCATTCTCTGGTTAAACTGTTCGAGCTGCCCAGAGCACAATTATATAAGAACAAAACTCTCATTGACAAAACGGCGCTAAAACAATCAGCACATTTATCAATCGCAGATTTAGGATATTACAGATGAACTGAAGGCAATAAGCAACATTGTCCTTTGTGTAGCATCTGACCTTTTCTACATCGCAGAATTTACAAAAGTATGACAATGTGTATTAATTATAACAGAGATACTCAGGAACAAACAAAGGATTCCACATGAGAAGTTTGAAGAAAGATGTCATACCCTTTTCTTCTGCTTAGCCTTGATGTCGTCTTCTGTTATGGCTGGGACTTGTTTATCCTTGGCGTCCTCGGTTGAAGATTTCGCTTCAGTGTCCTCTACAGTTTGTATGCTAATAAGTGTACTATCCATTTTAATTTGTTTAGTTTCTATGGTTGTGAGGCATCTAACAGGGGGCTTTATTTTGTCAGCTGTGTTTTTAACAACCACTGGCTTAGCATAGGAAACATTACTTGCAGATTGTTGTTGAGGGATAGGGGTGGATAACTGACCATAGGAATGTGGCATATAGGTTGGATGCATATAATATGGATTGGACATTGATGCATTGTATGAACCGTATGGATTATAAGCAGCCGTCATATGTGGTGCCATTGCTTGTTGACCACTAGTATAACCTACTTGAGAGGATGAAGGTGCTGTGCCGTAAGGGTACGCACCCCAAGCATGCTGACTACTGCTTTGATATTGTGAATACTGCGGAGCTGACGTGCCGTAATTCTGGGTATACTGGGAATAGTCCTGCTGAGCGGTCCCTGGCTGGAATGAACCTTCAGTAGCCGCCTTTTGCTCAGATGAAGTACTGTGTGAATCCTGTTTGTCTTCTGTCAGTTTTACATTTATTATGGTTCTCTTAATACTAGTTAGGTCTACCTCTCCAACTTCGTCCTGGTTTTCGGATTTGAGCTCTTTATAGCTCATGTACACCTTTCGAGATGACGACTGAGCTGGCGAAACAGACCTGAAGCTCTCAGAGTCTGATGAATCTGCCCTACTGCTACTGCCTCTCTGCTCTGATCGGCTCATCGATCGCTCCCTTTTGTGCTCAAAGGAGTGAGATGCGGTGCTAAGAGGTTTTTTCATCTTACCATACAATCGCTCTTGCGTCCTGTCAGCTAACTTGCTAACCTCTGAAGTGTCTAGGTTAAGCCCTATGGTTTGAAGAAGACTCTGAAGCTTTTCAAAGTTCTCTAACTTTCGGTCTTTTTCTTCAGTGCTTTCCTCGGACTCCTGACGGGCTAAGGTTTTGCTAAACGCACCAGGCATCCTTCTTTCCTCTCCGTAGGAGTGCTGGACATCTTGTCTGACATCCTCGTACTCTACAGGCTGACTATGTTCTTCGGGGTATTGTTTTTGTTCTGTTGCAAACAGATTGGCATCCTTTTCGTACTGCTTCCATTGCTCGGGGTACAGATTGGGATCTTCTTTAAACATGCTCCAATTTTCAGAAAGCATTTGATGCTCGTATGGGTTCTTCTCAGCTTTTGAAGTAGGGTCTACACTATACTTCATTCCAACAAGTCGAGAAAAGCCACTACCATCCTGAACGGCTCTTTCATGAGGCAAGAGGTCATCTCTGTTGGAGTCCTTTGCAACTCGTTCTGGGCCAGAATGTTTTCCCAAAAGAGAAGGCTGATCATTGTCTTCGTCTTCCTTAAAAGGATCATATATCTCATCAATTAAGGGAATTCTTCTCTCGGCTTGCATTGGAGCAGGTTTCTTGGTGTTCATTAGAGCTTGGTCCTTTCTAGCCTCCTGAAACAACGAGTTAACAACACTAGTGTCGGCCTTGTTGAGAGCACTAAGGAAGCGCTCCATTTGAGTGGTAAGATTGCACTTTTTATCTGATGAAGAACTCTGGCTTGTTGAAGGGATACTGCTTTGGGGAGGGTTTTGAGGCTGCCGAGATGATACTCCAGGTTGGTCATCGTGAGCTTTGGAAACGGTGGAAGGCTTCTGGCTGAGTAAAGATTTTGAGCTGGCTGCTTGCATGAGTAACTGTGGCATGACTAGTTTGTTAAAAGTGGGCGTTTCAGTCACTCGAGGGGCTGCTGGAGTTTCCTGCTTCATTCGATTGAAAAAGCCTAAAGAAACTGATTGAATAGGCTGCGGATTTAAAGGCCGGTTAAACAATGCTGCTGCTTTTGCCTGAGGGGATGGTATTGTAAATGGAGAATCATCCGGAGATGGCTGATCATATTCATCAACTGAGGTTGGGTCACTCTGCAAAGCATAAAACGCAAAAAATAAATACTGTGCTGTTAAATACTGTTCATAGAGGTCTGACGTCAATCAGAGCTTGCTAGCGCGCCTCCAGTTATACTGTAGTCTGTAAGGTGTGCTTTTTCAAAAAGCAGAATAATATATATTAGGGCTGTCAATGACTACGTTTACATGAACACCAATACTTTGATTTTTATACAATTAAGACAATACTCTGATTAAGAGGCTACCATGTGAACAGCGATTTTTGATTAATCTGATTACGGTCATAATCGAACTGAACAGAAATCGCATTAGGACAGGTAGTATGCCAGTTTTAGTGGCATAACTGAAGTGCAGTACAGACATGTAAACACCTTAAACTATTACCTTCGTGTAAGATTTCCGCCACATTTTACGACAGGATAGTCTATACACACATGTCAGATTGACACTATTCTCTGCACCTACTGAGTCAGTGGAAGACCACAGACACCATCGCGTTTTTTTCCCCATGTGTATCAAATTCCCTTAAAACTACACTCTTCTGTTGGCGCAATAGCCTAGTGGCGCAATAGCCTCCCGGCTCGAGGACATTTCCCTACCCTACCCCCCTCTCTCTCTCTAACATCGCTTCCTGTCTAAATATTGCCCTATCTAATAAAGGCAAAAAGGCCAAAAATAAATCTAAAAAAAAAACTACACTCTTCCAGCGGTTCATACTCTCATCTAACATCTCGTTTATCACATGGGGCATGCATGAAAAGTTCTTGAATAAAAGTGAAAGTGCCAAACTGCAGTTAGTAGACAAATTAAAGATTAAACACCCAAAATTACGTCAAAATTTTGAAGGAAATGTGGATAGCGTGTTGACATTGATCAAAGTATGTGCTATTAGATGAAGAATAGGATTATGAAAAAAATCATTCAAAAAAGCAACTCATGCAAACACCTTAATCATATTATTTTCTTATTCAGATCAAGGCAAATAATTTGATTACTGGTGTCCATGTAAACGTAGTCATTGTTAATGCATTACCACATGCAATTAATCTGAAAATGTTAACGTGTTTATATTCTTTTTGTTTGAGGTACATTTCTTGAAGTCTGAGATACCATCTTTGAACCAAACGCAAAGTTGATTGAAAATGTAAATGAATCGTCACTGACTGCAGGCCAATCAACATCTTTCAAGATCACCATCAACAGGAACTAATGGTACAAGAATACATAAACTGTATGATATTGGGAGGCGACACGGTTGCAAAGGGGTTAGCACTGTCACTACACAGCAAAAAGGTTGCTGATTCAAGTCCTGACTGGACCAGGAGGCATTTCAGTGTGGGGTTTGCATGTTCTCCACATGTTCACGTGGATTGCTTTGGGTGCTTTGGTTTCCCCCACAGTCGAAAGACATGTGGTATAGTTGAACTGGATAAAATAAATTGGGTTTATCTTGGGTTCAACAGGGTTTCTGTGTGTTTGTATTGTCAAGATGACTACAGAAACGTTTAAAGATCGAGGAGAGACTTGTGGCCTCTGTTTAGAGTTATCCAGAGCTGTATGACTTGAAACAAAAAACAAATATTGAACATCACAATATTATTAAAAATTTCAATTATAACAATATCAACACAAATGCTTGCACATAATACGCACCTGATTCAGTCATTGCCTAATGACCAAGTGCATCAAACTTCTTTTTTCTTGTCAACAAAAAAAGGCAGTGCGGTGCGCCTCGCATTCAAAGAATGGAAAAGTGCACTTGGTGAGATTAACCCCTGACAGCTAACCGATGACAATAGACTTCTGCACTTATTCACTTAAGGTTAGTTAAAATAATAAATTATACGAATAAAACATGATAAATATAGAGGACATGTCTCCTTAAACTAGATTGCCATGCATTTCTTTGTTTAAAGACCACGATCAAGATTAACACATACTTTTCTACACGTACATCGACAGTCCTAATAAATAAATAAATATAGTAGAGGGCATCCCAGCAGCTAAGCCCAGCTTCAGATGGTAGCTAGATAGATATGCTTTCTTGATGATTTAAATCAGCCATTTTACCATAAATATTGACTTTAAAATGTCTGGGTCATACCATCTCATCCAAAATTAAACCTGATATAACTGGAAAAGCACATAATCTGGCCATGTAACTACACAGCCATGCTTTGAAAACCAGCTTTACCACCTAATGCTATTTTTTTCCACCTAGTGGAACTAGAGTGCTAATCTTAATTTGACATTTTACAAATTAACAAACCTGAGAGCTGAGAACTTCTGACTGCCTCTTCAAGATGGACTTTTTGGGCTGAATATCGGGTTTTACTTTAGAGCTCCATAGGTTTCCTTTAGACAATACAAGTTGATCATCGTTGTCTGAGTCCACATCATACTCTGTTTCCATTTCAGGTTCCAAGTCTTGCAGAACTTTGACTTTCTGTTTCATGGCCATGATTGCTCTTTTACGTGCTAAGGTCTCACTGAGTTCATCCAATTGCATCTTCTTCCTAATCAATTCTTCATTCTCAATCAGAGGTAAATATATCTTCTCAGATTTCGCCGAGTTGGTTTCAAATAGTTCAGAGTTGGTTTCAAATAGAGACAAGCCAGGTATAATTGAGCTATAAGCACTAGTTTGTTGATGGTATCCAATTTGCATTTCTTGATTCTCACTCTTAACAGGAGCAGGAGCTTCCTTGCTTGCAGAAGCCTTGGAAAAGATAAGACAGACAGTGAGATGTGCAAGAAACCAATTCAATACAAAACGAAAAGCCCAAATTGACACAAACCTGAGGTATGGGATCAATGGAAGGTTCAGACTGCTTCTTCAAAATAGATTTCACTGGTTTTAGGTCAGGCGTCCACACATTCTCCCGATGCATATGTTCATAATCAAATGTCGTAACTCCACTTTCTCCCTCAGGTTCAATTTTTTTGGCACTTTGCTCCAAAGCAACGATAGCTTTTTTACGAGCAATCAGCTCATTGAGCTCCATCAGCTCTCTCTTTTTTCTCAACAACTCATCATCTACATCACCATCAGGGCTTTTAACTTTCTTTTTGCTGTCTGATTCCTTAGAAGGGTTTAGTTTAATGCTGCGACCATATTGGTCAACGGGGCTGCGGCTTCTCTTTCTGGATTTTTGGCTGCTCCTTTCTCTGCTTCTGCTGCGACTGTTACTCCGACGGGATCTCTCCGAGCGATCTCTGCTCCGACTGCGTTTGGACCTGTATCGGCCGTCCTTCCTTTCACGACTGGAACTTCTGTACTTCTTGTGATGGCTCCTGCTTCTGTCTTGACTCCTGCTTCTGCTTCGGCTGTATCTGCGTCGGCCACGCTCTCTGCTTCTGCTCCTACTACGACTATACCTACGTCGACTACTTTCCCTGCTTCTGCTCCGCGCTCTATCACCCTTAGCGTTTTCTTGTTTAACAACACTTTCCTTCTTCAGATCATTTACAGATGATGCCTTGTTTGGCCTGCTAAAAAATAATTAAATTAAAAAAACATAAAAAACATTAATGTAGAAACAATTTTCTATTCAATTGTTGCAGAGGTTACATCATTTATACAGCATTTATACAGCATAACTGACCTCAATATATGAATAGCAATACTTATACTGTAATTACAATACAAAAGTACAAAATTACTTAACCCAGACGGGAATTTTGTATGTTTGAAGCAAATATAACTTGTATAGGTTCAATACTAAGCTTCTATCGCTTTTAATGTCCAATCCAGCACTTATGACTACTTCTCTAATAATAATTTAAAGGTGGCATCGGATGAATATTGTACTTTTGTAGATATTTTTGTGAGTTTCTTCTTTATCTGCCAGCTCAAACAAGTTGAAAAGAAAGCAGATTTTAAAAAATGTATTCAAATGCCATAATATTCTAGCTGATATAGAGGAATCCAGCTAGTTCTGTACCTGCCTACATGCATACTATGGACTCTACCCTCCTCCTGTAAGCGGATTGGTTGGCAAAGTGGTTGATCAGATGTAACTTTAGAGACTCAGAGGTGTCCTTACTCAAACTTCCAACTCTAGAAAAGGCAGTAGTGAACTGAACTACTTTAATGTATGAAGGGAATATCCCAGAACTTGATTGTGCATGGTGTGCAAAACATTTTTGGCGTACTGCTATATGTTGCTGACCATGTCCATTTCTTTACGAAAACAGTGTACCCATCTTCTGATAGCTACTTTTAGTAGGATAACGCACCATGTCATAAAGCGTGAATCATCTCAGACTGGTTTCTTGAACATGACTGAGTTCACTGTACTCAAATGACCTCCAGAGTCACCAGAACTCAATCCAATTGAGTACCTTTGGGATGTGGTGGAAAGGGAGATTCACATTACGGATGTGCAGCCAACAAATTTGCAGCAACTGCGTAATGCTATCATGTCAATATGGAGCAAGATCTCTGAGGAATATTTCCAGTACTTTGTTAAATCTATGCCATAAAGGTTTAAGACAGTTCTGAAGGCAAAAGTGGACCCAACTCTGCATCCGATGTCACCTTTAATACTTAATTTTGTATTCAAAAAAAGCTCAATCATGTCAAAAGTAATGCACTCAAGACAAAATAAATAAAACAACTTTTTTAGGCTTACGGTTAATGTAATAGCATACGAATGAAGCACTCCTTTAGAGCATCTAATCAGTGGGCTAAACAAACCTTCTTACTCCTGATTTACTTACTGTACATTCATTGAGTCACTGTCTTTTTCTTCCGTTTTGGCCTCTTGCTTGATGTCTTTTGGATCCTTCAGCAATTTGATGGTCATTTTCTTCTGTAGGCAGCCAAGCAAATGTAGTAGAGTCCATTTTTAGGGATCAATCAAACCACAGAAAATGAAACAGCTAACGGCATAAACTGCTAATATAACGGACTTACTAGACATTGCACTGACTATTTGATTAGTTAAAGCATAAGCCATACATGCAGATATTAGATCTACTCATGTTTAAGCGACTAGTAAAAATGTAGATTAACAACAACAGAAGTTGAAGTACAGCACCTTCTCCTTCACCCCAAAGGCCTCTAATTTTGGTGCAGATGTGAAGACGCTCTCATTTAGCCTTCTTATTCTGACAGCTTGTTTTCCACCTTCAACTTCTTCGTTCTTCAAATAGCACAACAATTACATTAAAAAAACTGGACTGACAATAGCATACAAAATGTTGCCCTGTCATTCTTTTCAGAAAAAAAACATAACTACAATGTTACTGTAGTAATACTGCAATAATGCAACAAAGATCACAGGTTTTAAATGTAGAGAACTTACCGGTACTAGAGTAAATTCAACCTTTTCAGACAAAGCGAGTTTGGCATCCTCCATTACCTCACATAAGTCAAATAATAGCTGTGGTTCCTGTTGTGTCTTGATGTACCCACATTTATCATCCAGCTTGATAACAAGTCCCTAATAGATGAAAGCATGCGATAAGCAACAGTAAACGTTGATTGAAGTTGAGAATTAAATTAAAGAGCACGTTATCAGCTACATTTCAACCATTGATAACGACATAAGCCATTTTGGTGTTCTGGTGAACAAGAGAATGGGCCAGAAATCTTTGTTAAATACATGAACAATTACAATTAATCAAAAACTATGACTCCTAGAAAAAAATCCTGAAAAAGAAATGATCCACTGGCCCACACGGTGAAGGCATAAACAACAAATTAAAGAACAGCGACAAATATATGTCCGTTTTATACTTTTAAATACATTTTATTCAAACAAGTTGACAAACTTTTTATCGGCAAAACTTAATTTCAGTAAAAACAGAAGAACACCGTGGGCTTGGTGATGAAGGCTCCACACACAGCCACTAGAATAACCGTTAAAGGTGCAGTATGTAAGTTTGACACCCGGTGGTGAAACTAGGTATTGCACTTTTGGATCAATACACATTTGCAAGCAGCAGAAAATGATAGAAGGAATATTTTCCAGATCAAAAGGAGTTTTTGTCCTAATCAACATCTGAAATTTATATATTATAAACGGCTTCTATTTCTTGTAGCTAAACCACAGAAATCTGACAATAATCAGCTCAGGTACACCTCATGTGCTTTATTCAGTGTTAAATGCTAATAATGTGAGTCTGAATGCCATTTTACATGACATTTATTGACGTACTACAGAAAGCAGCAGCAGATAGTTCACCTCAGAACTTAAAGATAAATTAACCCTTTGAAATTGAACCTTAGAGCTGTGACTCAGTGCAAGCCAACACATATCAGTGATTCAGCATCTACATTTAATAATGTTAAAGAGGTTTAATATGTATTAGATTATTAACCTTACCATTACGTTGGAGTGCAGTGAGTGCACTATTAAGTGCTTCTGAATGGCTGCATTTTAATTTCTGTCGTGTTTCGTCTGGTGCAAACAGCCAAATTGCTCATCACAAGTCAAGTAGCGTGTTGTTAGGAGACAGGGTTACAAGGTTACCTGCTCAACTAATGTTTACATTTGTAATATTTATATTATTTGCTAATTAATAACCACAGATGTTCCAGAATGAAATGCAAATTTTCAAAGCAGAACATCTGACTTCAGCATTGTTTTTCAGATAAACAAGAATGTTCACTAAGCATGTTTCTTAAATATCTGCAAACATATTATGGTATTTTTATGCTTTAGAAGAGTCAAAAACTTACATAAAGCACCTATAAATAATGCCATTCAAAAACCAAAGTGCAATTGAAAGGTGAACACATTGGCAACTTTAAAGGCAATTTCATTATTATCCAGATCCCTGATGCATGCATTATAGAATTGATCATTATGACCAGATCTCAACAATTCAACAATGTCATGTGACCAAAGCATAATCACAGCGTTTGCAGTATAAAAATAGCTTTTTTTATATTGCAGTCTCCAGTGTCTGTGCTATTCTCTCAAAAAAAAGTTATAAATAATAATAAAAATATTATTTGCATTCGTTTAAACTACAGTTGTGTGCATCTCAATCCCATCAAACGAGCCCTCTTCAACCACCACTGCATCCTTGTGTAGTTTATTGACTCTCCTATATAGCATCTTCAACCTCCGGCTTTGTTATTAGTCAGAAAATGCGACTTCTACTAGCAAAAATTTAATTCTTGTGCCTCATAATACCACCTAATAACATTATAACTAACATGTTTTGCAAATGATTGTTATCGACCAATGTGTATTATAAAAAAATACAGATACTATTTTATCACCCTGCCCTGGTAAAAAAAAATCTAAATCAAAAGTCAACAGCACCTTTAGACATGTTTTCTGACAAAAATGGTGACGTGCTTAATACTACAATATATTATTTTTCCTGCTGTATCTGAATGCACACCTGACACCATTTGTTAACTGGACAAATCACCATGGATGAAACAGATAAAGACACTCACTATCTTTCGTTGCTCCTCTGTGTCTGACAGAAAGGTTTCCGGCAGGATCTCCACATTGACGGCGCACTCCTCATTGGTTACACTGTTGGAGCAAATGTTGAACTGGACCTTGTCTCCGTTCATCATCGTGGCTTTCGACATCACATCTCCCAACTTAAAAGATAACCTTTTCTCCGTGCCTTCTTCTAATGTAGTGACCAGAAGACCCAAAGTGGGCAATTGACAGTCCATCTGCTCAAAAGAAAATAAAAGTAAAAATCTATATTTTTTCTTTTTAAGTGCCATGATCATTGCAAAAAACAATGAGACTGTGCATGTACACCAATACTCCGATTAAGACAATACTCTGATTAAGAGTCAACTATGTAAACAGCAATATTTTTTATTCCCTTAATCTGATAAAAGTCAAAATTGAACTAAACAGAAATGGAATTAAGACACGGTGTATTGCTATTTCAGCCGCATTATTGAAGTGCACCCCCTTGGTCAAACTATTACAGTTTCGTAGTACATTTCATTACATTTTGCAACAGGACATAGACACTAGCAGCTTCAAGCAAGAATACACATTTTTTTTGGTACAAACGTGAACCAATGACTATGCTAAGAATAAAAAAAAAAAAAAAAAAAAAACAAGTGTGTGTGTTTTTACATCTGCTGTTTTGAGCACTGGTGTGCTTTTGATCACCATTAAACATAGTGTCCCGAAAAGTATTCTGTGTGCACGAACGTTAAGTCTTTAAATGCATCACTAAATATGAAGTAATATAAATAGCGTACAGTTTTATACATTATATTTATCTGTTAAAAATAGCTGAAATTAGCAAATAAAACACAATGTAGGCCTACTGGGTAAAAGGGTATGTCTCTCAGACAATTTTAGAAGCTGTCATTCATTCATTCTCACCATACTTAATGTCTTAGTCCCGTGTTTATCCTCATAGCATTCACGTGGGATAAAATGCATATAAACTCTTGTCTTTCGTGAAACGCAGTTGCCATTTTATGTAGAGTAAATCAAACTCAAAGTAGCGCCGCTGCGCAAACAAACGCTATGTATGCATGTTACACTTCCGACTGCACATTGTGTTTTCTTTTTCTGATAATGCACAGAGTTTTGAGGTACGGGTTATTTACATTTGCCATTCACTGACAGTCGGACAGGTTCATCCAGTTCGACAAACTCCATAATTTAAAATCAAAATAAAACAGTTTCCTCATAAAAGCCGGAGTATCAGTGCGCTGCTACATTGAAAACATATGATTCGATTCTCACCTTTTGATTGGTTCTTGGGATATAGCGGCTTTTGCAAGCAAACTGTTATTTGTGAATGTGCTGACACTGCACTTTAGATAATTTGAAGCAAATCTATTTATTGATGGTGTACTACGTGCCTAAACCATTCACTCAATGTCATTATCTCATTTTTGGCGAAAGTGTTGTTTAAAGGCTTTTGCATCTGAACTCTTCATACACACATACACACGCACGCACGCACACACAAATGCATTTTCATAAATGAAAAGTAAAATGGAAAAAAAAAATGCAATAAAATAAAACCCTTGACATTCTATGACCTGGATCAAAAATATATACAATTATATTTTTTATATACAATTTCCATGACTTTCAATGTCTGGATTAGACCTTTAAAAACCATGATATTCCATGAGCATTTTCAATTCAACATAGAGAGCTTTTAAAAATTTCACAAAACTTTATTATTTACTCAAAACAAGATAACAAAAAGTTGTTTCTTTATGCATTTGTGGATTTTTTAAAACGCTCAGCATAATAAACACCCTATTAAAACATTTAATTAGTTTTTTCATCTTTTTGTTTAGTGAAACACTATTCAGCCTGTGGGAATATAAAAGCTTACCTCTTTATCTAGAGTTGAGCTTTCCTTTGAGGCGATTCTGATGACCGTTCCCTCATATTTCTCACTACTTATGTTGCAGTTTGCCTCGGTGGTCACAGGCTTCCACTGTAAACATGAACAGTTTAGCGTTTTCCACAACTGGACAGCCATAAAAAATGAAGTCCTTTTATTAGTCTACAATACCTTGTCATTCCCTTTTGCTTGCTGATTGAAGGTCACAGAGCCATCAGGAAGCTTTTTGAGCCGGATAGCCTTCTTTGTGTCATCCACCTTCAACACAAATAATACACAAATTAAGAAGCAGCCCAAACAACTCACAACATGCCAAAAATAAATGTATAATAGTAATCAGTGCTTCTGCAGGATTTATAAAAGATAATAAAAAACAACATTAAACCAACTAAAAAAATTGAATTGATTAAAGAGGGAATAAATACAGCAGTATCTTAAAGTCCACATGCACCGAAAACTACAATTGTTTTTATTTCGTATTATGATGCAGTTCCTAGAGAAACTGAATAATAAATAAGAAAACAGTGGGTGTGGCTTGTTTTTTCTACTGCAAGCTAATTGGATGCAGTAAAGTAGGCATTTTGAAAAGGGTTTGGAGAGAGTTATTACAACCTAACAGACTCCTCCTCCACCTCATCATTTCTGTTTGTTGTCATAACTGACAGCTGGAGGGGCGTGGTTAAGTATGTTAGCCACGCCCAATACCTCAGACAGACGTAAGCTGAGAATTTAACTGAAACCTGAAAAGGGCAAACAATTATTTTTTTTCTTAATGACATGCACAGATGAACTGTTCACCACAAAACTAGCAATGTGCGCTAACAAAATAATATGGTTAGTTTTGGTTTCATTTGTACTGTAAGAACTAGGGTTGGGCGATGTTGACCAATTTGGCATCGTACGATGTCTAATGTAAAACATTGGGATGGACGATGTCATCGTCATTGTAGGTGGTGGTGAATTAATTATTTGTAGCCTACCGTTTCAACTACCTCGCGCGCTTGTTTCCATTTAAATTTATAAAGGTCATATAAGCATCAAGAAGATCTCAGCATCTCATTTCGCAAAAGAACGTGTACTGACATTTCCAAGTCTTGCGAGTGTACGAAATGAAACACACAAGGAAACTACCCATTAAAATTCAGCCCATGATCATATTAAAATTTCTGCTTTGATTTCCAAACAAGGAAAAAGACTTTAAGAGCCACAGAAACCCTGAATAATGTTACTTACAATAAAAACAGTGAGCTCCACTTCATCCATGACATTCAGCTCCTCATCTGTTAAACTGTCAGCAGCAGAGGCTGCCAGGTTATCGTGTTTCTCTGTCATGATGGTCAGGTTTCCATCAGTCTTGCTCATGATCACACCCTAGGGAGAAAATAATACACATATTTCCAGAACTAAGCATTAAGTTTGTCTGTGTAAAACCCTTAAATAATTAATAAAAACCCATTATCATCCCTCATTATGTATTTATATGCATTGGCTGTCAATGTTTAACCGGCAAAGCTTTAAACAAACGAAACTTAGGTACTTTTGTCAAAATGAATGAGTGTCATGAGTGTATGAGTTAAAGGGATAGTTCTCCCAATATTGTTAAAAACTCAGAAAAAAAAAATAAAAATAGCAGCACGGTTATTGCAGCTGGACCATGTGCTGAATGAGTATTTGAGAACGCTCACCTAATTCACTCACACACTCACTTATTCAGACAGAGACTGTTTTTTTTTTTTAAGGTAAATTACCATATGGACATAATCTGGTAAAAGCTGGGATCTCTGGGCATTTACAATGTCCCATGCAACAGATAAAAACCCTCTTATTTGGAACTGAGGTTTTTGGAACAGTGAGACTTGGCCAAGGTTGACAGCAGTGCGTAACGCGCATTGTCTTTCCACCACTTGAGAGGACAAGCTATGAGTGAGATAGAGGTCTCTTAGCAGTACAAGTCAATGTCTGCATCAATCTGAGCAGTGTGCTGTGTTCTGCTGTCCCCTTGACTGTTAGGCCGTACTCAAACTAGGTACAGTTGCCTCGAACCGGGCCAAACACGCTCCCGTCCCGTCTCTCCCGACGGCCCGCGCTCACACCACAAACGGGCTTTGGCACGCTTACGTCATCGCTGCTGCGCTGTTCAGTGAGAAGCACTCTCTCACTCAGCAGCACAGTGGAGATTTCTCTAGTTATATTGTTTCAGTCGTTTGATATGCCGTCAAATATTTCGCTAAACAGTCCTTAACGATGCGGGGACACGCAGTCAGATATTTCGCCGAACAGATCCGCCACTTTTGGCGCTCATAAACAATCATAAAGCTCTCGTGCTGCAGGAATGAGGAGGTCTGCTGAAGGCGCAGCTGTCGTGCTGTGAGGGGTTTGCGTCTTTAATAAACTACGGCAGTTTGCGTTCACTGAACAGTAAGAATGATTAATAAATCCATATAAAACAGCCCCTTAAAAGTCACGTCTCGCTTTCAGTTTCGGGCTTTGGCGCGTTTAGCCCAAGTGAACCGTGCTCAGGCACACCTCTTCCAACCGGGCCAGGGCCGGCCAAGTGAACCGTGCTTGAGCCCGATTAAAATCACTCACACTTCTCAAACGATCCGGGAAACGGGCCTGGGCACGGTACGGATGGCATAGTGCGAGTAGGCCCTTAGTCGTATTCCACGACCTGTATTTCCCCACAGTCTGTCCTGCATACTGTTTTTTTCTTTGTCGGTCACCTTTTCTCCTTTCTTGTACGTTTTTTTTAGAGACAAACTGAAATGCACATCCGATTTAAATCCTGGTTTAGGTTTGATTATTTCCAGCTCTTTTCTTCCCCGCTACTAGCAGTACCCTCCATTTCCGCATTACTAGATCAGTAGCGACAACAGACCGCAAAGGATGATGGCCATACCTGGGCTGATGGGAATTGTAGTTCCCACTATCTCCGGTTGACTCCATTCGCCCAAGCAAACTTTTCTCAGAAGACCTATAGTTTTAGAGTCGTGCGTCCACGGTAATATAAAAAAAATTGCTATTGCAGTATGATGGCATTTACAATACCGTTACATCCCTACAACCTAGATTTAAAAACAGGCAGGGATGAAACAGATGTAATACAGAGGGGCAGAGCATTCCACAACCTACGACCAGCTACTGCGTAGGCACGGTCACCTCTGCATTTCAGCCTCGACTTAGAGATGCATAACAATCTCAGAGATGACCGAAGAGACTGATCGACCAGGCGGATGCTTAATTAACATGTCTGACAGATAGGAAGGTGCCAGGCCATCTAGAGATTTAAAAACCAGGAGAAGAATTTTAAAAGTGACTCGATAGTGCACAGACAGCCAGTGCAAAGGGCGTAAGACTGGTAAAAAATGTGGTTATGTGTCTTGGTACCTGTTAAAAGCCTTGCAGCAGCACTTTTAACTAATTGTAAAGGGGATAAGGTTTTCTGACTAATCCCAAAGTATAATGAGTTACAATAGTTCAATCTAGTGGTGATAATAGCATGGATTATTTTCTAGATAGATTCGATTTGACTGTTTTTAAACGCCGAAGCTGAAAATAACAGGGATTTGACCACTGCATTTATCTGTTTGTCAAAGCTCAAGCCATCATCCAGAATAACACCCAGATTTTTTACCTAAGGTTTCACAGAAAAACTTAATTTTTCAAGATTAACTATGGGTGCTCAGCAAGAGTTTGACAGGCCAAACAAAATTATTTCAGTCTTACTTTCATTGAAATCTAGAAAGTTCAAAGACAACCAGGGTTTTACATCCGACAAGCATAGCACAGGAGTCTCTAGCCCACTTGAACTTGGTTTTAAAGGCAGGTAGATTTGGGTGTCATCCGCAAAACAGTGAGAAGACAGACCATGTTTTCTAAAAATAGAGCCCAGAGGAAGCATATATAAGGAGAAAAGAATAGGGCCTAAAATAGATCCCTGGGGAACACCACATGACAAATGTGCTGCCTCAGATGAATGTTCTCCAATAGTGACTTTAAAACTGCGATTGGACAGATAGGATTTAAAGCAATCCAGGGTACTTCCTTTTATCACTACACAATGGTCTAAGCGGGCCAATAAGATGGCTTGGTCTACTATATGAAATGCAGCACTTAGGTCAAACCTCACACCTTAAGAAAAAGCACCAACAGTCCTTCAATTTCACAGACTCAACCAAAACAATTTGTTATATGATGTGAATCTTACCATCTCCCTGACTTCTTTGGTGAGCTGAAAAGTGTCTGGTATTTTTGGTTTGATGTTTGTGGCTCTTTGCTCCTTGGTGATAACATTGGTCAGCAACTGGAACTCCACGCGATCATACAGCAGCAGGGTTAAATTGGTGTCCGCTTTACTGTAGGGCAGTTTAATGGGATCTGTTGAGATGATAGTCCTGATGCATCCCAGATTAGTCTCCTTGGCACCTTCCTTTAAATACACATAGAAGGAGATTTAATGTTTCTATTGTCCTCAGAATTAAGTGAATAAATATTTTTTTCCTCTGTATGATAGCATGTTATGCTCTTTCAGCCAACACAGTTTGATCTATAAAAACAGTTGAAATTGACTACAGTTACCCTTTTTTGGGGGGTGTTTCTTAAAGCCAAATAGTCGTTAAATGAAAATAGTTGTGGCATGTCTGGGATTTAAAGTTAAACATTTTCCAAAATTGCCAATTCCATAATTCAATTCAATTCAAGTGTATTTGTATAGCGCTTTTTACGATAATTATAGTATTAAAGCAGCTTTGCAAAAGGTGCACATTATTGCATTACTATTAGCATTGGGCCGAAAGACGATGCCGACAAACTTCACGATGCTGAGCCGGCATATTGATCCATCGCCTCGTTCCACATTTATATTGATATATAACTTATTATTTGCATGTCATCTTAATAGAAATAATGGTCTCTTCATGAGCTGTGCTAAACTTCACATAAAGCTGCCGCATGCATAGCTGACAGCATCGTGAGGATTACATAAAGAATTATACAGTACCCGTGCTTAAAATGTGTAGATTCAGTGGGAAACGCTGTTACCTGCAAACCCCGTCCCACAGACTTTACAGTGAATGGCTTTACTCATTTTCATAGCGGACTTGAAGCCACTGGAAGTCTTTTATTCACTCTTGGAAAAGTGTAAATAGTGGATTAACATGATCACTAATAAGATGTGCCATTATTAGTAACTGTAGGTAAATCTGTCAGTGTTGTTTTCATTCTCTCATCCTCAGCACTTCACATTTCCTCGGTGGTAACTCCTGTCATCTGAAGGCAGAAGTCATTGACTGAGTGATTGACAGCTGATATTAACCAATCCATTCGCGTTCAGTTCTAAAGCAGTGGACCCATAAGAAGTGCACAAAGGCGGGGCAAGCACTGCAGGCTTTTTTTACTTCAGCAAGTTCACACAACAACTGTTTAATCTATTCCCAAGCGCTGCGTTTGGAGTTTTTAGGTGCGAAGATGCATTCTGCATAAATGTCTCCTAAATCCGAGCACGCGGTGAGGATTTTGCCGTAAAAACAGTGAAAATGTATGCACTCGCACAAATGCTTCCAAATATATTTTAAGGTCGCATTGATAAAATTTTGGGCGCATATGCGACAAAAACGGTCAAGCCCTCGCATCTTTACTTGTTATTATTTTCTCATAATAATAATAATTTATGGAAGTTATCATCAATCACAATACAAATTACAGTGAACTACAAACAAACTCTCATCTCCTTCAGCAGGTGTGGGAAAAAGCCATTAAAACACAGATCTCCGCCTATTCATGCCAGAGTCCCGCGGAAATAAAGTGATTGACAGGTGGTTATTTATGTGTAACTTTATTTATTTATGGTTTGGTTATGGGTAAAGCAAAGAGCATGTGGGTCAGGAAGTGAAAACAGTAGGCTACAATTAATTAATTTGTTATGAATTAATTGATATTTAACAACAACCACCCCAGCCTACAACGACGATGCCATCCTCCATCGCGATGTTTCACATTAGACATTGTACGATGCCAAAGTGGTCAACATCGCCCAACCCTAATTACTATCAAATTAAGCTAAAGTTACAATGAAATATTAGTTATTATATATAAACATATTTAACCAACATGCAGTTTTATAGCATATATGTACATGTTTACTGAAGATAATTTGTGTATTCATGTGTAGGTGTTGGCCTTGAAGTCCTTAATGGTTGGCATCATCTCTTCTGTATAAACTTGGATGGATGGATAAGGTCTTCACATTTATTTTATGATAAAAGTACTACTGTGGCTTTTACTCACATCATAAAGCGAGGTGATAACGACGCCTTCATACACCGTACTGTCAATGTCATCAGTTCCTCCAGGTGCCACTTTCACGTCAACTGCACAGTCTTTGCCCTGATATCACAAGGAGTTACAGCACATAAACATTTCCAACATCTTAAAAGCTTCATTGAACAAACTCACAATGCATACACAACTCCTATCACATGAACAACATACAGTGAGGGGAAAAGTATTCAACGTGTCATGTTTTTTTTCTGGGAATAATATTTCTAAAGGAACTGTTGACATGAAATTGAACCAGATTTGGGTAAAAACCCAAATAATACTAACATAAAAATAAAAAATTTTTATTACTATTTTTTATTTTATTATTATGAGTAATATAAATTATGTGTAATAACAATGTAACAACACACGTAAAAAACCCTGAACTACTGTAACGTATTTAATACTTTATATAAATGGCTTCATTGCTGGTTGCAGCTTAGACGCCTCTCATATGGAGAACGAAGTCACATGCATTGCTCAGATGTGAGTTTTTCACAGACCTCAACAGAGTGTAAAAATCTTGATAGTTCTGTGGGTCTCGTCTATTAAATCTGATCTTTATTTTGTATTTTCTATTGGATTAGAGTCAGGTGATTGGTTGGGCCATTCTACAGCTTGATTTTCTTTCTCTGAAAGCATTAGAGAGTTTTCTTGGCTGTGTTTTTGATCATTGTCTTGCTGAAATGTCCACCCTGGTTTCATCTTCATCATCTGCTAATGTAGACGTTGGACTGAAGAAGCTGATATTCATTTACTGAGGAAGGGCAGAGGGTTGCTGAAGAACTACTGAGAGATTTCAGCTGCTGTCTGGGCTTTCACTGCATTTCTACACCTCCCTTCATGTGTTCAATACTTCTTCCCTGTGTCTTTTCATTGGATTACACATAACTTTATTTGTAAATTACATTTGTTTTCTTATATAGATTTTTTTGGCTGTTACCAACATCTGATGAAAATTTAAAGTCAACGGCACCTTTGGAAATATGTTTTTTTGAGAAGAATGGTGATGTGTTGAACACTTATTTTCCCCACTGTAAATACTTACCAAGTTTCTCACTACTGTGAAATGCACTTTAACCCCAGGCACCAAGAGAGTTCGATTTCCAATAAAGGCATCGAAAACAAAAGAAAATTTCTTCAAATCCTCCCGCTCAATGAAACCACAGTTATTCTAAAAAAGGGAAAGAAAGAGTTTTGAGTTTATTGCCATATTAACTTCTCTGGCTATGCAAACAGATTAAGTTTACAACATTTCATAAACATTAATTTTCTATAATTAGAAAAATGTTTTAACAATAAAAAGTCAAAAGTGCTTTGTGCAAGGGAGGGGACATCATTTATTTCCAGTAATTAATAACAGTCTTCAATTCTACGTATTTCTCCAAGTGATTCATATTGCAGGTTTGTAATTGCTAGTTTTGAACATGCCTTTATCATGTCTACAAATATGATATATTAAAGATGCATAAAAAGCAGCTACTGATACTGATATGATTCGCCTCTATCAAAATGAAGTATGATCCAATTTAATTTTAATGCAATGTCATTAGAATAGATGCAATGGAGAAAAAAATGTCACTTTTTTAATTTCTTCAACTGTCAGGCCAAGCTCAGTTCCTCTTGATGAAGAGACTGCATTAGTATAATTATTTCTATCAGTATTTAATCTTTGACTTTTGATCAGTGAATTAAGATATTCAATACCTAATTTAGTGATGTGTTCAGTTTAAGTGTCTCCTTCCTCTGTCTGTCAAATCTCTATTTTCAGGCTCCATCAAGTCAGGTCAGAGGTCATGAAGACGCCTTGACATGAACTGGACTATTAATAGATTGGTTTCCTTGGTATTTGTCTATGTCATGTGTTAATTATTTTTAAGTAAATGCCTTTGTATCATGCATGATAGACTTGCTATTTTAATAAAAAAATTATTGAGATAGATTGTTGGTGATTGGATGAGTGTTTGCCTGAATGGGTAGCAATACATAAAATAAGTAAAATTACAACCTTTTTAAAATGATTTAAGACCTACAACACCATATTTCAGTCAATTTAAGACTTTTTAGGCCTAAAAAATTGTTTTTGAGTATTTTTAAGACCTTGCTGACACCCTGATGTAGACTGTGCCCGTTTTGACAAGAGGGCTGAGAGTACAAGAAACAGCCTTGAGTATAAAACAGATTGTACTTTGTGTGTGTGTTATATGCTTTCATGGATCATTCTCACAGGTCTGAGGTCAGCTCTGAATAGCTTGCTGGCTGTCTGGCCCTCTACTACAGTATCTATATCCTGTGTTTAGCAAGACACAACCCAACATCTGCATATCTATTTGGACATTGTCTATCTTTGCTTTAGCCAATCAGGTTAAAACATCTATATCAGGGTTTCTGCAGCTTTCACCAAGTCAAATTTAGGACGGCCACGGACACCCTGTATATGTATAGCTATGTAAGATATAGGGTTACTACGAATATTCTTCTCACAAAAGCTGCGTTTATTTAACAGAAAATACAGTAAAAACCGTGAAAGTGTGACATTTTATTGCAATATTAAATAACAAATATTCAATTATATTGTTTAAAGCTGTATTTTAAGTCCTATTAATCTTCAGTGTCATTCATCAAATGTTCTAGAATCATGATCTGCTCAATAATCTATTCAAGAAAGCAAATACATGTATAAGCTATATACAATTACTATTACTAATTACTTTTGCTATTATTTTAAACTTACTTCTTCTTCAAAAAAATCCTAAAAGTATGACAAGTTCCACTATACTTTGAAGCACGACAAGTTTTTCAGCACTGATAACTGTAAGAGTTATCAATAGTGGTTTCATACCAATAATAACTGATCATATAATAGAACAGCAGATCATCATATTATAATGATTTCTGAAGGGTGAAGAATGAAGAATAAATGATGAAGAAAATCCAGATTAAAATCAAAAAATAAATTAAATGTGAAACTACATCCAATAAGAAAATTGTAATAATATTTCACAATTTTACTGGGTTTTTGATCAAATAAATGCAAGCTTGCTGAGCAGAACTGCCTTCTTTTAAAACATTAAACACTTTTGACATTAAACATCATGACTTTTTTGGTCTGTGGACATGTTGGTGTGTGTATTTGTGAAAAAACTGAACCGTATTCTGAGATGTGGCACAAAATCTAGGTAGGACAGTGAAAAATCTTCACCACATCGTTATGAATAATAGCATATCAATTCTAACAATACTAACCCCAATGAAAGAAATAACTCCCAGTGAACGTCCACGAGGAGTGCTGAAACAAAACACACAACACTTCAACGTAAGAACAGCAAAAAGCCCACGACTTTCAAGAACACACTGAGAAAATACTGTTGAAGTCAGAATTATTTACCTTCCTGTGATTTTTTCTTTTTCAAATATTTCCCAAATGACGCTTAAGAGAGCAAGACATTTTTCACAGTATTTCCTATAATATTTTTTCTTCTGGAGAAAGTCTTATTTGTTTTATTTTGGCTAGAATAAAAGCAGTTTTTAATTTTTTAAATACCATTTTAGGGTCAAAATTATTACCCCCCTCAAGCTATATTTTTCTTTAATCGTCTACAGAACAAACCATCATTATACAATGATTTGCCCAATTACCCTAACCTGCCTAATTAACCTAGTTAAGCCTTTAAATGTCGCTTTAAGCTGAATACTAGTGTCTTAAAAAGTATCTAGTCAAATATTATGTGCTGTCATCATTGCAAAGATAAAAAAATCAACTATTAGAAATGAGTTACTAAACTATTGTTTAGAAATGTGTTGAAAAAAGTCTTCTCTCCGTCAAATAGAAATTGGGAAAAAATATACAGGGGTGCTAATAACTCTGAATTCAACTGTAGATGTCAAAAATCTGTATGAAGAAAATACCTTGCAGACATATTCTTAAATGCTGCTATTTTTGCTGCCAACAATTTAGAAGCTTCAGTCTCTTTTGTTGCCGACTGATCCTTTTTCTTCTGAGGTTGGGTTGGACCGGCAGTTCCAGGAGGAGGAGGAGGAGGAGGAGGTTGGTTCTATTAAAAAAAGAGCATATTTATTAGACATTACACTGCTAAGACAAAATAGCAATCATTTAGTTTAGAATTGCTAGAATTAAAAATGTAAATACCTCAGGTAGTGTTTGTGCAGGGCCCTGGAAATCAGGTGGTGGTCCAGCAAACCCTCCTCTGGCTCCAAAAGCATGATTCCCCTTGTTAATATGACACATAAAACACTTGTTTAATTCTGCATTAGACTAGCCAAGCTTCCATCCACCTACTTTTATACGCATGAAAACAATTCTTAATGGAAATAAATGCACAGATGCTGAAAGCAGAGTAAGATTTATCCGATAAAAATGCACATAAACTACAATAGAAACACATTTACCGAATAAATTCCAGCATCAAAAAAGTCATGATTCTGATTTAACAGATTGTGTAACAAAAATGGGTGCGATTGGGCTGGCATTAAACAGACAAATCAATTGATCCAGGATATTTTGAAACATCTGAAATGTTGTTTTGGTCTTCTAAAATCCCTCAGCCAAAGTCTGTCAATGCCAAACGTCAAACTAACTTTACTGAGGTATGTGACCATGTATCACCAACTTTATCACAGCTTTAACGTCGCCTTGTGTTGAAGCTGCACAATATTGAGGTAAAGTTGTTTTTTATTCGCACATTTGTTCATTTTTGAACTGTGACATGCTTTAATAGAAATTAGTATAGAGGTAAAGTTGGTTTTATATTCGCACATTCGTTCATTTTGCAGTCTCTGTATTGTTTACCGTGTTACTTTGAATATTCAACTGGAATGAGCATGCACGTATGACCTCTACATAACATTAACACTATCTAATTCACTGTGAACAATGTTGTACTTTATCAGTCATTTGCTGTTAATATGATTTCACTATTTAGAATTTGCAAAGAATATTTTATATGAAATTATATTATTAATGAGAATGTCTGAATATCCAAATATAAAACCAACTTTACCTCTATGAAGTTAGTTTACCACGCAACTCAGCTTAAACAAAGATTAATTGTATACATTGAGGTAAAGTTGCTTTGGCACATTCTGACTTTCTCCTTAGTAAAAGCATTGCTTGCTAATTCTAAATAGGCAAAAAATATCAGCAGCGACTATCAAAGTACAACATTGTTCGCAGTCACTTAAAGAGCTTATGTTGTTTTGAAGTCACACTTACAAACCCAATATTCAAAGTAGAGTGGTAACGTTAAACAATACAGGAGTCATGTCACAAGTTATTACTATGCGAATGTGCGAATATAAAACCAACTTTACCTCAATACTGTATACAATTAGTCAATGACGTTACATACGTTTCTAGAACACTTACATATGGATCCATTGGTGGCACAAAATGCGGATCTATTGGACCGTGATGCTCCATCTGGTCGAATCCAGGGATCCTTTGGAAACCTGGTCCATCGTCAAACTCAGAGGGGTGAAAGTTTGGAGGTCCTCCCCGAAAGTCCGGAGGACAGAAATCTGGACCTCTGTCGTAAAAATCAGGCGGGCCGAAGCATTGAGGTCTGTCATCGAACTCCGGAGGTCCACACTCAAACTCCGGGTGAAAAAACCGCGGACCTGGTGGTCTGTTCCTAAACTCTGGATGAAAGCGTGGATCACCGGGACCATCGAAAGGCGGTCTGAATTCACCTCTATCGGGAAAACCCATTGGGTGGAAAGGCTCATTCCCCATAAACCGCACATCTCCTTCCATGGGATCCATCATCATCATTCTGGGTGGTCGCGGTCCGAAATCGGAATGGGGTCCGGGGAACCTCGGTCCGGGTGGGCCCATCGGGCGAAACCCGCCGCGTGGAGGAGGAGGTCTGGGTGGACGGGGGCCTGGTCCTGTGGGACGCATCCCAGGTGGTGGTCCAGTTCCTGGAGGTTGAGGTTGTCCCTTTCGTTTGCGGTTTTTTCCCATTCCTCAACAGTTACTAGTGAACGTTAGTGCTCTGTGTGCAACAGCAGCTAACGTTAGCAGACCGGATGAACCGAGCCACTGCTACGTTACTTTGCGCGTGCTCACGTGACAATACAGTTTACATCGAATTAAATTAATCGATTAAACGTTAAAACTGTTTTAATGCATTTCATATAAATCATGAGCCAATCACCCAACACTTAAACGCAATAGCCCACAGCATGGACTCATTTCATCTCACCACGAGCGCGAGCAGAAAACAATCCAAATGGCTAGCGGATGTGATAAAGACGATTCAAAATAAAAGTCATCAAAAAGCAGAACAGAAAATAATATGATTTCTCTTTTTGACATTTTTGACTTTGCTCGTTTAAGCTCTTATAAGCAAAAAAAAAAAAAAAAAAAAAAAAAAAAAAACACTTAATTCATGATAAAATTATGTATTACTTTTCCATTGTAAATGTACTATGGCTGGGGTCAAACTTTAGAAGAATCTTCCGTTCGTTGCACAAGGCTTTGTTTTTGTTCTTTTAAATTATTTTATGTTATTTTTTATGTACATGTATTCAGAAGGCCTACTGAAAATCTGTTAAACTCCAACACCGTTTGTTTCTAAAGGTATCAAAACAGCTACTTTTTATTCACAAACCTTGTTTTAGAAATTATTTTAGCTTTTTACATTTTTTAAATACAGTATACATGCTAAAACCCATTAAACACTGGTTTTAACCTATAAACAAACTGCAAATTGATCTAAATATTTTGGACAAACACACAATGCTTGTTTAAATATTGTTGATTTGATATTTTTTATTTATAATTGGCTTGCTATTGCTTATTATTATTTAAAAATAAAAAAATAGTATGTTCAAAATAAATCTGTGTGTGTGTGTGTGTGTGTGTGTGTGTGTGTGTGTGTGTGTGTGTGTGTGTGTGTGTGTGTGTGTGTGTGTGTGGGTGGAGGGGGGGCTCTTAGGATGGACAGAGGCCAGTGGGCAAATTTAATATTAGTTGAATTAGTTAGATAAAATAAATGACATGGTGAGGGATTTGTGATAGACTGTAAAAAGGAAAGAAAATAAACTCACTCGCTGACTTAAATGTAATAAAGTAGTTAGTATTCATTAAAATAACCACCTCAGTATATTATTCTACAACACACCACAGTTCACTGTGGCAAAAACCAAATTATACTACAGTATTTATTACAGTTGGTCATCATTACTAATGTAAATACTAACATTCATTATCAAAATGTTAAAGATACTAGATTATATAAACAATACTATACATGATTAAAAAACACTTTAGGTCTAGTATTTACCAAAAATACTATAGTATTTTTATGCCACACATAGTTATTGTATTTATCAACACATAAATAGAGTGGTTTCATGGCTAGCTACGTTACTTACTGTATGCCTCGTGTTTTAAAGCTGTACTTAATTAACTAAATTAATTTAAAAAGTCACCAGGGATTATCAACATTACATAAAAGTATCATTCATATTATTTATTAAATCAACCATTGCATTTTATTTTATTAAAGCTTACCATCAACTTAACCCTTATAGTAATGTAAAAATATTAATTATTGTTGAATGTTCAGTGTCACATAAATGATGCAGCTGTATCCCATCTAGACTTTACGGTAGAATTAGCCATTTATCTGTTTACGATTGGACAGTTTTAATGTCAATCATTTTTGTACACCCAATCGTATTAGTCAAAAATGAAATGAAAGGCGGGGCTTAGCAAAATAGGGTGGGGAAAAGTAACGTATGGTTTGAGTGTCAGTGGTGGACTTTGAGGAAGTGTCGGATAATTTCGCTTTATCAATATTTCAGCTGACGAGCAACGATGGACAAGTTGCGAAGAGTATTAAGTGGTCGAGAGGAGAATGAAGAAATGGGACTAACAGCACAGGTATAAGGAAAACGGGTGTTTATTTGCAGTTTTCCTGCCTCTGTAAGCGAGAGGCCCCTCCATACAGTAACCCAGTCCTGTCATGGACAGTATTGCCATTTGAAAACTTTCTTTTAGATCTTACAAGTGTATTATTTAGCGAATATTTCAGATTCTAATGCCATGTAATTGGAATGTATTGCTTTAAACATAAGACAGGAATTTATGAATGTTCCTTTGAGATTACGATGGTGTGGTTGCTGTCATGATGGTAATGTTTAACACCACAACCAGTAACTTACAGCGAAAATAACAACATGTCAGACATAGCATTATCACAAAGCATACCATTTGGTAAGCTTTATTAGACTAAAGAGAGTACAGAGTAACTTTAGTGATTGAGGTAAAGTTGGTTTTATATTGCACATTCATTCAGTGACAACTCGTGATGTGCTCACTATATTGTTTACCATAGTACTTTGAAAATTAATACTGAAATCACTAAGTATGACTTAAATACAACATAAACACTAGTTATTTTACTGCAAACAATGCTGTACTTTAATAATCATTGGCTGCTAATATGATTTCCCCATTTAGGATTTGCTAAGAATACTTGTTTAAAGTTTAAAATTATATTATTAATCAACTTAACACATAAAACCAATATTACCTCAATACTTTAGTGTCGCTCTATTTTAGGAAGTGACACATTTCTCTGCAAATGTTTATGTGATAATGATATTTGTTAACATTGCTAACTTTACATGCTTCCTGAGGAGTAGGATTATGTGAGGTAAGGTCATGACATCTGGATATTGTTTAAAGCAGTGGTTCCCAAAGTGGGGTTCATAGGACAGTGAAGTGGGGTCACTTGGTGATTTCCAAAAATCAAATTTTTTTTTTAAATCTATATTTTAACCATAACCTATTGAAGATAAGAGTAGTTTATAGTTACAGCCTTTCAATTTTTTATTTATTTTTTCTATTGGATTGTGACCCTTGGGGTGATTACATTATATAAAGACAGCAATAGCGTCAGATGCAGCAGATTGATTTTATGGCACCAGGTTAAACTTTCTGGCACATTTACAGCACTCTCATACATTAAAAAAATTAAACAAAGAATAGACTTGGGTTTATTGGTGTGTGTGCAAGGTTTCTATATTTATAACCACCTCAGAGAATATTGGGGTCATGAGTCACTGGGATTGTTATTTTGGGGGTTGCAGGCTGAAAAATTTGGGAACCCCTGGTTTAAAAGACCCTTAAACACTGTTGTTGACCCTCTCATGATGTTTTGTCTTTTTAAATGCGCTAATGTATGCTTGACATGCATTAATGCTGTAAATGACGTTTTCCTTTTGGATGAAAAGTTAATTGCACTCTAAAAAAACTTTAGTTTTTAGAACTCAGAGTTGCAGAAATTAATTCATTTAGTTTTACCTTTCTGTAAACTACTCCTATTGATCAACAGTTTGATTCATGCATGGTTATTATGTGAAAAAGCGAGAACATCAGTGCGTTTCCTTTCTGTGTTTTCCTTCCTGTGGGTCTCTGCACATATAAGTCGGTGGCGTTTGAATCAGATGTGGTCAGCATGCTAAAAGCATGATCTCTTGGTCTTTGTTCTCGGGGAATTATGAACCATGTGACATCCTGTGATTCTCTTTAGGTCCTGGATGGCTCGACACTCAGTTTCAGCACACGGCTGAAGTGGTTCATCATTTGTTTCGCAGGTGGAATCCTTTGCTCAATTCTTGTAAGTTAACTTTCTTCCAAAATCTGTCAACAGCCATACTTGCACAATGGCTAATTAAAGGGATAGTTCACCACAAAAGGGGACAATTAACTCAGCATTTACTCTTCGTCTACCCTTATGAGTTTTATTAATGTTAGACATTAAGATGATATGAAGAAAGCTCAACACTATTGACTTCCATAGTAGGATTAACAATGCAAGTCAATGGTTTCAGGTTTCCAGTTTTCCTCAAAGTAGCTACTTTTGTGTTTGACAGAAATAAATTATGACAAAGTTTTTTATTTTGAGGGAACTATGCCTTTGATTTCCAAGACCCACAGTAATTTGTTTAGAAACAGTTCAACCAAATAAGAAATTAACTTTCTCACCCTCATGATTATGATTAACTAAAATAGCCTTCTTTCATCTCTTAAATATTGCATGCATTAGACCCTTTCTGTCACAACCAGACGCTGAGAAGCATGTTTTATCACATCTCGTCTTGATTTTTGCATTTCACATTTTTGGGGGTTTACATGCAAATTCTCTCTGAAGGTTGCAGTATATTCAAAATCCTGCAGGACACGTTCTGACTCGCACATCTTCATGTCTTCACATTACTCCTGTTCCTCAGCTACTTCATTGGTTACCTGTTAAGTCGCGTATCGATTTTAAGACTCTGATTTTAACTTGCAAAGCAGTACATGCCTTGGGCTAGCTGCTGATTATATCTGTGATCTTGTGTCTGTTTCTACTCCTGCTCGCTGTCTTTGCTCTGCTTCAGGACTTACCTTGCTCCAGCCACATTGCAGACATAACACAATGGGTGGTAGGGGTTTTCGTACTGTGCGCCGAAATTATGGAATGCAGTACCTATTACCTATAGGAATGCCGTTTCTTCGGATTTTTTTAAGATTCTCAAGACTCACCTTTTTTAGATTTATGATCATCACTGCCAATTTATGCATTTGTAACATTTTGTTATTTATGTCTCTTTACTGTTGTGTTGTTCCTTTGTAGCGCTTTGAGTTTTAAAAAAGCACATTACAAATACAATTTATTATCATTATTGTGATTGTTTCTATACAATGATAGCAGGTGTTTGTTTGAAGTTTCAAGCTACAAACGAGTACAAAAACATAAAATAATCATTATCAATAACTGAGCTTCGTAATAATTCAGTGGATTACAATGGTGTCTGGGGCAGCACGGTAGTGCAGTAGGTAGCACAATTGCCTTACAGCAAGAAAATCCCTGGTTCAAGCCCCGGCTGAGTCATTTGGCTTTTCTGTGTGGAGTTTGCATGTTCTCCCCATGTTGGCATGGGTTTCCTCCAGGTGCTCCAGTTTCCCCCACAGTCCAAAGACATGTGGTACAGGTGAATTGGGTAAGCTACTCAACTCAACTCACTTTATTTCTATAGCACTTTCACAAATCACAATGGATTACCAAAGTGCTGTACATAAAATCAAATAAAAAAGCATGTAAAATATGCATAAAACCAAAATACATAAACTCATATCACATGATTAAAAGCTAAAAAAAATAAGTGTGTTTTCAGTGACCTCTGAAACGACTCAAAAGTTTGAGCTGTTTTTACAAAGAGTGGGAGATCGTGCCAGAGTCTTGGATCTGCTACTGAGAAAGCTCTATCCCGTCGACATTTTAAGCGTGATCTAGGAACTTGCAAATAGAGACGATCCATAGAGCGAAGAGATCTCGCAGGTTGGTGCATAATAATTAGCTCAGAGATATACTCAGGAGCCAGGCCGTGGAGGGATTTAAAAACATACAACAGAACTTTGTACTGAATTCTAAACTGGATTGGCAGCCAGTGTAGGGAAACAAGTACAGGTGTAATGTGCTCTCGTTTTTTTGTGCCTGTTAAAAGCCTGGCAGCTGCGTTCTGGACCAGCTGCAGTCGCGAGAGAGAGGCTTTACTCACACCCAGATACAATGCGTTGCAATAGTCCAGATATAAAAATAAAAGCATGCACAACTTTCTCCAAATCACTGAAAGAGAGGATAGGCTTTAGCTTGGCAATATATCTAAAATAGAAAAAACTATTTTTGACAACCGCATTAATTTGCCGATCAAATTTTAGCTCAGAGTCAAAGATGACACCAAGACTCTTTACTGAGGAATGTATTTTCCCAGGAAGTATTTTCCCAGGAAGCTAAATTGGCCAAATGAGCTAAATGTAAGCTAAATGAGTGTGTATGGATGTTTCCCAGTGATGGGTTGCAGCTGAAACGCATGCGCTATAAGTGAATTGGGTAAGGTAAATTGTCCAAAGTGTATGTGTGTGAATGAGAGTGTATGGGTGTTTTCCAATACTGGGTTACAGTTGTAAGGGCATCCACTGCGTAAAACATATGCTGGATAAGTTGTCGGTTCATTCCACTGTGGCGACCACTTATTAATAAAGGGACTAAACCGAAAAGAAAATGAATAAATGATTAATCGTGTCTGAAGGATCACGGGAAACTAAAACCTTCCTCAAATCACAATCATACACAACTGAGTATTTATGCAAGACATTTTCGATTACTGCCACATAAGCATCCTCTCAGTAAGTTCAGAAAGTTATAATTAATAATCATTTACCTGACTATTTAGATGATATTTGAGAAGTTTAAATAATTTAAATGACACCTTATGGATTCTCACACACACACACAACAATCATGCAACACAATGTAAATACAAATCGATGAACTAAGCGTCTTAGTGCTTTAATGGCACACGTTTCCTCTTCCTTCTTCAACAAATGTGTTAAGTTGGTGTGTGGTTTGGCCACAGAGTGATAACACACTTGCGATAAGGCTTCACCAACCCCAAACTACACATGCAGACTGCTTTAAAATGTACCAAAGAGATTTTTGTGAGGCTAGAGTGCCTTTTTTAATTCTTTAAAGCTTCAAAATGTCATTGCAAATATGTAGAATAACTTATTGTTAATGTAACCGCAAGAATCATTTAGCATGTCACTTATGTGTATTGTTTTTAGTCAAATGGGTCAATGTCCATACAGTTTTAAGAGTTTGGATTAAACTCAAAAATCAACATTTTCTCATTTGCTCGCTCTTTACTCGTTTCAAACCTACATGAGTTTCTTTCATCTGTTGAACACAGTTGCAGATATTTTGAAGAAAGCTGAAATTCATTGACTTCCATAGTAGGAAAACAAATATTATGGAAATCAATGGTTACCGGTTTTAAGCTGTTTTTAAAATATCTTAAATTGTGTTCAACTGTAGGACAGTCTATTCTCCTTGTGCTCTATGCAAAAGCTTTGTAACACCACTAGGTGGCAGAACTGTTAAATGTTTACATATTCAAGCTCTGAAATTGAGAGTGAGTGAATCAGAATGATTTTATTTCATAGCAGACTTTAAGTTGATTAAAAACTGACTGAAAATGTACATTGCTTTCCTCTGAAACAGGGAACTGCACTCCTCTTCCTGCCTAAAGCTGGAATTAAACTTTTTGCCGTATTCTACACCCTCGGAAACATTGCAGCACTTTCAAGGTAAGCATATGCTGTGTGTATAAGGCATGCATGCAATAAGGTCTCTACATTTGGGGTTTTTTACATTTTACAGTACACACCAACAAGACAACATCAATAAAAGAACAAAATACATTGAATAAAAATAGTAATACAAAGAAACTAATAGTAATAAAAGAGGAAAAACAATCGGGGCATACAAAAGGCACTTATTGGGGGGCTGTTGACATATTAAGTGCTACACTTTTGGTCAGAATCAACATGATGTCTGTGCAGGTGATCAAGGAATGGTTGCCATATATTGTAAAAAGCAGTGTCCTGCATTTATGTATTTTTTTCTTACCTGAAATAAAAATAAAGGTTGAATAAAAAAAGTAAGGTAAGTGGTTGTAAACTATGTATATGGGCTCAATAAAAAACAAACAAATTATATTTAGTTTGTTTAAACTCAGCCCATATACATTTTTGCAGCCGCTTACTTTAAAAAATCTAATGAATTCTTTTCAGTGTATTATTGTAATTTTTTTTCTTCCCTGAAATAAAAATACCCCAAAGTTATTATCATTCATTCATAATTAAACCTGTTATGCTAGTGTTATTATTAGCATTTATGTAGTCATTTTTTCAAAACGCTTTGCGAGATCTTAAATCTTTGTATAACAAAACACTTCAAACCTCATTCGATAAGAAGTCATTTTAAAAAGTAATAAAAATCTTGATATTTAGACTGGCTGACATCCTGAGGTTTATTTTATTTTATCATTAAATATTTGTATCTGTTCTGTTATGGAAAGTGACTTATATGTTGTTTTTAAATGTCTGGGTAAAAAAAAAATTCTCCACAATTGAACAAAATACATTTCATTTTATTAAACATTTATAATATTTTGGAATAGTAAACATGTCAGGCTAAATGGTTAAAATAAATCATAGACTTCAGCTCTTTTAATTAGTTTTAAAATCACAGATTTCTTTACAAACATTTTACAAAACACTTAAAAAACCCTTAAAAATTTTAAAACCTTGACTTTTCCAAACCGCGGTAAACCTTGAAACCAGTTATCATCCCATGCCAAGTGACTTTTGCATAATCTTTTAATGATTCCATTAACCAGACTGGTTATAGGAACTTCCCTGTTTTGTGAATTCTGTTTTTACTTTCTTTTTTGAATTAGATTTTTGTTCTGTGATGAAATACATCAAAAGTCATTACCACCGACCCAAAACAGCCCACATGTGCACTAAAATGAACCTTAAAAAAGGCATGATTGCATGAAGGGAGGATATGATTTAGGGCTGCACAATATTGAAAAAATCTGACGTTACGATTCTTTTTTTTTTCTGCGACAAATTTTGCTATATATATATTATCATCTGGTGAAATTGTATATATAAATAAAATGATACTATATGACTTGAAAACTGCTAGTTAGAAAGAATATATTAATTTATGCCAAAAAACGTATAAAAAGCAAAGATAAATGTGAAATAAACAGTGTTTTAGAGTTTTCGGTGCAGTCAAATTGTATTCAGCTTCAGAATTTGAATAATCAAATCTGAAATAACACTGCAAATGTATTTACTGTATAAATAAATCACTAACATTATTCTTTATTAAAGTTACAAATGGTAAAATGTCTTGTGCCTGAAGACTTTTGAATGCTGTCAGGCCTTAAAAACATATGCAAATGAAAAACTTTAACTCTGTTATAGTTAAACTCCTTAATAACTTTACAATCCCCTTGTGTTTGTATCTCCTGGTCAACTATATTCATTACTCAACATTGCAGATCCTGTGATGTGAGTAATGCGGATGGGCATATTGCGATATCAATGCTGAAATGATTGTGCAGCCCTAATATGGTTTCATAACTGTGCTTTGTCAGTCCACCGACTCTAAGGATAATATATTTTCTTTGTCAAGTTTAAGTTGTCAATCACTTGTACTTGTACCCTTCAGAAGTGTTTGTTGGCTCTCTTCGACATGCATTGTCTCCTTGTGTAGACTTAGATGTTTGTTCTCCTCTTTTTACAATGTTGTTGGGTTGTCATGTAGCAAGATGTTCTGTTCCCAAAAGACTGAAAACAAGTCTCTCCAGTTCTCACCAGTTTGATGTTGTAAATGGGTGATTGACGATTCTCTGCATGGCCTAGTTTTTAAGCATTTGATGTAGAATCTTTTGAAAGCGTTTCTTGTGTGGTTTTGCTGTGAAATATACACAAAATTACACAAGATTTTTAAGACCAACCCAGACAATATATCACTTTAAAATATTAATAATGTCACTTAAAAGTCACTTTGTCAACATCAGAAATTGTTGGATAAAATATCAAGAGACCATAATGCAATTCAGAAGCATAAATAAATGGGAGGGAAAAAAATCATGAATCACAAAATTGCAAAATGTGCAGGAAACTTGCATCAATAAAAAAAAATGTCCATAAAAAAATGTCGTACAAATATTGTGTTAAATGTTTTGCAAATTTGCAGAATTACAAAATTCTAAAGGGACTTCAAAACACAACAGCTGCCTGTTTTTCTGTTCATTATAGGTTATGGAAATACAGATTTTAATTTGTTTATTTTTTCAAAATTAATTTTGTTCAGTGAAAAAGTCAGGAAAAAGTTTGGGAATTTGACAATTGACCTAAATTGGTGGACTGTGTTTTATATAAATATAATTTATTAATTTTTTATTTTCTCCTTTTGCCTTTTTTTTTGGGGTGGGGTGGTATGGGAAATATAACTAGAACATTTCTGGATATATACGCTATCTGACAAAAGTCTCTTTGTCGATCCCAGTTATAAGAGCAACAAATAAACTGACTTCTAGTTGATCATTTGGAAAAGTGGCTGAAGGTCGATTATTCAGATGAATCATCTGTTGAGCTGCATCCCAATCATCACAAATACTGCGGAAGACCTACTGGAACCAGCATGGACCCAAGATTCTGACAGAAATCAGTCAAGTTTGGTGAAGAAAAAAAATCATTGTTTGGGGTTACATTAAGTATGGTGGTGTACGAGAGATCTGCAGAGTGGATGGTAACATCAACAGCCTGAGGTATCAAGACATTTGTGCTGCCCATTACATTACAAACCACAGGAGAGGGCAAATTCTCCAGCAGGATAGCGCTCCTGCTCATACTTCAGCCTCCGAATCAAAGTTCCTGAAAGCGAAGAAGGTCAAGGTGCTCCAGGATTGGCCAGCCCAGTCCCTAGACATGAACATTATTGAGCATGTCTGGGGTAAGATGGAGGAGGCATTGAAGATGAATACAAATCTTGATGAGCCCTGGGAGTCCTGCAAGAACGCTTTCTTTGCCATTCCAGATGACTTTATTAATCAGTGATTTGAGTCATGTCAGAGATGTATAGATGCAGTCCTCCAAGCTCATGATGGAGTCAGACACAATATTCATTCTGTCTCCACTGCAGCATGAATTTATATTCTATACTGGACATTATTTCTGTTAAGTAACAAAACTTTTGTCTAAGCAAAGTCAGACCTTACTGTCCTAATGAAATCATTAAACATCAAGTCATGATCATATTTAATTTTGGTAAAATAAGCTTAATCTAGAGGCCTTTGCCTTTCACATAAGCCACTTCTGATACCAAATGATCAACTAGAAGTCAATTTATTATTTGTTGTTCCTAAAACTTGGATAGGCAAAAGAACTTTGTCAGGTACTGTAAAGTTGTGTCCACTAAAAAATGATTAATTGGATTTGCTCATTTTTTTCAAGGTAAGTGGTTGTAAACTATTGATAAGGGCTGAATTTAAACAAATTCAATTTAGTCCGAATTTGAAACAAATTTCAATTTAAAATATAAATTATTTGCAATGAACCTTATTTTTCAGTGTAGATAAAACTCTAGAAAAGCATGACATTTATATTAAACAGAACATTTGCGGTCAGCTATTTCCAATCATAATGTAGGAACAAGAAAGAGACATAATTAGTAACCAGGGCTGTGGAATGAAAAAAAAGAAATGACCCAGAAGTTTCCTGGCTTTTTCCCAGACTGCACCTCTGCAGACTTTGAAAGTTTTAACCCTGTGACAAATTATTAAACTGGGCTTCATTAAAAGATTTGATCAGGTTTGATTAGTAACCAGACTCAGTCTTCATTCGCAGACTTGTCTTGACAGAGCCACAGAGGTCAAGTCTTTAGAGCGAAGGGTCATGCTGTCTGGGTTACCTGCCATAAGTACACACAACACTGGCTCTGGTAGCAGGTTCACAAAATTCTGCCAGCAGGATCAGGAAACCACGTTTATAAGCCGTGACCGAGACTCAAGAGAGGATGCATGGCGTTTATTTTCAGCTCTGCATTTATGTTCCACTGTGTCTGCAGGGTCTTTAACGGTATTAAAAGTTGATAAATCAATTTAAAAAATGTAAGGCCCTTAAAAGTTATTCAAAAGTCTTGCGTGCTATTTTACAAGGTATTAAATTTTGTATAATTTTTGATTATACAATGTATAGTTGTATGCTAAAGTTTGCCTGAATTCACTCATTGTCCCTTACAATCAGTATTTATGCTAATACTGTTAGTAATCGTGTAATAGTAATAGTGTCATCAATGTTACCGGGCAAACCTAAAGTGGCAACGAGGTCTTAATGGAAAGAGTTTTAAAAAAAAGGTATTGAATTTCACTCTCTGATTCTTGTTTGTACTCTGTATTCAGAAGACCTGTTAAACTGAATTCAATTACACAGAGGTGTGAAAAAGTGTTTGCCCCCTTACTAATTTCTTCCTCTTTTTTTTTGCACGTTTGTCACTTTAATGTTTCAGATCATCAAACAAATGTAAATAATAGTCAGATAACAAAAGTAAACACATCATGAAGTTTTTAAATTAAGGTTTTTATTATCAAGGTAAAACAAGATACAAAACTAAATAGCTGTGCGTAAAACTGTTAACTCCGAATCAACACAATATTTTTTTTGGGATCTGCTTAATTGTTTTATGTTCAATCCACTTAAAATTGTAAAAACTATTAAGTTAATTCATTCATGTTTTCCCAACACAAATCATCTGTGTGGAACCCAACATGTTTTACAGTGTATATTGGGCTATTAGATTACTATAGATTATGAATAAAATGTATTTTATTCTGTGACTTGTTGGACTTAATTGGTATTTTCAATGAATAGTGGTGTCACACTAATGGACAATGAAACTTAACCTTTTTTTAGTGGTTTTAAAAAAGTAAAGTATTTTAAATAATAATAATAATAATAATAGTAATAATAAATTGAGACAAAATATTAAAAACTACACTTCTTGGTATTTAATCACACAATCTTGAATCAGGTCCGTCAACTATTTGCAGTATTCTGTTGATTAGCCGGATTTAAAATCAATATACTATATAATCTCAAACCAGAGGACATGATTTTCAGTGACAAAATGTATCACGTTCCTATGTTTTTAGAAAAATATGGATGAAAAAAAAAGATTGCCGATTTACTAAAGTAGCCACTTGTAAATGTGAGTAAGCCCAGGTATTTATTAATGATTTTAGAATTTTCTTTTTCATTTAGATGGATGGATGGATAGATAAACAGACAGACAGGCTAACAGGCATGCAGTTAGATAGATTGATGGATGGAAGGATGGATAGGCAGATAGATAGATAGACAGACAGACAGACAGACAGACAGAGACAGACAGACAAAAAGAAAGAAAGAAAGAAAGAAAGAAAGCAGATTTAGTCTCTTATTTCCAGTCACCTGAGCATGTTAGATGTCTTATTTTTAAATGTCAGTGGCCCTAAATTTCTGCTCTTGTAGGAAAGTGGATGACATCATGGCTGGATAATGCATTAGTGTTTCTGTGATCTAATAAGTGTTTACGGTTGCTTGAGTAATGCAGGGGAGATGGGTTCAGCCCCCTGAGACCTGCACACAGACCATCTACTCTCAGGCTCAGTCACTATGATTCCAGACGATTTTGCTGATGTCTCACAGTGTAAATTAATAATAATAAAAGCTTATATAGATTCGGGAATTATGCTAATTAGTGTCTTTTGTGTCCGTCTCTGAAATGAAAATCAATTGGAGGGTGTTTTTTGCAAGTGCAACCAACAAAAGGAGGATTGGGGTAGCATAACATGATACTGGAAACATTTATATTGTGATATTTGGTTTTTCTGCCATATATTTTGAGATAAATACAATTTCACAAGAAAAAGAATTCATAATATTTGGCTAATTGTGATTATTCTGCATAATAGTATAATTACAAGCACAGATAAATACAAAAAGAGCAAAGATACTAATGAAATAAACAGTGCTTTTCTAATTTGATATATAATAATCCATAAATGTTTAGGAAATTGTCAGCAAGGTATTTAGCCTTTGGTTACTTCTGCACCACCTTTAGCATTACCAGATGTAATGGATAGATGTGGTTTGTAAATTGGTCTCATTGTTTGTCCCTGTTCTTCACAGCACCTGTTTCCTGATGGGTCCAGTTAAACAGCTGAAGCGTATGTTTGAGCCCACTAGGCTTATAGCCACCATTTTGGTGCTGGTAAGATCATAATAAGAGCATCTAGCACACCACACTGATAAGAAAAGACATTTTGAAAAGGCAAATTTAACCTCACAGCAGAATAGTTGACTCACCATTATTGGATGGTCTTATATGTTTATATATATATATATATATATATATATATATATATATATATATATATATATATATGCCATATAATATAAATGCCATATATATATATAATATTTTTTCTTCTGGAAAAAGTCTTATTTGTTTTATTTCGGCTAAAATAAAAGCAGTTTTTAATTTTTTAAAACCATTTTAATGTCAATACTATTAGCCCCCTTAAGCTATTTTTCCCAATTGTTTACAGAACAAACCACTGTTATACAATGTCTTGCCTAATTCCTTATAACTGTTTGGGCTTTAACAACTGCAATCAAGCCTTTTCAATAACTTGCAATGAGTCTGTGACAGCGCTGTGGAGGAATTTATGCTTGTCTCGGGCATAATGGCTGCCTAGGCAAGGTAAACGGATTGCTTTGGCCTTTTTGCAGTCAGAAATCTGGATGGTCTTAAGGGGACCACAAGGCATTAAGAGATCTGCTGCTGTAATCCAGGAAAGTCATGGCCAGTCTTTGTGTCACTATATCTTATAATTTTATTTTGGTCTGCACAATATAAAGCAAATTTCTAAGCAAACTATGATATGATTTCTAAATGCCAAATTTGCCACATACAACCAAAATTATAATAAACTTACTATAAGAAATCTTTTAAAAATACTTATATATTTTTATTTGTGTGCAGTATTTACTTACTGTTACACAATTTGGTGATTGGAAAGATTTTTTTTGTTGAAAGTGTCTTATTCGCACCAAGGTTTCAGTTATTTTTAAATAGTTTAATACAGTTAAATTATATAATTTTATATATATATCTATTGATTTCCAATTTGACTTTGACTTGTGTTTTATTGCAGATGATATGAACACAAAATATTACATGTTTTGTCTGGTCAATTTCATTGCATATGTAATACATAATTTCCTGTCATTCAGACCTGCAACACATTGCAAAAAAGTTTGGACATAAACAGTTCAGAGTTAGTAATCAGATAAACTGGTTAAATAATGATGTGCTTTGAATCAGGTGATGTCAACAGGTGATTGTAATTATAATTTTGTATGAAAGCAGCATCCAAGGAAGGTCTAGTCCTTTAGGAGCAAAGATGGGCTGAGTATCGCCAGTTTCCCAACAAATATGTGAGACAATTATTGAAATGTTTCGAAACAATGTTCCTCTAAGAAAGATAGGAAACCATTTGGATATTTCACCTTCAACAATGCATAACATTATTACAAAATTCAAGGAATCTGGAGGAATTTCAGTGCATAAAGGATAAGGTCGCAAGACCAAGCTGATCAAACATGATAGATCCGATCCACTAGGTGGCACTGCATCAAGCATCCTCATTAATATATAAGCGAGATCACTAGATGGGTTTAGGACTACTTTGGCAAACCTTTGTCAAGTACCACAATACAGAGTTATGTGCACATATGCCAGTGAAAACGCTACTTTTTCAAAAGGAAGCCCTATGTTAACAGTGTCCAGAAGCACTGTCGACTTTTCTTGGCTCTTTTTCTGATTTGGGGTTGTATATATTTTTATGTACTTTTAAATCCTATTTTTCCCACTGCTGTAAAGCAGATTTTTAGCATCATTACTCCCGTATGTTTCTTCAAAAATCATTCAAATATACCAAAATAAACATCAGACTAAAACTGTATGAGATTATTCTTATAGAAATTATTTTTCTGTAAAAAAAAAAAAAAAGAAGAAGAAAATGTTTGATTATTGATTTTTTTCCTGAAATGTTATTTACAAAAAAAATATGCTGTGCTTAAAAATAGAGCTATTTAATTGCTCTGGATTACCTTTGATGCAAATAATGAGTACTGACTCATTTTACTAAAATCTGGATTAATCCTCTAATGTTTACCCCACCAGCTGTTAACAGGGTCACTGTTTCCACATGTAACGCAAGAAGATACATCCATGAACAATGTTTAGCTGTGCTTTAATAAGAAATTAATCACAGCTTTATAACCTGTGTGTGCTTTTTCTTCAGCTTTTCCTCGTGTTGACGTTATGTGCTGTGTTTTGGGTAAGTTATCTATACAAGCTTTATTTATAATATTCATTTTCTGATATTCACAATGTAAAACAATATTTGTAATTTTTGTTGTTCTGCAGTGGAACAAAAAGGGTCTGGCGATCATCTTCTGCATTTTGCAGTTCTTGGCCATGACATGGTATGTGATTTCAGCCTTATAATAATAAAAATAGTTAAATGATTTGGCAGGGTTTGTTTTAGATGATAATAAAATGATCATTGTTTGATACAAATCTCATAATCATCTGTTTTTCTGTGCTTCATTCGGACCGACTTTAGTTTTATAGTTATGTTTAACAGATTACATGTTAAACATTTATTAATTTTTGTAACTTGAACATCTAATCGTAATAGTACCGTCATAAAGGTGCACTAGCTAAACTTTTAAATTTTTTAATTTACAGTAAAAAAATAGCATTTGTGGAATTTTACTGTTAAAAATATGGTAGTAACCTTAAAACAAATGTAAAAATGTTATAGTAAACTACCGTATTTCATTTATTTATAGTGTTATGCACCAGTGTTTTGACGTTGCAACATATAAACATCACATCTTTGTTACACAGACAAAAACACAACTATAATTATATGGAGATGATAAATTAAATAAAATATGGTGAACCAAATAATCATCTCAACTTTCCCACAACCTTTCATCAGAACTTTCCCACAAGCAGAAAAAAATACTAATACACAGAAGGTGTTCAGTGTCATTCAGACAAGATTAAGATTAGGCAAATACATAAAATTAAAGTAATGCAATAAATCCTATATATTAAAAGTAGATGTAACATAAAACACTAATGTCTATACAGTAACTGATAGGAATAAAACTAAAGTGAAACTTAATAATGTCAACAAAAAGCATAAAGTACAGGAAATACTAGGAAAGGTAATTAACCGTTATTTGCCATATATGTTAAGGAAACTTACTGTTAATCAGGTTACAGGTTTTTACTGTCGCATGTTTGCTGTTAAAATCATAGCCATTTTTTACAGTGTGTGTTGTCATGCAAGAAATTCTGGTAAAATCAATTTACAGTTATTTACCGTATGTGTTACCGTAACTGTTACCCAGGTTGCACTTTTTATTTTTTGGCCATTTTTAAAATATTTTTTGCAGTCATAGAAAAACAAAGAACAGACAGACAAACCCATAATAAAGCATTAAATAAAGCATGAAACCAGGGAAAATGGTGACATACAAGACATACAGTTGAGGTCAGAATTATTAGCCCCCCTTTAACAGAGCAAGGAAATTTTTACAGTATGTCTGATAATGTTTTTTTCTTCCGGCGAAAGTCTTATTTGTTTTATTTCAGCTAGAATTAAAGCAGTTTTTAATTTTTTTAAAACTATTTTAGGGACAAAATTATTAGCCCCTTTAAGCTATATTGGTTTTCAATAGTCTACAGAACAAACCATCGTTATACAATAACTTGCCTAATTACCCTAACCTGCCTAGTTAACCTAATTAACCTAGTTAAGCCTCTAAATGTCACTTTAAGCTGTATAGAAGTGTCCTGAAAAATATCTAGTCAAATATTATGTGCTGTCATCATGGCAAAGATAAAATAAATTAATTAATAGAGATGAGTTATTAAAACTATTATGTTTAGAAATGTGTTAAAAAAAATCTGCTCTGCGTTAAACAGAAATTAGGGGAAAAAATAAACGGGGCTAATAATTCAGGGTGGCTAATAATTCTGACTTCAACTGTATATGACCTACAAAGAACACAGAAATGGATGTAAAGAAAAAGGAAACTTACAAATCTTCAAAAAAAAAAAAAAAAAAAAAAAAGATTTTCTGTTTGTGAAAAAAATTCTTTCCAAATGTAAAGCGGAGGTAAGTGCAGAGTCAGTAAAGAGGGGCCTGACAATTTTTTGGCCATTTTTTTTTACAGTGTTTGTGTGTGTGTATGTTTGTTTGTGTGTGTGTATGTTTGTGCGTGTGTATGTTTGTGCGTGTGTATGTTTGTGCGTGTGTATGTTTGTGTGTGTGTGTGTGTGTGTGTGTGTGTGTGTGTGTGTGTGTGTGTGTGTGTGTGTGTGTGTGTGTACGTTTATATCATAAAGCTCATCCTGGCCTTCCTAACAGGTCAAACGCTGAGTTACTCTCGGAGCCAGAGGTCTGACGTGAGCACTTTTTGTAGTGCTGTGCTCTGGGCATCTAAAACAAATTATGCAGGTTGTTCTGCTCTAGCTCTGGAACCCCGCTGTTTGGGCATCTGAACTAATGTACCTGTTAATTAAACCCTGCGTGCTGTTTGTCATCAGTGTCTGGCCGCAGGTTTACAGGCAGGCGGTTGAGACCTTGGCAAGGTGAGAAAGTGGGCTAAATATAGACCAGTTCAGCGTGAGCGATGTGCTGAGTGATTATATATTGTAGCTGTAAATAAATGGAAAAATTATGTTTTTTACTACTGATAAAAGACACTTTACTTGAAGGAGGTGTTCATGACTTATTCATAATCATGATACTGAATGACACTTTAATATGAATGAGATTTCGTGCATGTTTATGACATCTGTCGTTCAGTGTCATTCATTCAGTTGTCATTTAAATGCAAATGTAACACTGTTTGAGATGTCTTTGTCATGACAACTTGACATTACCAATAAATCTGTCATAACTATGTCATAAACATGGTTGTCATGAGGCTATTATAATTGCATGAATATTATAACAGCATCCTTTATATATATATATATATATATATATATATATATATATATATATATATATATATATATATATATATATATATATACTTTTTTTATTTATTTTTTTTAACCTCAACTATAGTCGTAAAAATAAAATGTGTAATTTAAAATGTCATTAGGTGTTATTAATATTAATGACACTGTCCTAAAATGAATTGACAGAGTATTGACAGCGATGTATGAACGGTTCACACAAAAGTTACGGAATTACCTTATCTATTAGGGACAGGATACAGTGACAGGTATATGCTATTAAACTGAAGAGAAATTAATCTGGCTACTAACAAGTAGATCAGTCAGTGATTGAGTGAATGTTCCAGGCTTTTGTAATATGAGCGGGGTGATAAGCAACAGGTGAAGGTGATTAGTATTCTGGTGATTGGGACTGTGCAGATGCAGTGAACGAATCTGAAGGATTCCTGACAATTAAAGTATTTTATTACAGTAATTAATTTTAGGTTTCGATTTAGGTTAGGTTTTCTATTTGCAGCAGACAGACGTCAAATCAAAGAGTTTTTAGGAGTTTATGAGATACAGCAGTGCTCTCCAATAGCGATTATTCAGGTGCGGATACATCTGTACCATTCGATCTGTGCTACTCTGTTCTCCAGTGTTTTCATGTTGCTAAGTTAACCAGGTGTTGTTTTCCTGTCTGACCTTCGTAGATACGAGATGTAAATAAATCGCCCATCAAAAAGACAGAGTTCTAGAACATGCTCACCAAATGCATAATCGCTATGGACCAATGGCAGCTCGAAGTGTTAAAGAGAGTCAAAACAAACTCCGCCAAAAGTTTGCTTCGAGCTGTTTAAAACTGATGAAACAGACTCAAAATTAACTTTGTTTCAGCCAAATTGTCACATTTCAGTTCATTTTTCAATCTTGTTTGAAGTATACCAGGGCCTTTAGGTTGTCACCACTGAAAACTGAGTATTAACTTAACAACTAAGTTAACTTAGTTAAGACCATAGGCTGGCATAATGCAATGTGAGCATTGTTTTTCTGTGTTTTTTCATAGACTGTTGAAAATATGGATGTAGTGTCTGTGAGGCCACATCCTCAATTATGGAGAATTGTCAATGCTATGTTCACACCAGACGTGGATGAAACATCAAGCCTGAGTGATTTACATGTTAATTCAATGCTAAGATGCAAATAGACATCCTGCGGCATGAATGAGGCTGTGCGAATAGCACAATTTGCACGAATGAAGCAGCGCGAGTGAATCGTTTTTCGTGTTTGATGCACGAACCGCTCGAGTTGGAAAATCTAAACTTTAACAGACATTTTGCGCCTTATTAACCAATCAGGAGCTTGCTCTTGTAGAGGTGTGATTATGACGTAATACCTGTTGTTGGTGTCCCAAGGGGAAGTTCTCTTGCCGACACCAGAGAACAATTCATCAAACTGGGCTCAACTCAGTGTGAAGCACCGCTGAAAGCTTCCGTTATCCAGGTATAGTTTCTGGAGGAGTTGATAGACTCACAAAGCTGGGTGCACTTCTGAAATCAGGATCTAGTGGACAACACTGAGCTAATCTCCACTGTTTTTCAGCCTTCCTAAAGCACATAAAGCACAGCTACTTTCTCAATAAAATTCATGTTAGCCCTTTAGCAATGAAGCTAAAGTCAGAGGGCAGATAGAAGCCCCACCAATGATGTGAATCTGTGTCTATTGTGAAATGAATTTGATGCCCGAATGAAGCAAGTAAACTCAAAATGTTCATGCGTCTATTTACGTGTGCTGCGTCTGGTGTGAACACAGCTTAAGACTTAATATTAATGAAATGGATGAGTTATAAAAAAATTCACCCCTCTCACAGTTGTCATGAAGGGTAATATAAGTTACATACACCAAATTATTTTTTGTACCAGACTGTAACCCCCTTTTTTCTGCTGTAAAGTTGTCCATTTTAACATTGGAGTCAATAGAAATGTGCTCTGTTTTGCAGCCTTCCCCCTCGGCCTTTCAATTAATTGCAGTTTCAGTTATTTCTGCATTAGCTTCACAAGTATGAACGCAGGTTTTTTTTATACACTTTGATATTTAAAACGTTGCAGATCTTTACATTCACAAACAGCTATGTTAAATATTAAATGAAAGATAATATTCAAAGAATAGTAATGGAGCACTTTAAACTCCAGCACTCATCTTGGTCTGTATTGTTCATCTAAAGAACATGAATGATACTTAATCCTTCGGTTTGTTCACAGTTACATAACAGACCTCTTAAAGACTATTCAGTGTAGTATAACCGTGCCACTAAAGTAGCTAAGCAGAGCAGAAGAAACCATCGGATCCTCTAAGTGTGTCCTCTTTGCTTGGATACAAGAAGCACACAGGTGCAGAACCAAATGTACAGGGCTCACCGTTTCACTCCATCAAACAAGAGAAGAATCCTAAATGTTTGTGGGGAGATTTGTATTTGCTGCATTAAATCTAAAAAGCTTCCTTAATATGCATTGCACAAGCATAGTTTCACTGTTAAGAACTCGTAAAGGAAAGCTCTTCAATGCTTGGTAAAGCTTTGTTTAAACATTTAAGAGTGTTTTCACACTGTTTTTGATGTTTGGTTCAGATCAAACGTGTTTAATTGCTCTGTTAGTGCGGTTCATTTGATTAACTGTGAGCACTGACATGAACCTTGACAGAGACCATTGAAATGGTCTCTAGAGGAGTTCAGCTGAAATATGAATGCAACACTGGATCTAATCTAAGCAATCCAAAAATGATAATAAATGTCACAGGTTGTGACCATGAAAAGGACAGAATGTTCAAGCATGCCTGGTTTTGTTTCGTGTGTGTGTGTTTGTGTGTGTTTAGTTGCCCAGTGCAGTTCAACAATGGCCTTTGAAACTTGTAGGACATCTTCATGACTTCTAAACAACAAGTACATCAGTACACATGCAATGAAGATCAAAATTAGAGAACATGTAATTTCCCATACACTGAAAAAAATGTCTGCAAAATTTTTGCAAAGGATTTATTTGTGTTGATTTTAAGCAAACAAATTAAATTTATTAATGTTTAACTTAATTTGTTTGTTTAAATCCAGCCCAAACTAATTGTTTACAACTATTTAACTTTAAAATATTTTAGTAAATTCAAGGAATCATCTTTGAGTATTTTTTTCAGTGTATATTGAGTAACGCATAATGAGAATGGTGTCAAAAATTTTCAACTGTATAATGTAAAGGTATGAACATTTCATAAAACATATACAGTATAGTGACCAAAATGATGACTGTTACCTTATTTAATTCAATTCATCTTTATTTCTACAGCTTTATTACAATGTTGATTGTGTCAAATCTGCTTAACTTATTGTTGATATGAGCTGAAAATGTTCAAAAACAAATCTGAACGTGAACAAACGACAAATAAAATGTGAAGCTTTATGCAATTTTGTGACAAAAAAACAAACAAACCAGGATCCCAGGAACCAGGGAAAATTAATTTATTCATCTAGGCCACATAAAATTGGTCTAAAGTGACAATAAAGACATTTATAATGTAAAAATTGTATATTTTAATGGATATTTTAGGTTTGTTAAAAATGTATAACAAATGCTTTCATGATAGCATGTTCACATACAATGCAGTGCACTGCATCTACAGTATCATTACATCATTTCATTATTTTAAAAGCAAGCTGTAACTTGAGTCTATGACGTGCTCATGGATTAAGTCTTATTTCAGATTGTTTGTTTTTGAATCTAAGTTAAGCTTTTAATGGGGCATTAGGTATTAACACTGCTTTTGTGTGTTTTTTTTTTAGGTACAGCATTTCCTACATTCCTTTTGCACGGTAAGAAAATATCTCCTTGATTTTACATTTTATAATATTTCTTTTTCATAATTGCATCAAAAATCTTACACTTGAAAGTAGTAACATATAGCTATTTTAGTTTGAATAATTTAGACTGTACAACAGAGAGTTTCAGCACTTAAATCCATTTGAAGTCAGAATGATTGGCCCTCCTGTGAATTTTATTTTTAAATATTTCCCAAATGTTGTTTAACAGAGCAAGGATTTTTTCACAGTATTTTCCATTTTTTCTTCTGGAGAAAGTCTTATTTCTTTTTTTTTGGCCAGTTTATTTATTTTTTAGACATTTTTAAGGTCATTAATATGAGCCCCTTTAAGCAAATATTGTTCTTTGATTGGCTACAGAACCAACCGTCATTATACAATGACTTGCCTAATTACCCAAACTTGCCTTCTTAACCCAATTAAGCCTTTAAATGTCACTTTAATCTGAATATTACAATAGTATCTTGAAAAATATCTAGTAAAATATTATCTATTGTTATCATAATACAGATAAAAGAAATCAGTTATTAGAAATGAGTTATTAAAACTATTATGTTTATTAAAATGTCTTGAAATAAATATCTTCTCTCCGTTAAACAGAATTTGGGGAAAAAATATAAAGGGGGCCTAATAATTCAGAAGGGCTAATAATTCAAGAGGGCTCATAATTCAGGAGGGCTAATAATTCTGACTTTAACTGTATGTTTTAGCTGTTGTAAAACAGCTCAGTGAGAGGTTGTGAATCACATTGATTTTTGTACAACTGAGACCTGTGTTGCTTGGCAACCACAGTTTTAAAATGGTAAAAAAGGAAACAAATTTGTATATTTAAACAGTTTGTTGTTTTAGTGCTGCAACTACTTACACCTGATGGTATATTGTGTGCGTAACGCTGAAGTTAACTGTAAAAAATGGCTGACTCCATACTATATTATATGGCTGCATGAGACTGGAAGAATATGCAGTATTGTTAAGTATTGTGAAAACCATATTTCTGATGTAACATTTTCTCAAAAAATTTCTATTAAAAAAAAATGTAATGTTTTAAATTATTGATTTATATTATGATACAATGTTAACGGGTAAAAGTGGGGTTGCGCTTATTCTCGTAATGAGTTATGTTTTGAGAAGTTAACCAATTAGAGTCTCATCTCCTTCCTTTTAAGAGTAAGGTGTGTCTTGCCATGCTGCATTTGATATTTACATGGCAGACTTCGTAAGTGGAAAAACGGAACGCTTCACTATTAAGAAAACGGTTAAACCGAGCATCTGCAGCGCGAGGATGAAGAACGAGCCTCCTCCATTCAGCCTCTTTACGTTCACTCTTTACTCCTTTACTTTTCCCTTTAAGAGTCAGTTGTGTTGCAGCATGGTGCATTTGATATTTACATGGCGGACTTTTTAAGTGGAAAAACTGAACGCTTCACTAGTGAGAAAACGGTTAATCAGAGCATCTGCAGCACAAGAATGAAGAACGAGCCTCCTCCGTTCAGCCACTTTACTTTCTAGTAAAGCTAGGTCAGTTGGCATTTCTTTGTGGAGTTTGCATGTTCTCCGCGTGTTCCTCTGGGTGCTCAGGTTTCCCCCACAGTCCAAAGACTGTATAAACTAAATTGACTGTAGTGTATGAGTGTGTATGGGTGTTTCCCAGTACTGGGTTGTGGCTGGAAGGGCATCCGCTGCATAAAAAAAAAGTTGGTGGTTTATTCCGCTGTAGATACCCAAGGTAAGCTGAAGGAAAATTAATGAATGAGCACACATCTGCTATGCATATATTACATATACCTTTATCGCAATGACGATAATTTTGCGATATATTGTGCAGCCCTATTAGATTAGTTCAAATGCCAGGAGAAATCCTAGTTAACTTGAGTGGAAGTCATAAATTTGTCTCCAAATGGTAGCCTGTCAGACTGTGAGATCCTCTTTCAGTTTATGTTTGTTGGGTGGGATTGGGTTGTGTACACATTGAGAGCTCAATTCCCTCAATGAAAACATGTTGTTATTTACTCACGGCCTTGCGGCTGTTGGCCTTCACCATATGGCATTTAATCCCCTACCGGAACTCGATGCTCTCCCAGTGCTGCTTGTTTTCCACCTCCTCATCTAGAGGCCCGTGAAGTTCTTTGTCTAGCTAAACAAAAGTCATCTAATCTCTTTATATTTATTAATTGTTTAATAAATAATTAATCTTACTTGAGATAGATGCAAGTGACTTTTACCTGGGAAGAATTTCCGGACTGTTAAAATTGAAGGCTGTTAATATTGCAGGAAACAAAATACAATTGAAGTAAGAATTATTATTACAGAATTATTAGTGTTATTAGCCCCTTTTTTTCTCCCTAATTTTTGATTTATTTCAACACATTTCTAATCATAATTGTTTTAATAACTTATTTCTAATAACTCACTCTTTTATGTTTACCATGATGACAGCACATAATATTTGACTAGATATTTTTCAATATACTAGTATTCAGCTTAAAGTGACATTTAAAGGCTTAATTAGGTTAATTAGTAAAATTAGGGTAATTAGGCAAGTCATTGTATTGTAGCCAATTGAAAAATATTGCTTAACATTTCTGTGTGGAGTTTGCATGTTCTCCCCAGGTTTCCTCCGGGTGCTCCGGTTTCCCCCACAGTCCAAACACATGCGCTATAGGTGAATTGAATAAGCTAAATTGGCCTTAGTGTATGTGTGTGAATGTGAGAGTGTATGGGTGTTTCCCAGTGTTGGGTTGCGGCTGGAAGGGCAAAAGATTGACAGTCCTTTTGCATACACCCTATAAACGGAAAACAACAGTGAATCTCTAAGTACTGAAACTGTTAATTAACAGATTTTGTTACAGTGCACAACAACAGTAGCTCCTTTTTCATATATATATATATACCGGTAATTTTCCTGAAAGGTCTGTATGTGTGAACAAACCCTTTTTGAAAATACCTGAAAATTTGTTCCGGCTATTTTCCGGAACGAGAAGTTGTAACATTACTGGTAATTTGCCGGAACGCTGCGCTGTGTGAACGCATAAGGAAGATTGTCGTAAAGATTGCGTTCACGTCTAGTACGCGCTGACGTGAGACGTCTACTCCAGCCAATCAGAACACTCGGATGCATTCACATCCGCGCTGTTTATGAGGATGAAAGCTTGTGAATATTTTTCCAGACGCATTTAGCTGCTGGATGTTAGTCAGATAACATTTCTATGTTCTTTCTTAATGCCAACTGTGGAAATAATTATCGTTAAGATGCTTACGATAAGCTGTTGTTTACCTTCAAGCTCTGACGCATCTTCACGTAAAGCTGCCGGTGAGCGCCAGCACACACGCATATTATGTACATCTCGACATGTGAAAGTGTTTTTTATCGAAGTATCGATTATTCATCCACGGAGTTTGTAATGTAGTCAAATGTTTACAAATATAAGCCCAGCCGTTTAGAGCTGTTTTAAATTTACCAGTAAAGTAATTTCCGAAATTTTCCGGATATTTACCGATGTCACTGTGTGAAAGGGGTTAATGTCTGTTTGCAGTGAGGGATCATTTCAGAACATTTCAAATCATTCAGATGTCACAGATGGTCGACTTCAAATGTTTTTCCACTTTTTCTTCCATGTTTGGTGCATCTTTATTCACGTGCTGTCTGTCAGGCTACACTTGTTTACGATTATTGAAAATCACAAAAAATCGAAACTAAATATCAAAAACTAAATAGAAATGTGTTTACAATTCATACAATACAACAATACATCCCCTGGAACGCCAAGCATCATTTCATTATCTAGTAAAGAATGTATGGTAACACTTTACAATAAGGTTCATTAGTTAATGCATTTACTAACATGAACTAATAATGAACAACACATGTACAGCATTTATTAATCATAATTGAACATTTACTAACGGATTATTAACATTTAAGTCCATGCTTGTTAACATTAGTTAATGCACCATGAGTTAACATAAGCTAACAATGAACTACTGCATATTCATTAACTAATGTTAACTAACGTAAACAAATACAGTAGCATATGTATTGTTCAGTGTTTGTTCATGTTAGTAAATGCATTAATTAACATTTACCTAATGAACCTTATTGTAAAGTGTGACCGAATGTATTTAATATTTAGCATCCCTCGCTGCGGCAGACAACCCCCTTCTTTTCCTGCCAGAGGTGCTTGTGCGTGTTTCTGATGGATTCTGACAGCCAGGACGCCCCATCCCCCAAACCTGATGCCCTCCCTGCTCGAGGAACCTCTTGAAAAGACGAAAACAATTCCTCCTGAATGATTCCCTCTATATACCACCATAAATGGAAAGATGAGCCCCCAAACCCTTGACTCATCTCTCCATTTATCTAGAGCTGGATTATTATTGGATGACCCTCTCACTGTTGTTTCATTGTTGCTTGTTTTCCTAGAAATAGCCACACCCTTCAACAAGCTCAGCGCAATGCTGCTATTGAGTGGCTTAAAATCATCAGTTAAGGCTCTTTTCATTGTGTTTTGCCTGGATTAGCATGAGCTGGCTCCACGTCATAAGTTGTTTATCCTACTTTCTGTTTTGATCATTAGACCGCGCACGTGTGTTTGTTTGTTTTTTGAGCATGGTGCATATTTGCAATCTAATATTGTGCTCATTTAATGCCATTTTGAACTTTAAGCTAATAATTAGTTTCAGTTTCTTTTAGTTTTGCCATTCAAACCATCACAATCAATTGTAATTTAGTCATTAATTTTCTTTTCGGCTTAGTCCCTTTATAAATCTGAGGTCGCCACAGCGGAATGAACGGCCAATTATCCAGCATATGTTTTACACAGTGGATGCCCTTCCAGCTGCAATCAATCACTGGGAAACATCCATACACTCTCATTCACACACATACACTATGGCCTATACTATACTCACCTATAGCGCCTGTCTTTGGATTGGTGGGGGAAACTGGAGCACCCGGAGCAAACCCATGCCAACAAGGGGAGAACATGCAAACTCCACACAAACTCTGAAAATTGTTACATCAGACCCAGCAAGAACATAAAAACATTAAACACTATAAAACATAATAAATAAACTTTTGTAATTTCATAAATATATAAAAGTATAGTTATATAAGATGCTGTGTCGTAGTTGGGGCATAGCATAGGTGTTTGGATATAACTCAGTTTTTTTTACCACACATCAAGTATTTAATTATGTGTAGGCTAATGGATGTCTGTGCGTACAACACGTTTTCCTATCCATGAGAGTGAAAGTGAAAGTAAAGAATGAGGAGGCTCATTCTCTCATCCTCGCTCTGTAGATGCTCTGTTTAACTGTATTTGTTACTAGTGAAGCATTTAGTTTTTCCACTTGCAAAGTCTGCCATGTAAATAGCAAATGTGCCATGGTGCGACTCAACTTTGAGCCACTGAGATGAGACTCTGATAGGTTTATTCTTAAAATACACCTATTACTCATTAAGAGAATAAGCTCAACACTGTTAGACCATGCGCCACGGCGCAAAGCAGATTTTTTCCGTCCTTAAAATAGCAAAAGTGGATTCTGTCATGCCTTTAATGCTTTTGCACCCTGGCTTTGACCTTCGCGCATTTATCGTCAAAATAGAGCCCCCAGAGCAGGGGTGTCCAAACTCGGTCCTTGAGGGCCAGTGTCCTGCAGATTTTAGCTCTAACTTGTCTCAACACACCTGCAAGAATGTTTATAGACAGCCTAGTAAGAGCTTGATTAGCTAGCCCAGGTGTGTCTGATTGAAACTTTGCAGGACACCGGCCCTCGAGGACCGAGTTTGGACATGCCTGCCCTAGAGTTCCTGAAGCCAGCCCCCAGAGGCGAGTTGATGAATTGCGGTTTCAATTACTTCCATATTGGCTTCACGAGAGAGAGCGGGTGGTTGCACTGTAGAAATGCTAAGGCATTTTTGTTCTTTCTTTTTTAAATGAAATAGGATATATGCCGAGCTAGTCACTGTGTAAAACTTTAGCATTTATTTAGTTACTTGAGCGTAAAACTAGACAAAAAGTCGTTTACTCGCACGCGCCCGTTAGAATCGGCAGGCTAACGCAGAAGCTCCATTGAATATACTGGGGTAAAATAAATGCTCATATTATAAAGATATGGAGGGGGAAATGTAATTTAATGCAGTGCTTCTTGTACAATCTGAGACCCACTTTAAATCGGATATCACTCAGCTTGTGGAGATCGCTGATTTTTAAAGAAAACAGACCTTAAACGCACAGGATTTTGCATTGCCATTCAATTCGCTGGAAGCGCTTAACCCAGGTTACTGGCAAATTAGAAGTCCTATTAGCATGCTTCGGCATATACCCCATTCTATAGTAATGGACAACAACTTGCCATTTTCAGTACACCTTTACATTGCAAAAAAAAAGGAAATGGGTGCAAAGAGTTACCTACATAATGTTACATAAAATAATGATAAGTAAAATAATACATAACTAAATATAATAAATAAAAAATGACGAAGTTTTCCTGTAATTTATACTTTTCCTTTGGCTTAGTCCCTTTATTAATCAGGGGTCGCCACAGTGGAATGAACAGCTTACTTATCCGGCATATGTTTTACACAGCGGTTACCCTTCCAGCTGCAACCCAGTACTGGGAAACACCCATACACACTCATTCACACTCATAAACTACAGCCAATTTAGTTTATTCAATTCACCTGTACCGCATGTCTTTGGACTGTGGGGGAAACCGGAGCACCTGGAGGAAACTCACTAACACGGAGAGAACATGCAAACTCCACACTGAAATGCCAACTGGCCCAGCCGGGACTTGAACCAGCGATCTTCTTGCTGTGAGGCAACAGTGCTAACCACTGAGCCACTGTTGCCTTATTGGTTGGTAAACATTGTCTTCTAAAAAAAAAAAAAGTATTTGTTAATTAGCTGTGTGGTCTATATAAGTTCCGGCTTATTCAGCCTTTTTCTGAAGGAAATCCACCTGCTGTGCTGGAAAGGCCGTGGCATTCGTTGCACCAATGTTTCATCAGAAAGCAGGGGGAGTTAATCATCATTTATTTATGTGCTGGATGTGCAGTGCTTTTAAGGCCAAACACTAAACGCTCTCCTGATTGCGGCTGCTGTGTGGGTGCCTGCACCGCGGGAGGCATGAGGAGCATCTACAGACGCTCGTCATTTTTTCGTCTTTCTTTTGCTATCTGATTCTCTACTCTTCCTTTTTAACCTTGGCTGTTTTCACGCCTCCTCCACTTCCTGTGAATTTTGAGCGTGACAAAGTCTGCATAGCAACACATTTCGAGAGAGAGGGAGAAGGGTGGAGGCTGAGGCTAGGAGGCACGGTGACCTTGTTCTGCTGTTGCCTTGGAGACCGCGATGGTTACCTCATCCTTACGCTCCAAATCTGAGACGTGTTCAAATATGTCGTCTGTTTGTTTTCATTATCTCATTATTTATTATCAGCTCTGCCATAATGCCATTACTGTTGGTTTGTGTCAAGTGGTTATAAAGAGTTTCATCTGTTGAACACAAAGGAAGATATTTTGAAGAATGTTGACTTCCGTCGTAGGAAAACACATACTATGGTCAATGTTTACAGGTTTCCAACATTCTTTAAAATATCTTCTTTTGTGTTCAACAGAAGAAAAAACTCATAAAGGTGAGGAACAATTGTGAGTAAATGGTGACAGGATTTGTAATTTTGATTAAATGATTAAAAGGAAATAATTGCTTGAATTAGAGTCATCACAATCTATTATATCTGGAAAAAGATTGTGCAGTGGTTTCCTGCCAAAACAAAATAAAATATTCAAGGGCTTCAGCCAGCAAAGAAGAAAATCCCCCATTACAAAGACATCAATTAAATTTGAAAGTGTTAGTTCACTTAAAAATATTAATTCTGCCATAATATACTCACCTTTATACCAAACTAGTTAGATTTTTTAACACAAAAGAAGATATTTTGAAGAATGTTGGAAACCTGTAACTACCTAAACTGTGATCTCTTTAAAACTATAAAGAAATATAAAATGTACACTTTTTATTTGCGTTTTTTAAAGTAGTCTGTTTAAAAGGAAATTAATTTGAATTAGAGTCAACACCATCTATCAAATATGCAAAAGATGTGCAATGTTTGCCCGCCAAAACAAAATAAAATATGCAAGAGCTTCACCCAGCCACAATGAAGAAGAAAAATCCCCCCAGTTCAAATCCTTAAGTTAAAGTTTAATTTAATTATACTCACTCTTGATTTGTTCCAAATTAGTTTGAGTTTTTTTTTTTTTTTGTTCTGTTGAACATAAAAGAAGATATTTTAAAGAATGTTGGAAACCTGTAACCATTGTTTTCCATATTTTTCCCTACTATGCAAGTCAATGGTTACAGGTCTCCATTTTTCTTCCAAATATCTTCTTTTGTGTTCAACTGAAGATAACCCCCCTTATAAAGGTTTGGAACAAGTGTAAGTATATTATGAAAGGATTTTTGGGTGAACTGTCACTTTAAAACATGAGAGGAAACTAAAATGTAGACTCACGTGTGTGCGTTTCTTAAAAATCTAGTCTGTTTAAATGGAAATGAATGCAAACATGAATTAGAGTCATCGCATTCTATTAAATCTGGAAAAAGATTGTGCAGTGGTTTCCTGCCAAAACACAAAATAAAATATTAGAACAAAATAAAATGTAAAGAAAAGAAAATCCCCCATTACAAAGAATCCAATTAAATTTGAAAGTTTTAGTCCATTCAAAAATATTAATTCTGCCATCATATACTCACTCTTATTTCAAACTAGTTAGAATTTTTTTGTTCTGTTGAACACAAAAGAAGATATTTTGAAGAATGTTGGAAACCTGTAACCATTGTTTTGCATATTTTTCTCTACTATGTAAGTCAATGGTTACAGGTTTCCAACATTCTTCGAAATATCTTCTTTTGCGTTCAACTGAAGAAAACAAACCTCTTAAAGGTTTGGAACATTTTGATGGCAGGAATTTTAGTTTTGGGTGATCTATCTTATTAAAACATGAAAGAAATCTAAAATATACAGTTATGCCTTTGGTATTTGTTAGAAGAACTAGTCTGTTTAAATATTTAAAAGGAAGTGAATGGGAATTAGAGTCATCACCAGCTATCAAATATGCAAAAAGATCCTAAATTGTTTGCTTGGCAAAACAAAATAAAGTATGCAAGAGCTTCACCCGGCGACAATGAAGAAAAATCCCCAATTACAAAGACTTAAATTCAATTTTAAAGGGGTAGTTCACCCCAAAATTAAATAAACTCACCTTGACTTGTTCTAAACTAGTTTGAGTTTTTTTCTGTTCTGTTTAATGCAAAAGAAGATATTTTAAAGAATGTTGGAAACCTGTAACTACCGACTTTCATAATATTTTTTTCCTACTATGGAAATCAACGGTTACAGCTTTCTGACATTCTTCAAAATATCTTCTCCTTCGTCTAACAAAACAAAACTCGCAAGTCAAAAGTGAGTAAATGGTGGCAGAATTTACATTTTGTGCATGAACTATCTCTTTAAGGTAATAAACAATGCTAACAGTCAAGTTATATATAGGTTTATGCAGGATTAAGTATGGATACCTTTATCCATCTGTTACAGTGGATTTTGCTGTGAGCCCCCACCCATATATAATACCCTTTATTGAAGCGTCAATCATAAACATAAATGTTTTGTTGTTTTCACAGGGACGCTGTTATCAAGTGCTGCACCACATGTTTGAGCTAAAGAATCCAGTATTTCCATCTGAAGACGGGTCCTTCATAACGAGAGTAAACAAAAATCAAACAAACAACACCATAAAGGAATTGTTTTTCTTTTATATTAGAATCTGCCACATTTCTTCATGACCTTTTCAAAAGCATGTCATATTTTGTCCTAATTTTAAGTGAATATTGTGTAATATATAAGGGTTAGTTCACCCAAAAGTAAATTTGCTCAATTTAATGCAGTGTTTCTCAACCACATTTCTGGAGGACCACCAACACTGCATGTTTTGGGTGTCTTCTTTGTCTGTCACACCCATTACAGGTTGTTCAGTCTCTGCTGATGATCTGATGCTTTGAATCAGATGTGTTTGGTTAAGAAGACATGGAAAATGTGCAGAGCTGGTGGTCCTCCAGAAACGTGGTTCAGAAACACTGTTTTAATGAACTTTCACTTTTCACAAACCAGTTCGAGTTGCTTTTTTATGTTGAACACAAAAGAAAGCTGGAAACCTGTAACCATTTACTTTCATAGTATTTGTTCTTCATACAATGGAAGTCGATGGTTACTGGTTTTTAACATTTTTCAAACTATCTTCTTTAGTGTTCAACAGTGGAAAGAAACTCTTCAGTGTGAGTAAATGTTCATTTTTGGGATGAACTATCCCTTTAAGAGTGAGTTTGTAATATTTGAATAAATTACAAGCCTTACTTTTTTATTTAGATTTATTTAATGTTTTATTTGTCGTTTTACGTATGCTCTTTGCCTTTCATTTCATAATCCGCCACATTTTTCTTCATCATCATCATCATCATCATCATCATATTTAGTCATAATACCTGTCAAAAGACTTCAAACTCAGTTGTAAGAGCAGCAAATAATTACTTGACTTCTCGTTGATCATTTGGGAAAGTTGCAGAAGGTCGATTTTTTTCTGCTGAATCATCTGTTGAGCTGCATCCCAATCATCACAAATACTGCAGAAGACCTACTGGCCAAGATTCTCATAGAAATCAGTCAAGTTTGGTGAAGGAAAAATCATGGTTTGGGGTTACATTCAGTATGGGGGCGTTTGAGAGATCTGCAGAGAGGATGGTAACATCAACAGCCTGAGGTATCAAGACATTTGTGCTGCCCATTACATTACCAACCACAGGAGAGGGACAATTCTCCAGCAGGATAGCGCTCCTGCTCATACTTCAGCCTCCACATCAAAGCTCCTGAAACCAAAGAAGGTCAAGGTGCTCCAGGATTGGCCAGCCCAGTCACCAAACATGAACATTATTGAGCATGTCTGGGGTAAGATGAATCCAAAGAATCTCTATGAGCTCTGGAAGTCCTGCAAGAACGCTTTCTTTGCCATTCCAGATGACTTTATTAATCAGTGATTTGAGTCAGTGCAGAGATGTATGGATGCAGTCCTCCAAGCTCATGATGGAGTCAGACACAATATTCATTCTGTTTCCACTGCAGCATGAATTTATATTTTATACATTATTTCTGATACGTTACAAGACTTTAGTCTAAGCAAAGTCAGACCTTACTGTCCTATCTGAATCATTCAAAATCAACTCATGATCATATTTTATTTTGGTGAAATAAGTGTAATCTAGAGGCCTTTGCCATTCATAAAAGCCACTTCTGCTACCAAATGATCAACTAGAAGTCAACTTATTATTTGTTGTTCCTAAAACTTGGATAGGCGACAAGACTTTAGTCAGGCATAGTGTATAATACCTTCTTAAGTTAAGATTGTTTCAAATGTAATATTTGCATATGCATTACATTCATCTCTTTCTATTTACAATTGTTTTATGTAGGATAAATGCTTAACAGCTAATATAATATACTGCCAGTACAAACAGAGTGCAAGAAAGTGCCTTTTTATGATGTTTATGAATGAAATAAAATACTACTGTTCGCTTTTGTACAGAAAAAAATGCATTTCTACCAAATATATATTAACAAGAAAAACGTTTCACATGAGCCTGTGCACCAAATAAATAACTGCTTTGTTCATTTATCATTTTGTACATTCATTTATCTGCTTTTCAGGACGTTAATGTGTTATAATCTTCTGCCGGATGTGTTCAGAATAATGATGTATGTAATGCGCCAGCCCTAGGGCAGCAGAGACAGCTGTCTAACTACACTGAGTCTCACGAGACAGCTGATTCTAACCCATTGTTTTTCTTTCTTTGTGTCTAATCTATTAAGCGTGTTGCTATTTAATAAACCAGTATAGGATCGCTTCTATATGCATAATCAAGTTTGTTAGTTACCTCTGAGCATCACATGTTTTTTTTTTCATGACCCAATAACCTAGTGTGGCTGGTCTGTTTTTAGACTACCTAAGCAAGGAGACTGTGGTACCACGGATGCGGTTTCCATGACAACTGTGCGAGCGCTCCGTTTTCTTGAGCATCCCTCCTCCACTACACACTTCTATGCACATTGCGCATCACGTGTCTGTAATTATTTTGATGAGGGTGTGCGTATATGGCTTTAAAAATACATTAATGGGATAGTTCACCAAAAAAATTAACTCGTTTACGTGATTCTTTCTTCTATTGAACACAAAAGAAGACATTTTGAGTTGAAAATATGTAACCAGAGACTGCCATTGTGGAAATGAACACACTGGAAGTCAATAGTTAGTGGTTTCCAACATTTTTCGAAATATCTTCTTTTGTGTTTAACAGAAGATGGAGATTCATTAAGATTTGAAATAAGTAAATAATGATGGGATTTTCAATTTTGGATGCACTGTCCCTTTAAATCAGAAAGCTTTATATTTAGTGAGGATATGAATTACTGATATGTATATTGATGTCTCTTTTATTTAATTTTTCAATAAAAAATGTAAACAGAAAAAAAGAGGAAAATTATTTAAAAAAATTAATATTAATAAGAAATTTATAAATTTATTATTAAGAAAAATAATAATAAATAAATAAAGATGATTTGTAAATAATAATTAAATATAAATAATTAAAATAATAACAACAAATAAATAATAGTAATAAAAATCATTATTTAATAAAAAAATAAATAAGAAAATGTATACAAAATAAATTAGAAAAAGATAATGAAGGTTTATGATGTAATAATCAAAAATAAATAAATAAAATAATAATAAATAAATAAATAAAGTTGGTGGGCATCCGCTGCATAAAAACGTGCTAGATAAGTTGGCGATTCATTCTGCTGTGGCGACCACAGATTAATAAAGGGACTATGCCAACAAGAAAATGAATGAATGACTAATAAATAAATAGGTAATAGAAATAAAAATAATTAATAATAAGAAATGAATGAATAAGAAAAATAACAAATAAATACATATGAAAAGAAATAGTAATCAAAATACATAATAAAAATATTAAATAAATTAATAATAATTCATAAATAATAGTAAAGATATATATAAATAATAAATGAATAATAAAAATAATGAACCTATATTTTCAAAAAGACAATAAAGATATTTTAAATTAATAATCCAAAATAAATGAATAAAATAGTAATAATAATAATAATAATAATAATAATAAATTATATATATATATATATATATATATTAAGAAATAAATACATAAGAAAAATAATAAATATTTTGAAATATGACGATTTGTAAATTAATAGTTAAAATTAAATAATTTTAATAAAATTAATAATAAAAATAATAATAACAAATAAATAATAGTAAATAAAATATAAATAATAAATTAATAATTCAAAAAAATAAAATAATAATAATAATACAATGATAATAATAATATATTTTTAAATATAAAGAGGATTTGTAAATGAATAAATAAAATAACATATATTTAATAATAATAATAATAATAATAATCAATTGCATGTGCTGTAAATGCTATCAGCTCTGAAAATTTCACACTTGGCAGGACATCAGCAGCACCAGCTTGCTAACTCTGCTGACGCCATTAGGGATGAATGGACTAAATTAGGGTTTTTTTCATATTAACCATTTATTTGCCAGAGTAAAAATGCTGTTTTTATTATTACTATTTTAAATAAACTCATAACTTCAGCCACATAATAACAGAAGTATTTCCTTTCGTTTCAGGCATAAAGTATTTTAATTTAGTTGAAACCCTCAGATTATTACTTCGAAGTATTTATTAAGATTAAATATTTGGACTAATCCCTCTGATTTGATTCTGAAGGCAATCTGTGGACATTGTTTGTGAAAATGGACATCTGTCTTTTGTGTGCCGCTTAACAGTAAGGATAAGCCTATTGATTTTTACCCTCATTTCACTGGGGCTGAGAGACTTCACAGCGCTGGGTGACAGAACAGCTGTCTCTGTCAACTTATAAATGGCTGGAAAGGAGGGCGACAGATCAATAAGCATGGAGGCTGCGTGTCTTTAACCTCCTCTTTTCTAAGTCAAGGTCGCAGAGGAGAAAATATTGACAATCGGCATTTATAAAACAGTGTTAGTTGGACAATAAAAGTCAATAGGTTAATTTAAACACTTTAAATGTTACTCAAGAAAAGAAAAACAAATGTAGTTTTTTGACGCGACGTTGCGTTTTCAGTCACGCATGACAAAAATTGCGACCTTTTTAGTATTTTCACGCAGTTCCTTAAAGAATTGAATATTAATTAAGAAAACACTGGGTTGTTTTTCTTATACTGAGGGCTAATTGGATGTAGTAAAGTAGGCATTTTCATTCGGAAATATCTGGAAATAGGTTTTTCACCGTTTTTCTTTCCTATTTTGACGCAGTTCATAGCGAAACGAAATATAAAAAGAGAAAAACAGTGGGCGTGGCTTGTTTTTTCTACTGAGAGAAGATTGGATGTAGTAGAGTAGGCATTTCATTCATCAAAGATCTGGAAAAGGCTTTTAGAAGAGTTATTACAACCTAACAGACTTCAACTCCTCACCATGATAGTTGGAGGGGCGTGGTTAATTATGTTAGACACGCCCAATACTTTAGACAGACGTAAGCTGAGAATTTTATAAATAATAGTCGTAGAAAAATAAATAGTAAATAAATAGTAAAAATGGTTTAAAAAAAAAATTAAAAAAAAAAATATATATATATATATATATATATATATATATATATATATATATATATATATATATTGAAAGATAATGAAGATTTGTAAATGAATAATCAAAAGTAAATAAATAACATAAGAATAATAAAATTTATAATAATAAATAAATAAATAAGAAGAAAATTAGAATTAGAAATAAATTGAGTGAAATAAATTATGAGAATTTAATAAATAATAGTTATAGAATATAAATATCCAGTTGAAGTCAGAATTATTAGCCCCCTGAATTAATTTGTTTATTTTTTCCCCATTTTCTGTTTAACGGAGAGAAAATTTTTGCAACACATTTCTAAAGGTTAATTAGGTTAACTAGGCAGGTTAGGGTAATTAGGCAAGTTATTGTATAAAGATGCTTTATTCTGTAGACTATTGAAAAAAATTGCTTTAAGGGGCTAATAATTTTGACCTTAATATGGGTTTAAAAAAAAAAAAAACTGCTTATATTCTATCCGAAATAAAACAAATAAGAATTTCTCCAGGAGAAAAAATATTATCATACTGTGAAAATGTCCTTGCTCTTTTAAACATCATTTAGATAACATATTTAAAAAAATTCAAAGGGGGTTAATAATTCTGACTTCAACTCACTCTCTCTCTCTCTCTCTCTCTCTCTCTCTCTCTCTCTCTCTCTCTCTCTATATATATATATATATATATATATATATATATATATATATATATATATATATATTAAAAAGATAAGGAAGATCTGTAAATTAACAATCAAAAGTAAATAAATTAAATAAGAATAATAAAATTAATAATAAATAGGCAGCATGGTGCCTCACAGCAAGAAGGTTGCTGTGTCCAAGCCTCAGCTGGGTCAGTTGGCGTTTCTGTGTGGAGTTTGCATGTTCATCCCGTGTTTGCGTGGTTTCCTCCAGGTGCTCCGGTTTCCCCCACAGAAAACATGTAGTATAGGTGAATTGGGTAGACTAAATTGTCCTCAGTGTATTTGTGTATGAATGTTTCCCAGTGATGGGTTGCAGCTGGAAGGGCATCTGCTGCTTAAAACATATGCCGGATAAGTTGGCGGTTCACTCCCAGATTAGTAAAGGGACTAGGCCGAAAATAATATATATAAATGAATGAATAAATAAATAATAATAAAATTATAAATAATTAGAAATGAATGAAATGAAATATAAATGCAGTAAATTGTTAAAAATACATTTTGTTACAAAAACAATTTTTAAGGACTTTTCAAGTGGAAGACTTGACATGATCATGTAAACTAGATTGTAATATTGTGTATTAATGCAATAAAACCCCTTATTTAGCCTTTTAACAGGCACTTGTGTGAGCATGGCTTTGTTATTACTTTTATGTTGTGGCCACACCTCTTCCGAATGACACCGTATAAAGCTGCGGAAGCCCCGCCTCCTGTCAGTCTAGCAGTAAACCGCGGAGCGCAGCTTCTTATATCCAAAGATCCGAGGCGAATGGACGCATTTCTCCCATCGATTACGCACCAATTTCCTCCTTTTTTAAGTGTCCAGGATGCCTTTTCCGCCTATAAACCTGCACTCGAGGATTACCTCCCCGAGAAAGGAGCTGTTCAGACGGAAAAAGAGCAGAGATAACGTCGCTCCTCCTCAACAGCCGTTCAGTCAAAGGACAGGAGAGGACAAGGAATCGGAGAAAGATAAGCTCTCCACATCGTGGCCATCGTCCAATTTAAAACAGCTGGGACGAAGCAAGTCGAGCAGAGTCCCTCTGGACCACGAGACGGACAGCAAGCACTCGTGGTTAAGCGTCCCCAAACCCTTGGCTACCTCATGCGAAAGCGTCCCGCGGTCCAGCTCTGGAGAGTCCAGCCATAAATACGCCTCCAGGGCCTCTCTGGCGAAAGAAGAAGGCGAGCAGGAGATCCACTTCTCCCTCAGCCTAACCCCCGAAGCCATCCTAGTCATCCAAAAGCGCAATCTGGAGAAGCAGATGATGGCCAAGCAGAAGTGCTGCGCTTCCGCGGATTTGAGACACCGACGGGTTTTCCCATCCAAGAGAGCGCAGGGAGGCTCTAATAATAAGAGCTCGTGCCCTGTGGCCAAACTGGACGGCTCCAATGACATTAGCGCCATCGTGAAGATCTCCCTGCTCAATGATCAGCACAAATACGACGATGTGGAGTACGAGGAGGAGGACGGAGACGTGGACGAGACTGTGATGAGGAAATGTAAAGAGTGGCTTAAAGGTGTGGAGAGTGCTGCTGCCTTTGGGAAAGTCGATAAGCTGTCGTCTTTGCCTCATCTTAAAAGTTGATAATCTCAACTAGCCAACAACAAAATTAGAGAAAGGTCCACTGTGAAGACTTCAGGCCACGAGTGATGTGTCAAACGCAAAAGTCACCTATACATTCTGCTTTCCAGGGGCCACAGCACGCGTTCTTGCTTTGAAAACAGCTGGACGGATTGCGTCGTTGTGGATAAGGATTTTGTAGCCTATATGTTTTTAATTGGACACCGTCTTTAAATGCAAGGCCCATTTCCATTGGATGAATGTATGCATAGAGCAAGGGGGACAATGTATAAATGGAACTATATATATATATATATATATATATATATATATATATATATATATATATATATATATATATATATATATAGGATTAACAGGTATAGGCCAACTCCTGTTAATATAATTTTGAACGCAAGAACGCGTCCTATGCGTAAATGCGTAATGCGAAAATACACTCAGCTGATCTGACTGGAATGTTTTCTGCACTGAGACTTTGGCTATTGGTGATCACTCAGAGAATTTTGTTTATCTTATTTGCAGGTGACCTTTTCACGTTGACTGAGAAACAGTAGTGTTTTTTGCACATTGCTATTGTTTTCACTTTGATTGACTGAATGAACGATGCGGGCTCTGTTACAAACTGTGGACAATGTCGATCGTGGAAATGCATCCCGAGGATCTGATCTTTCCTTTGTGCCAGAAAACAATAGCTGTCAAAGGCGACACTGTCTGAGAGCCTTAGAACGAACACTTACTTAATAGCCCATATGAGACCTGTTAAAAGTTTGTCTATATGGCTAATATACACTGGAGGACTGTTTGATCGACAAAACCAGCTGTGTACAGTATTTATTTTGCCATGTGGAGGTGTGTTTATATGCTGTGTGTTGTTCCAAGTCATTTTTAAGGATTCTGGTAATAAAACTGAAAAGATGATAATGGCATTTCTTGAATCTTTTACAAATTGGTGTATGCAAATCACTTATGACCTTATATGGGATTCTAAAGTATAGGCCTATTTAATTTTTGTGATTGATTCAGTGGTCCATATGCAGTTTTTTCATAACGATCTTAGTTCTTTACAGCTGAAGTCAGAATTATTAGCCTCCTGTATATTCACGGGCGGATTTAGCGAATTGGGGGCCCTAGGCAACTCCAGCCCTGGGGCCCAAGTCCTGATTCACCCTTTCCAACCTTTTTTATTAAATTTGTAGTTATTTAGCAGTTTTTATACGACTTTATTCTGCTGAACGCAATAGAAGATATTAAGAAAACCTGTAACCATTGATTTTTATAGTGAAAACAAATACCATGGAAGTCAATGGTTACAGATTTCTAGCTTTGTTCAAAATATCTTTGTTTGTGTTCAACTGAAGGATGAAACTCAAACATGTTTGCAACAAGTGAAGGATGAGTAAAAGATGACAGAATTTCCATCTTTGTGTGAACTATCCTTTTAAACACCTTAACACATTGTAGAACACAATGTATACTGTGTTTACTTAAAAACATAAGTTAAAAAATTAAGTTAAAAATATCTTCATATGACTTAACAGAATGATTTTTTACTATTGTAACATAAGCATGTGTACTGAACAAACTGTATTTTTTTATTCACAATAACACAATTCACAATGAGAAATAAATAATAATTTAATTTATTATAAAGATCTGTAACTGTAAGCTGACCTTTACACTGTAACAGCAAGATGACACTTTGTTTAATTTAAGAGCAGGGGATAAATGAGTCCGAGAAGACAACAGAAGACTCGAGGCAGGTCTGTATGAATGATGAAAGATGATGGAACACTCTGGATGGGTTAAGCTGTGGACTTTTTTCATCAATGCAGATGATTCCTCTGGAAACTTGGTAGTAAGGGTCCTCTTGAGAGACATCCTATTGATAAAAGAAAAAAGAATGCAAATATGATCATACTAATTAAATTACTCAGAAAACAGAAAAAGGCAAGATTATGAAAATAGGCAATAGGTAGATTCATGTAGACAAACAACCCACCTTTGTCTGACGTAAGAGCTCAGCCAAAAGCTGACCAGCAACATGGTTTCTTTTCCTGAAGAGCTCATCAAATTTGGAGAGTAATTTTAAGAGCATTGTGGAAGCTCTCTGAGATCTTTGCCCACCACTTGATTGAAGATGAAATTAACCTGAAATACCCTACTGAAAAATCCAGCTTAAACCAGCCTAGGCTGGTTGGCTGGTTTTAGCTGATTGACCAGGCTGGTTTTAGAGGGGTTTTGGCCATTTCCAGGCTGGTTTCCAGCCATTTCCAGCCTGGTCTTAGCTGGTCAGGCTGGAAAATGACCAGCCAAATCCAGCTAAAACCAGCTTGACCAGCCTGGTTTAAGCTGGACATAGCTGGTTTTGGCTGTACTGCCAGCTTGGCTAGGCTGGACAAGCTGGTTTTAGCTGGTCATGTCCCAGCCTGACCAGCTAAGACCAGGCTGGAAATGGCTGGAAACCAGACTGGAAGTGGCCAAAACCCCTCTAAAATCAGCCTGGTCGACCAGCTAAAACCAGCCAACCAGCCTAGGCTGGTTTAAGCTGGATTTTTCAGCAGGGATAAAAACAAAAGCAAAACAAAACAGTTATGTTCCTTGTGTATTTCAGTCCTGTGTGCTTTGAACGTTACAATCTTTTTAAGAGCACACGACTTTATGATTTACTTTTAAATGTACATTGTGCAAGTGAATTGAGTAATAAACCTCAGAACAATACTCAGCAAAGCCACATGACAGACAGCTGAACTTAACTGCTATATTTGAAAAAGGGAAAATATAATTGGAAGACTAATCATTTTGGCTTCAAGTGCAAACTATATATCTTAACACGATCGGTTTTAAAATAAGGAATTAGCCTATATGGAAAACAAAAACATAGCAAACACTTTTGCTAATGACATCGTGGCCTGTCAAGTAGACTAGATTTCTTACAAATTCGTTAATTAATGAATTATTAATTGAATAAAACATGAGCACGACAAGACTACAATGAAGAAATAAGTGAAATGAATGGGTTATAAGCTGTCAAAAGGACTGAGGTTGTGAAAGCTCGCGCTATGGCAACGATAGGCTAGTCACTGCTTTGCTCTCTTCTTTCTGTGGAGTAGCTAGCTGTCACCATGGAGACGTGTTTGACGCTACATCGAGATAGTAATTCAGAAAACTGCTAATTCTTCAGGTTTAGGAAGTTGCTTAGATTTTAACATCTAATATAAAGTAATCACAGTGTCGTGTGTAATTATAAACTGGTAGAAATGCGTTTACATGACTGATACTTGAAGAAGAATGTATTAGTTAATAATTAATAATATCAAACGCTTCAGAGAGCTGATTTCTCTCGCTAAACTGGCAAGTCTTTTTTAATTTCGGGCTTATCTTTATTATTTGTGCGATTTTAACGTTTAAGTATTTATATTTCGTGTATTTTAACTACAGAATAACTAATGCAGGTGGGTAACACTTTATTTATTCTCCAATTTTGAAATATAACTGCAAAAAAAAGTGTTTGTATGGAAGCAAAATTGGAGCACATCATTAAAACTTAATATGTTCATGTCTTATTTTCAGAGTCCGCTGGTCTGATTTTGGCTATGAAAACTGAAAATATTTATCATGAAAGCTCTCTTCCACCTATTTTGGACTCTTACCAGTCAGCACTGTCTCCAGACAAGGTTTGTTTGTATTCAATAATACAATTATATTGGATGGAATAACAATACATGCCATTGATTAACCATTATAATGCAATGTTTCACACAAATTAACAAAAAAGCAGATTCCCCCTAAATTTCAGGTTTTATCTTAAAATGTCTAATTTCACCATTCCACAATTTAAGTGTACTTGAAAGGTCTTAATGTAGAGCAGAAAGACTTAAATTCTTAAAGTGGCATAAAAAATCTTGATTGCACTGAAATAAATAAATACATACATAAGTAAATAAGTAAGAATGTTTGGCTCTGTGTTATTTTTGTATTTACTTATGGATATATTTATTGATTACAAAGTGTATGAATGTATATTGAAATATCAGAACATTCTTAAAGGGGTAGTTTATCCTAAATTGAAACTTCATCATTTACTCATCCTTTACTTGTTCCCAATATGTTTTCCTCCTTTGGCCCAAATTATTGAATTAAATGGAGAGTGTTATCATGTTAGAAACAGTTCCAGCTCTAAATATTTCTAAACATCTCTTGAAGCTTTGAATCTTTACCTGAAATAAACATGTAAATGTTTTGTTTAAATTTTAATACGTGATATTTTTTATCTGAAACTTTTTGTGCTGCCATTTTGGCCTGGACCCCTTGGTAGAGGACATGCATTTCTCAATGGGAAATTCCTGGTAAAATAAAGGATAAAGAAATAAAAATGAGTTTCTTTCTTCTGTTGGACAACTAAACGATATACTGAAGAATATTGAAAACCTGTAACCAATGACTTATAGTAATTGTTTTTCCTGTGGAAGTCAATGGTTACAGGTTTTCAGCTTTTTTTTCCAAAATATTTTTTTTGTGTGTTTAAGAGTAGTAAGAAACCACTTGAGGGAGAGTAAAAAGTGAATAAATTGTAATTTTGGGTTAAACATTCCTTTAGCTCAAGATAAGTTTACTTGATGCAAGTTGTTTTCTGAGAAATCTTCTAAAATTAAGTTTGTTTATGCTTAAGCAAGAAAGAAATCTGTCATGGTATAGGTATAAAACTTATTTCCTGATTGAAACCAGAGGGGATTTGTTCTTATTTTAATTACACAAAGGTAGTATTTTTTGTAGTGCCGTATACAGTTGAAGTTAGAATTATTAGCCCTCCTTTGTATTTTTTATTTATTTATTTATTTTTAAATATTTCCCAAAAGATGTTTAACAGATTCAGGAATTTTTCCCAGTATTTCCTATATTATTTTTTCTTCTGGAAAAGTCTTTTTGTTTTATTTACAGTGTGAAACATATGCTGGATAAAGCTGCGGTCACACTTGACTTTTTCCCCTATAGACTTCCATTCTTACCCACGTGAATGCGTCAGACCGGAAACGCAGGGTCATGCATCAAGTTTCGCAGGTTGCTGCAGTGCAAAGTTCAAGCTTGGTGAACTCTGACCTGCAAAATCGCATCACATCACGGCGTTAGAACAATCGAGGATCAAAACATGACATCTCTGAACAGAAATTTAAAACTAGGAGCAATCGCTCGCTTTTGAAAATGTCTAATAAGCTTGTTGAATCACACCCCTTTTCGCAGCGCCGCACGACAGAATATCGCATGCTTAAACTCTAATGTGACCGCAGCTTAAGTTGGCTTTTCATTCTGCTGTGGCAACCCCTGATGATTACAGGGACTTAGGTGAAGAAAAATGAATGAATGAATAAATGAATGAATGAATGAATGAATGAATTTTTTCTCATGATCCAACTATTGTTTTGGTTAGTTGTTTGCTTAAAAAAGAAATAAATATCTTGGTATATATGATCTTGTGGAGAAATATGTAAATAGATTAATTAATACCAAAAAAAGGCGTATAATTTTGACTCCAAGTTAATGGTTCTTCAGACACACAATCAAGCTCTACATTTGTCTCAATTCATTCAGTTCACTGCTTTGGTTCCGAGTGTCTGCTCAGCTTACATCATCTTTGAAACTCATACAATCCCATTTTTGTGTCGTGTTCTTCATTATGGAAAACAGAAGAACAGGGAAAGTAAATGGGCAACTGTTGTTTTGGTTTCCCGGGATACAACCAGCAACACAGACCGCGAGGTCACCTTCACAAGTTCCTCTGAATAGTCAAACGTCACACATTCATTACCTTTATGTTCAGTTCTTTGTACTTCCGTATTCTTTTTCTTAAATAAAAAGTCTGTTCTAGTTTTCTGGCTCAAGAGGCCCTCACAGGTTGTTCTTGTGGTGAAAAAGAACATTCCTGACTAAATCGAAGTGGTCATTTTGACCCTATCAAACAGCTCAATCTGATAGAGTCACTGTAAACATACTGGGTTTCACTCAATTCCTTCATGTTGTTCCAACACAAATCTATTAAGTTAACTGTTTTTACAAATTTAAGTGGATTGAACATAAAACAACTAAGTTGTCTAAAAAAACTCTCAGGAATTGTGTTGATTCAGGGGCGAGGCAGTGGTGCAGTAGGCAGTGCTGTCGCCTCACAGCAAGAAGGTCGCTGGTTCGAATCTCGGCTCAGTTGGCGTTTCTGTGTGGAGTTTGCATGTTCTCCATGCTTTTGCTATTTTGGGTTTCCTCCGGGTGCTCCGGTTTCCCCCACAGTCCAATGACATGCGGTAGAGGTGAATTGGGTAGGCTAAATTGTATGTACTGTATGAGTGTGTGTGTGTGTGAATGTGTGTGTGGATGTTTCCCAGAGATGGGTTGCGGCTGGAAGGGCATCCGCTGCGTAAAAAACTTGCTGGATAAGTTGGCGGTTCTTTCTGCTGTGGCGACCCCGGATTAATAAAGGGACTAAGCCGACAAGAAAATGAATGAATGAATGTGTTGATTCAGCTCATTTTAAATAAGTAGTTTGAACACGCAGCATTTTTTTTATTATTATTATTAGTAAGGTTTATTTATAAACTAATTTTGAGAGGATCAAGTGTTATGATTGCTGCAAGCTGCGCCGCATCATCCAATTCATTATTCATCAATCAGACGATTCCTAGGCCACTATAAGTGCCCTAGGTTTCATACCACAGACATCTTTGCTTTGAAGAATCCCCCCTTACTCCTCTTCCTTTTCTAGATGGGTGGCACGGTGGCCCAGTGGTTAGCACTGTCGCCTCACAGGAACAATGTCTTTGGTTCTGTTCATTAACAAAATCAGCAGACGTTTCAGTGCAGAGTTTACACGCTCTACGCTCACGTGGGTTTCCCCCAAGTCCCCCAGTTTCCTCCCACCATCCAAAAACATGCAACTTAAATTAATTGACTAATCTAAATCAGCACTATAGACATGCACTTAGCAAGTAGCTATCTCTCAAGAGCAATCACTATCTGTTCATTAGCTTCTACAGCAGGGGAGTTCTCGAGTTCTCTCGCCTTGCAACGGGAGGGAGCCCCGGGCTCGAGGATCTTTTGAGCTCCTCTCCCGGGACAGCATGCCAAACAAGCTTTATAATCGATCATCAGCTAAGTGTGAACTCTTGAAACCTGGGAAAATTTTGACAGATTTTGGTTATAGCTCTACTTGCATTTTCTTAAACAATATTGTTTGTCAACCGTTTGCTTTTTTAATGTACACTTTACTAACCATTTCCACCCAATTACTGGACTTTCACTATTGATTTTCCAACATACACTCAGGAAATTACATTTGTTGTTTGTTCAAACCACTTATTTAAAATGAGCTGAAACAACACAATTCTTGATGTTTTTTTTAGGAACAACTTACAGTAGATGCTTTATGTTCAATCCACTTAAATTTGTAAAAACTAATAAGCTAACTCAATTCCTTCATGTTGTCCCAACTCAAATTGATCGGATGGATCAAAAAAATTTTGACATTACATTTATTTAATAAAATAAAATATGATCATGCCTTGATTTTGAATTATTTAATTAGGACAATAAGGTCTGACTTTGCTCAGACAAAAGTCTTGTCACTTGTCACAGAAATATGTCCAGTATAGAATATAAAGTCATGCTGCAGTGGAAAAAGTATGAACATTGTGTATGACTCCTATGAGCTTGAAGGGCTGCATCCATACATCTCTGCAATGACTCAAATCACTGATTAATAAAGTCATCTGGAATGGCAAAGAAAGTGTTCTTGCAGGACTCCTTCTTACCCCAGACATGCTTAATAATGTTCATTTCTGGTGACTGGGCTGGCCAATCCTGGAGCACCTTGACCTTCTTTGCTTTCAGGAATTTTGATGTGGAGGCTGAAGTATAAGACGGAGCGCTATCCTGCTGGAGAATAGCCCTCTCCTGTGGTTTGTAATGTAATGAGCAGCAAAAATGTCTTGATACCTCAGGCTGTTGAATTTAACTGTAGTCGCTTGTTTTCTTACATGTTTCTGTTGTCACTTTAAAGCATTTGAGATCATGTTATTTGAGCATCCTATAAATTCTTGGGTAACACTTAATTTTAATGTTCCATTTAAGTTTTAGTAGACTGTCTGCTTAATATCTGTTGATATTGCTCCTTCAACAGACATTTAACTGACTATAACAAACTTTGCAAGTAGATGTCAATTTACACTAACCCTACACCCAACCTAACAATCTACTTATAATCTAATAAATATTAGTTGGCATGTAGATGCAATGTAACTTAAATTCAACAAACAGACTATCAAAAGAAAGTGTGACCAATTCTTGCACTTCATCTTTTACCATCTCCGTTCAACTTATTAAATTTAAACTTAAATTACGTTGTTATACTGAACAATATTTGCAATGTTTAAATTCATATGCATTTGTATTTGTAAAAAATACTTCTGATACAGAGCTGTAATCATTTTTTTTTAGAAATGTTCTGAATTTTTTAAATACATGGAAGGAAACGAGCATCAAACTGCCAGTTAAACATTATTTTGAATACACAGGACATCATTTGCATGTGCTCCGAACCTTTGAAACAATTCAAGCTATGCAGTAAATGTCAAAGCTTAACCATTGCTCACTGTTGCTCACCTGCCAATATTTCCAAAACATTCCTTAGTCAGTGGTGCGCAGGAAACATTGTCTAACAGTAAGTGCTCAGAATCATAATAGACCAGGGTTACATAAGAAGTGGCAGCAGGGCATTATAGTTGTCCTGGACTGTCACATATAAGGGTGCCAAACAACAACAGCCTTGTGAAATGGTTTTCAGGAATTCACAACAGAGATTACCAAAAATTCCATTGGTGTGCTTGATTGTTTAAGTATTAAAATGATTAATAGTTAATTAATTCAAATATAAATTTAAAGTGTATAAGCCACACATAAAGTGGCTATAAAATGATCATAAACACACGTTAATAATAATAATACTCACACAAAAAAACTTCACTACAGAATAAACACTCACCGGCCATTTTATTAGGTACACCTTACTAGTACCGGGATGGACCTGCTTTTGCCTTCAGAATTGCCTTAATCCTCCATGGCATAGATTCAGCAAGGTACTGGAAATATTCCTCATAGATTTTGGTCTGTATTGACATCAGCATCACACAGTTGCTGCAGATTTGTCGGCTGCACATCCGTGATGCGAATCTGCCATTCCAGCACATCCCAAAGGTGCTCTATTGGACTGAGACCTGGTGACTGTGGAGGCCATTTGAGTACAGTGAATTCATTGTCATGTTCAGGAAACCAGTCTGAGATGATTTGCACTTTATGACATGGTGTGTTGTCCTGCTGGAAGTAGCCATCAGAAGATGGGTACACTGTGGTGATAAATAGATGGACACGATTCTCAATTGGTACTAATGCGACCAGGCAACGTTTCTCCAATCTTCTATTGTCCAATTTTGGTGAGCCGGTGCCAATTGTAGCCTCAGTTTCCTGTTCTTAGCTGACAGAAATGGCACCCGGTGTGGTCTTCTGCTGCTGTAGCCCGTCCGTCTCAAGGTTTAACGAGTTGTGCATTCAGAGTTGCTCGTCTGCAGACCTCGGTTGTAACGATTGGTTATTTGAGATACTGTTGCCTTTCTATCAGCTGGAACCAGTCTGGCCATTCTCCTCTGAGCTCTGGCATCAACAAGGCATTTGCACCCATAGAACTGCTACTCATTGGAAATTTTCTCTTTTTCTGACCATTCTCTGTAAACCCTAGAGATCGTTGTGCGTAAAAATCCCAGTAGATCAGCAGTTTCTGAAATACTCAGACCAGCCTGTCTGGCACCAACAACCATGCCACGTTCAGAGTCACTCAAATACCCTTTCTTCCTCATTATGATACTCGGTTTGAACTGCAGCAGATCGTCTTGACCATGTTGACATGCCTAAATGCATTGAGTTGCTGCCATGTGATTGGCTGATTAGAAATTTGCGTCAATGAGTAGTTGGATAGGTGTACCTAATAAAGTGGCCGGGGAGTGTACCTTAATGTTATTGGAACTCTCATCTTTTATCCATCCATTCAACTCTCTCTCTGACCAGCTGTCTGTTTATTTGTTTGTTTTATGTATGATTTTATGTATGATGTTTCATTATTATTATTACAAAAAAGTGGAGAAATGCAGACTTTGTGCACAACATTTCATCAGGAAAATGTAGACAGTAAGAATAACACTCATTCATGGTAAAATCTCTTGGCATCTTGTAGCTTATTTGCACTCGTTTAGTGACATTTGATAATGATTACTGGCAGATTCAGGGAAACCCACATTCAATTACTCACTGGATTGCTGTGATCTCTGTGACAACAGAAACAAGAGCGCAGCTGCTGTTGTGTTTTTGTCATGGAAGTGTGAATTTTCTCTCTATAAAGGCAGCCGGTTTATTTGAATATCAGAGGCAGAGGAGACGGCAAAGCTCCAGCAGAAGTGGGCCAGTCACCAAGACTTCTGCTAATGTTGTGGATGCTGATCCAGGACTTGAGAGAAAACGAAAAGCTCTTCTAGATCAGGTACTAGCAATATTCCTAGCAGAATATATTCATATGAACTGTTCAATATTCATATGAACTGTAGACAATTCAATCCTAAAGGAACACAGATGAGTTTTTACCATTTTTGAGTATATTTAACTGATCTCCGGGTCTGGCAGGAGCACATTTAGCTTAGCTTAGCATAGATCATTGAATCAGATTAGACCATTAGCATCTCCCTCTAACCTCTGTAGTTAATGAAAGATTGCTATTTCCCAGTTAAGTTTTTAATTTTTTTTATTTATTTATCTTGTCTCCAGAGTACTTTTAGCTTAGCTTAGCATATATAATTAAATCAGATTAGACTTTTAGCATCTTGCTCTAACCCCGGTAGTTAGGAAATAAAAAGTTGATATTTTCACAGTTGAGTTATTCATTTTTTAAAAATATATATATATTTAGATGATCTCCAGAGTACTTTAAGCTTAGTTTAGCATAAATCATTGAATCAGATTAGACCATTAGCATCACGCTCTAACCTCGGTTGTTAGAAAATGAAAACTGCTATAATGCCTGAATGAGAGAAAAGTTCACAGCCCCCCATCTTGATCTTAAGTACACAATGTGACTACAGAAGAGTTAAGCTTTAAATAGGAATAGAATGTTCCTAAATATTCCAAAATCATTAAAGCAAGATGCTAATGATCTAATCCAATTCAATGTTTCATGCTAAGCTAAGATAAAAGTGCTACTGCCAGACTCTGAGCCTTACTGAAAAAAGCAGCTTAAACCAGCCTAGGCTGGTTGGCTGGTTTTAGATGGTCAACCAGGCTGGTTTTAGAGGGTTTTTGGCCACTTCCAGGCTGGTTTCCAGCTATTTCCAGCCTGGTCATAGCTGGTTAGGCTGTGAGATGACCAGCTAAAGCCAGTTTGACCAGTCTAGCCAGGCTGGGAGTCCAGCCAAAACCAGCTATGTCCAGCCTAAACCAGGCTGGTCAAGCTGGTTTTAGCTGGTCATTTTCCAGCCTGACCAGCTAAGACCAGGCTGGAAATGGCTGGAAACCAGCCTGGAAGGGGCAAAACCCCTCTAAAACCAGGCTGGTCCACCAGCTGAAACCAACAAACCAGCTTAGGCTGGTTTAAGCTGTTTTTTTTCAGCAAGGAGATCGGCTAAATATAGTAAAAAGGGTCAAACTCAAATGTAGTTGATTTATAAAATGGGTTAGGGTTATTATTTGACATGTGGAGTGTTCTTTTAAGGCAATCTGCCTAAACTGACCCTAAATTGAAGCACATAATTGGGTCAATTAGCAATTAAGATGCCCTCATAGACTTAAAGAGAAGCTGCATGCCAGAACAAAGCCTGATTACCACAGACACTAGTGAAGTAAAAGGAAACCTCACCTGTGTCGAAAAGGAGAACTTATAATGAATAGTTTTAGTATATCAATGTAGCCTACACATTTGAATTTTATATTGAGGAATTATAATAAAATTGAATCTAATAATCTCATTAATAGCGTTTAAACAGTTCACCTAAAGGATCAAGTTGTTAATAAGCAATAAGATGGTGTGTTCTCTGTGAATTAATATTGTGTATGAATAAATCCCTAGCTCTCCTTTGTTTTGTCTAACGTTTTGTTCTGCTGTTCTTATATTGCAGCGCCATCTAGAGACATACTACAAAATACACCACTTGAAGGACATGCTTGGATATCAATACGCTGCTTTACTGAAGGAAAAAGTTGAAAGACAAAGGCAAGAGATGAAGTCTCCTGTTCCAGATCATTCCAGACTTACAGAAGGACTTAAAAAGCAGGTAAATCCTGCTGTAATCGCTGACTGATATGCTACTTCAGATTAGCAATAACAAATAGTGTTGCTGATTGTCGCCTGTAGAGGGCAGTGCTGGGGAAAACACTGACAAACTTCAGAGAAATGAGTTTCCAACGTTTTGTTTTGATTTGTTTTTTCTCATTAAACTTTGTTTTTGTTCATAAAAATGACGTACACAAAAAAATAATGACTTTGCCAAATATACTTAGTTTTACGCTATTTCTTTATGCTTATTTTAAACGTCTTACATGTTTTAGGCTATGACTATTCTAAGTGAATATTGTTTTTTTTTTAATATACAAGTTTTGCTTTTCATTAACGTTAGCTTTTCATTTCATTAGCACCATTCTGTACAAAAGAATTATACAGTATAGGTGACATTTTCTTGTAGATGTTCTAAATGCATGAGTCAAAAAAAATTGTGGTCCAAAACTTTGATTTATTTTAGATATACAGGGTTTAACTTAAAACAACAACAACAACAACAACAACAACAACAACAACAACAACAACAAAAAACCTGCTCCTTTTGACTTAAAAGTCAAAAATGACCACAGCAGAAAAAAACCCAAAGATTTGCTTTTACTAAAGTAAAAAAAGTCATTTTCTATTTTCATATTTCAATGAAGGCTTAGGGTACAGCGGGGGTCTTTGGGGTACATTTTGACTCGCCATCTAACAATTTTTACAGCACAAAAACTACTGGCACTCACTGACACATGCACATTGACACTCCAACACACACCAATACGGTCTTGCTAAAAAGTTATTAGCATTAGAAAACACACCCTTTACTTTGGTCATAAATGAGTGTTAGCCTCTGATTAAGCATAGATGAAATTCTGCACACTGATGAGGGAAAACCTAGACATTTATAGAGTTTGTTTCTTTGTGCAAAATATATTTGAGGATTGAATTAAATGTAGCTGCTTTATTTTAGTGGTTCAGTGATGGTATATAAAGAAAAAGACACCAGGAGGGTTCATTGAAATCAACCTGAGACTTTTGCACCCCAATGATGTCATGAGAATGATGTCAGAGCTTAGCAAGCTCAGTTTACCCTCAAACAAGCTCTTATCTAAATCTTCTGACCCGTAGTTTCCTCACAAAATGCAAAAGTCTGTACTCTTACTGAATGTCAGAACAACTTTTTTATTTTTCCTAAAAGAATTTAGGAGAAACATTGGAGACAAAGTTGAATTTAAAAAATCTAACTAAAACCGCAAACCAAGAAAAAGTTTAATCTGGCCTTGACTTTAATCCAAATTTGTAAAAAAAATAAAAAATAATAATAAATAAAATAAAAATTTATAAATAATAAAATATGCATAAATGGACCAAACTCCAAGGGCATCCTCAAAACATCTTCAATGTTGTTACATTGCATCTGTTATGGTACTTCTTTGATGCCCTAGACCAGGGGTTCCCAAACTTTTCAGCTCGCGATCCCTAAAATAATAATGCCAGTGACTCATGACCCCCAAATCCTCGGAGGTGATTATAAATATACAAACATTGCGCACACAACAAAAGGCCTATATAAACAAGCATATTGAAAACACAAAAAAAAACTAGTCTAAAAAACAAATAATTTTTACAGTCGTTTAATAATTTGTATAATTTAGTTTTAACCTCACCTAAAGAGACTGGTTGGGACAATGTTTTCAGCATTCTGTCCTGGAGGTTTGGAGACCGCCACTCAGAGATCATTCTCAGTGCTCAGTTGTGGCCTGTATTTATTTGTAATATATTTGATTGCAATATAGGTGTCAGAAAGTCTAACCTGGTGCTACAAAATCCGTCTGCTGCAGCTGACAGCTATTGCTATTGCTGTGTTCTTAATCTAACATAAACACACCAATCCTATAAAAAATAATTTAAAGGCTGATGGCTTTTCATTTGCATGTTCGCTTTTAAAAAAAATATTACTTTTAACTTCTGTGGGTTTTGTTTAAAATATTTTAATTCTAACAGTTGAAAATGAAATGTATTTGATTTTTGGAAAGTACCAAGCGACAATCATTGTCCCGCGTCCCCCATTTTGGGAACCACTCCAGACCAGGGTTGTAACTAGGGCTGCACGATATTGAAAAACCTGATATTGTGATATTTTATTTTTCTGTGATAAATATTGCGATATGAATACAGTTTCACAAGAAGGTTTGAATAGCACTATTTGAGTCTAACAGTATTCGGATACAGAAATTGAATTATCACAATGCAAAAAAAAAAGGCTTTTCTAACTTTGTTTTGTTTGACGGTTACTTACTTTTCTTTTTTGTTTTCGACCAAATATCAAAAAATTCTTAGATCAAGTAAAAATATTAATTTAATTTCAACTTCAGAAGAAATAAGTCAAAATGAAGAGTTTTTCCTTAAATCAAGTACAATTCTGCCAGTTGGGGACGTAAAATAATCTTGTTTTTGCTTTGAAATGTTGACATTTGGACTAAAAACAAGACAAAAAAGTGAACAAACCTTTTTTTTTATTTTGCTTAAATCATATAAATTCCATATAAATACAGTGATTATATATAATTCTGTAGCTCCTGGTGAACTTTAATTTAGACTGGACATGGCAAATCTTTGCGATTGTGACTATTGTGGATGCACACATTGGGATATCGATGCTGAAACGATATATTGTGCAGCCCCAGTTGTAACATTACAAACGTAATCTTAATGATGTATTTATTAATCAGTTACTTTTTAAAATCAACTTACTTAACACTGATCCAACAATCAATGATAGTTTGAAGGCACCAACTTTTTTCTAACTTACTTTGCCAAACCTCAAACCAAGAAAAACGTAGTTCTCCAGCCAAATGTGTAAAGCAATAATAATGAAAGATGAATATATATATTAAAAATCTACATGCCAATTGCACTGTAGAGTCACTGACTGTAGGACAGAGGATTCTTGTCCCCTGTCACCACTTTGAAGTGTTTCTGAAGTCAGGAAGATTGAGGAAGTGCATTGTAATGTAGAGGAAGCCGTTGGTGTGGACTTGTGATTGACTTTGATTTTGGCCGTCTGTGCTGAGGACAATAAGAGGTAGAGTCTGGGGGGTAAGGATGTGGGGGTGTTGGTGGTCTTTGCCTTATCAGTCTCCTCCTATAAAAGCAAGACCTCTTTGGCAGGCTGTAATAGTGTCCTCTAATGACCAGCGCTGAAGAGGAGGACAAAGAGAGCGCTATAAAGGATTTTATGGGCCGCTAGTGGGAAACCTTTGCAACAAATTGCTGAGCAAATGAAACAGTCTTGTTGTTTCCTCAGCACAAGTCAAAAAAACTTTGTCCAGACTTCATGATGATGAACCGGGACCAAAGCAGGCAGAGGCACGGACACCTGCTGGGGCCTAATTGGTCCCTGTTGCAGTAAATGGCTTCCTGTGGTTGCATGTTTGCTTGTGTGCTGGGGGTTCCCAGCTCTGCTTAACACATTACATTCTGCAGCCCTAAATTCTTGATACAGCCTAAATTTCGGGCACGAAGATCTCATGTCTATACTTTTTTAAACAAATGTATATTACTGATCAAGTAATGTATTTGAACATATATATATATATGGTATATATATGGTATATATATGGTATATATATGGTATATATATATGGTATATATATATATATATATATATATATATATATATATATATAGACACACACACACACACACACACACACACACACACACACACACACACACACATATATATATATATATATATATATATATGGTATATATATATGGTATATATATATATATATATATATATATATATATATATATATATATATATATATGGTATCTCTCTCTCTCTCTCTATATATATATATATTTATATATGTATGGTATGTATGTATGTATATATATATTATATTTGTCATTTTAGTATAATTATTTGTATTTATTTATAATATACAGTAGTATGATAATCTCTCACTCTTACCTGAACAATATTAATACTTATTCATTAATTTTCTTTTCGGCTTGGTCCTTAAAAATTTCCTTAAATTTAAATTTTCATAAAATTTTTGTAATTTAAAGTCTTTTAATTTACGGTAATTGTCTGTAATTTAACGGCCGTTATTTATTTATTTTTTTTCCGGCACCCTAGCAGTGCAGGATTGTACATTTATCTTCAGTCTACAACCAGCCTTCAGTCAACATTTAGAGGTTTTAGGTTAATTTTTTAATTCCAATTCCCTTCAATTGCAGAAGTCCGTCAGCCTTCATAAGCTTACCAGATCTTCCCCTATTCACGATGACACATACTTGAGGCGTCTACCTAAAACACAGCACTACCTGGTGAGACCAGATTTACTTTTTTTCTATCTGGATAATTACCAGGAGATATTCTTTGGAGTTTAGGTGATTAGTAAAAATGTATGCATCTTCAAGGTTCTGGAGCTGCAGAAACAGCTGGTCCGACTGGGCTATCTTCAGAGTCTCAGGGAGCAGGAGGTGTTTGGTGTTTGGGTAGAACAGCATAGAAACACACGTCAATTACAGAAGCAACTTAAGGCTGTAGGTGAGATGATAATTATATTATATATATACTGTAGACTCAATATATATATAAGATTTTTTCAACACATTTCTAATCATAATAGTTTTAATAACTCGTCTCTAATAACTGATTTGTTTTATCTTTGCCATGATGACATTAAATAATATTTGACTAGATATTTTTCAGGATACTTCTATACAGCTTAACGTGACATTTAACGGCCTAACTAGGTTAATTAGGCTTACTAGACAGGTTAGGGTAATTAGGCAAGTTATTGTATAATCATGGTTTGATCTCTAGACTATCGAAAAAAAGGAGCTAACAATTTTGGCCTTAAAATGGTGTTTAAAAAATTAAAAACTGCTTTTATTCTAGCCAAAATAAAACAAATAAGACTTTCTTCAGAAGAAAAAATATTACCAGACAAACTGAAAATTTCCTTGCTCTGTTAAATAAAATTTGGGAAATATTAAAAAAAGAAAAAATAATTCAAAGGGGGGCTAATAATTCTGAAGTCAACTGTATATATATATATATATATATATATATATATATATATATATATATATATATATATATATATATGTATATATATATGTATATATATATATAGGACACAAGAATTTTTGTAGTATTGACCTTATTCATTATGAATGAGCGGGCGCCGCCATTGGAATCTCTGTGGTTTGAGACTACTGATCTCGTTCACGTCCATCGATTATTAGACATTAAACCAGCTGGTTATGCTGCTTGATATTGCAAACAAATTTTTTCGTATTATCTTATTCCCCTTTTTTATGTATAGTCATAAACACAGTTGTTTGTAAAGCAAGTAGTTTGACCGTCTTCTGTTTATTATTCCTAGGCATTTCTCTCATAGGCAAGCTAAATCGGAAGTTCTAAAACATTCACAAAATAAGCGCAGAATAAGGTCAATAATAAGATATATATATATATATATATATACACACACACACACACACACACACACACACACACACACACACACACACACACACACACACACACACACACACACACACACACACATATATATATATATATATATATATATATATATATATATATATATATATATATATATGTATACTACACAGATTTTTAATGACTTCACTAAAACACCAGTATTGTTTCTATTAAGTCATGTCTACTGATTCTAAAAAATAATTATTTGTAAGTTAATCTCTCTATTATTGCAACATTTTGATTAACAATTTTAATGCAGTCTGTTCTGGGATGGTTTTGAAGGTATTTAAAAGCCCAATATCTGTAAAGAATACAAATAGTAACTTTTATTTGGAATAAAATACAATTATTTTAAAAACCATTGCATTCCATCTAACCTATTTTCACTATCAATTCAACCAAATATTTTACAGTACCTTGTTGGCTATAAATATTAAGTGCATTGTAGTAGGAATTTTAGGAATCATAAATGTAATAAATTCCAAAAAAAAAAAAAAAAAAAAAAAAAAATATATATATATATATATATATATATATATATATATATATATATATATATATATATATATATATATATATATATATATATATATATATATATATATATTTACTGACATTTATATGCATTTTATTCTTATTAAGACATGTAAACTAATGCTGAATTAGTGGCTCAGTTCATTGAAAAGGACAGTATGTGAATTGAAACTAAAGGGACAATAAAAATGAAAATTCCTTTCACTTGTTCAAAACCTGTTTGATTTTCTTTATTCTGTTGAACACAAAAGAAGGTTGTCTGAAAAATGCTGCTAGCTGGCACCCATCCACATCCATAGTAATGCAACTATGGAAGTCAGTGGCTGCAAGCCACCAGCCTTTTTGTGTTTAACAGAAGAAAGAAACTCATAATGGTTTAAAAACCACACTAAGGAAAATAAATGATCAGGTAATTGTCATTTTTGGGTGAACTATCCTTGCTCATTTGTTGTAATCGCCATGTCAGCAGAACACAGCAGCCCAGATGTGACACTTGAGGACCTGCTCAAACTGAAGTCTGGATCTCTACCAAAACTCCAGATCAGATGTAATGACTCCACAGCACAACACAAACCTGTAAGTTTCTACTCATTCAGCAGCAGGTCACTGCACTTCTTTTTGTTGGTTTTGATTTATTATTTACTTGTTTGAAGTTCATTTTAAGCAATTAAAAACCCAATCTAATATATGGCAATATGTGCACAAATTACATATATGACAAACAAGTTCATATTTGAATCTCACATATGTAAAATATACACTCACCGGCCACTTTATTAGGTACAACTTACTAGTACCGGGTTGGACGCCCTTTTTGCCTTCGGAGCCGCCTTGATCCTGCATGGCATAGATTCAACAAGGCACTGGAAATATTCCTCAGAGATTTTAGTCTATATTGACATGATAGCATCACGCAGTTGCTGCAGATTTGTCGGCTGCACATCCATGATGTGAATCTCCCGTTCCACCACATTCCAAAGTGGCTCTATTGGATTGAGATCTGGTCACTGTGGAGGCCATTTGAGTATAGTGAACTCTGAGGTAAAGAAAATATAATACTTTTGTCTTCAACTACTGTATATGTTGCATGAATAACGTGTATGTGTGTGAAATTTATGAACTTGTATGTCATATACAGTAGCCAGCATTCGAAGTGAATCAAAAATGTTCTTCAAAATTGTCCTAGGACAAGACTGGGTGTCATTCAATAGTTTTAGGACAACTTTGATGAAAAGTGCTGATAAATTTCATATGTTGACTGCTGTATGCTGTTTGCATGTATCAGATTTCCTAAATGAACCTCTGTTTGGACTGTTTAAAATGCTGCCGGAGTTGAATATAGGTATGCAACTCTCTTCTCGGCCCTTGCTGTTTGCCCTTCTGGCCTTACACAAACACACTTTCTGCTGGAAGCCAGTGTAACCTCAAGTCAATGGAAAAAAAGAGAATTGACTGTTGGCGTAGCAGTGAGATGTCCAAACAGCAGTGGAGGATCTCCTTCAGTCAGCACATCCATGGACAAACATCACCCAGGAGAGAATGTCTAATTCATTTCACACACAAAAGACACTGACCAATTTGGCCTGGGATGTCACATCATGCCAGAGGTCAGGGGATGAACTGGGAGCAAAAAAAAGCAACAAAAAAAAAAAAAAACGCTCTAGACCTTAAAGGAATAGTACACTTAAAAAGGAAAGATTTCTGTTAATTCACTCAGCCACAGGTGCAATTATTTTCTTAAGTAGAACATTATGTATGTAATGGCAGTGAATGGTGACAGGCTTTTTTTTAGATTAAAAATAAGCATACAAATTAATCCAAATCAATAGTCACGGCTCCTGATGACACACTGATGATCGGCCGGTATAAGAAACTGAATGCAAAAAATAAACACTTCCTGTTTATTTACTCACCCACAGGTCATCCAAGATGTAGGTGCCTTTTTTTTCTTCAGTAGAACATTAAAGAAGATTTTTAGCTGAATCCATGGTCGTTGGTGCTTTATGTAATGGCAAAAAACACAGTAAAAAAAGTCCAAATCAATTGCCATGGCTCCTGATAACAAACTGAGGTCTTGTGCAGTTAAACAATCTGTCCGAGTAAAAAAATTAAACATTATTTACAATATTATTAGCTTTACTCCATAGTCAGATATCGGCACATGTATGAATGTAGTCCAATTGTAATCCGGTTGCTTTTGTTTAAAGCTAATAATATTATATAATAAAGCACCAATGACCATGGATTCAGCTAAAAATCTTCTTTAATGTTCTACCGAAGAGAAAAAAAAAGGCACCTACATCTTGGATGACCTGTGGGTGAGTAAATAAACAGGAAGTGTTTATTTTTTGCATGAACTATCCCTTTAAACAACCTTTCCAAGTGTACAGAATAGATTGATTGATAGATATTTTTATTAAATATCTCAAGTTTCCTCTAAACAGCAGTTAGAATAAAGGTATTTGTTTTTTAGAGCAATATCTCAGACAATCAGATTTGCTAAGATACCAGAATCTGTTATTAATATAAAAATATATATTTTTGCTCACATTCTCAAAGCTGAATTATTTAAGCTATCCTAATCCAAAGTTTATTGGCAGGAGTTGTCTCAGTTGTTTCTTTTTTAAAGGGATAGAAAATAAATCTCTGTCATCATTTACTCATGCTGCACCTGTTCAAAACGTATTTCTGTTAAACACAAAAGAAGATGTTTTGAAAAAATATGGATAACATCAACCAGCATTTTTTTTAAATAGCTTTTTTTTTTGTTCAACAAAAATAAAGAAACTCATAAAGGTCTAAAATCACATGAGGGAGAGTAAATAATTTAAGTAAATACAGTATTCCTTTAAATTCTGCATTTAAAGGGATAATTCACCCTAAAAGCTTTAATTTGCTCATTATTTGTTCGTCCTCGTGCGGTTTTAAACTTTTATGAGTTTCTTTCTTTTGTTGAACACAAAAAAAGATATGTTGAAAAAAGCTAAAATTATTTGTTTTTCCTTCTATGGAAGTCAATGGTTACCAGATTCAAGCATTCTTCAAAATATCTTTGTTTGTGTTCAACAAAGGACAAAATGTCAAACAGGTTTGGAACAAATGAAGGGGGAGTAAATGATGACAGAATTTAAAACATTTTTTTTTTACATCTACTAGTTTTGAACAGCTTGTTAAACTTCACAGTTTCCGGCTAATCCAGAAATAGAGATATTTTAGATTTGTAAATTAAACACTTCGGTCTATCTTTTTTTTATATTTACCTCAGATTGTTTGGTTTCTATGAGAGATACTGAGTCACAATCTCGATCTGCCTTGTTGAATTTCACACCGTTTTATTTTCAGGATGGAGAGTCGGATATGTTTGAGGAACATTGCTCAAACAATCATCACTGAGTTGAAAGGACAAAATATAAAGAGCAAACTGTTCCCTCTGTCTTAGCCAACTCACACACACTGTAAAAATAGCCTTGATTTTAAAAGTGATTTAAAAATGCTACAGTATTACAGACCCCCGGTTATAAGTTTAAGTGTCCCCAATATATACAACGAATAATCGTAAATTAACTTTCCCAGAATTACCTGCATGACATTTTGCTTTTTAAACTTTTTCTTTTGTTGAAATTCTTATGGTTTATTTGAGTTTTATTTGTATCACTTATATACACTCCCCGGTCACTTTATTAGGTACACCTGTCCAACTGCTCATTAAAGCAAATTTCTAATCAGCTCATCACATGGCAGCAGCTCAATGCATTTAGGTATGTAGACATGGTCAAGACAATCTGCTGCAGTTCAAACCGAGCATCAGAATGGAAAATAAAGGAGATTTAAGTGACTCTGAACGTGGCATGATTGTTGGTGCCAGACGGGCTGGTCTGAGTATTTCAGAAACTGCTGATCTGCTGGGATTTTCACGCACAGCCATCTCTAGGGTTTACAGAGAATAGTCCAAAAAAGAAAAAGTATCCAGTCAGCGGCAGTTCTGTGGGCGCAAATGCCTTGTTGATGCCAGAAGTCAAAGGAGAATGGCCAGACTGGTTCCAGCTGATACAAAGGCAACAGTAACTCCAATAACTACTCATTACAACCAAGGTCTTCAGAAGAGCATCTCTGAACACACGACCCGTCCAACCTTGAGGCAGATGGGCTACAGCAGCAGAAGACTACATTGGGTGCCACTCCTGTCAGCTAAGAACAGGAAACTGAGGCTACAATTGGCACAGGCTCGCCAAAATTGGATAAAAGAAGGTTGGAAAAACGTTGCCTGCTCTGAGTCTTCATTTCTGCTGCGACATTTGGATGGGAGGGTCAGAATTTGCCATCAACAATATACCTTGTTGAATCTATGTCACAAAGGATTTGGGCAGTTCTAAAGGCAAAGGGGGTCCAACCAGGTACTACTAAGGTGTACCTAATAAAGTGGCCGGTGAGTGTAATTTGCCAATGGGGTAAGAAAAGTAACCATTTTCGCTTTGAAAAAAATACACTTTACTAACTCCATTGGCCGATAATTTTGCCTGTTTTTTTTATCTTAATTTTGACATATTTAGTTCAGACCATATTATAACAAAACAATATTTTTTACTTGTCTGCAAAATTATTTAAGATATTTGGACTAGAAACAAGACAAAACGCAAGAAACTCATATTTATTATATATTTAAGTGTGTTATTTACAGGTTTCGTGCAGGTATGCTAGTGGCTGTCAGTGCTCTGGAGGGCCAGTTTTGCACCCATCAGACAAAGTGTGTCCTCACCCGGGTGTGCAGTGTTATCGGGTGTGAGCCGGCTGTGTCCCAGGTTCTTCTTGAGAAGTAGCACATCATTAGAAATATTTTAACATCCCTCCGCTTGCTCGCACATATCAATCAAAGCTGGAGATCTTCTTTAATCAGATGAGAGTGGAACCTGTAGAAAAACACAACGCAATATCATTGTTGCTTATGATCATCCTCAGTAATGCAACTTTAAAGATAGTTCTGTCAGTTCTGTTATTTTGTTTGTGTAACATAACAAAGATATTTTGCGGGCTGAGGGTCTTTAAATGCAAAAAATGCTTTTTAATTAAAAAAAGCAACATTAATCGAAACGTTTAATTTCAGTTTGCTTATTTTGTAGCTCAACAATAAAACAAACAAACAAAAGGTTCCATTTAGATAGAAATGAGAATCTCTGTTAAAGCAATTCTCCAACTTTTCCCAATCATTTTCCCTCTAGTGGGCGAAATCAAAGGATTCAATAAGCCAACTTTGGCTTGTGGGCCCTAGTTTGGGCATCTCTCCTTTAGCACTTAATTCTCTGAGTACTAACAGTTAATTTGTACAATTAGCACTTGTCTTGTTCATTGCCTGTTCTTATTGAATGCCTCCTTAATGTTGTATATGCACTCAGACTTTTAAATTCAGTACACCAGTCTCAGCACTTCCGGTTAATTGTCATCCCATACAAAATTGCCAACTTTAAGATCTGATTTGTTTAAAAAACAGCTATCTTCAGTGTCTGGATGAGATGCGATATAAAGTGGGTATCAGACCAAACAAGAAGCACTGCATTAAATTTGATTTCTCCGCGCCATGTCTTTAAGATATGGAAATTATTTTTACCCCATATTTTCAGTAGAATTTCTGCACTAGCTGGCCGCAAATGTCGGCGCCTGGGTTTAAACAGTCTTTCCTCTCTTTTTATACTTTAACAACTGAATGGATGCTAAAGCCTATGTGACTGAATATATTTGAATGAAATTATAATGTCAATGCTGTAAAAGAAACCTTATGAAATTGAAAATAGTCACTTAAATCTTTCACCGGAAGTTCATCATTGGCTGAAAAACAATAGCTGAGGTAAATATAAAAAGAGATAGACACAAATGTACAATTTACAGATCTAAAATATCTCTAACAAAAGCATTTTTTAAATATAAATGTAAAAAAGTCTGTAGCACCATGAAGGAGTCAGTAAAACATTGTACTTTAGAATGATCATCGGTGAAGCAGCTCTTAAAGAGCTATTGTCCAATTCTGCTTTAAATTGTTGTCGGTGTGTTGTTGGTCTTTTCACAGATGCCAGTATCACTAAAAGGGGGAAAAGGGGGTGGAGTGAACACTTTCCAGGGCAAACAGACCTCGGGACAAGACGAAATTGAGCTCATGTTTCCTGAGGTAAGTGTCAAACCACAGCATCTCTGATCCCAGTAAACAAAAGGGTGAAAATATTTGCCAATCAGATGTATTTAAAGCAGTCATGAAGTGAGAAATACATTTCTACTTGAGCTTTTGATATGTAAGAGGTCATCATGCTTAAACAATATACTGTAAGTTTCAGAGCTGAAATCCCCTTTGTTACTAAATTAAAAGCTTTTATAGATATTCAACACAATCTCACGGCAATTCGTAACTTTTTGATTTAGTGTTTAATTCGTATGAATTCATACGATCTAATTCGTACATTTTAGTACAATTTGCTCATCCCCCAATGAAGGTTGGCTTTAGGGGTGGGGTTAGGTGCCACGCCTCCTTTTTAAAATCGTACAATTTCGTACGAATTCGTACGAATTAGCCACTAAATTGGCAAATCGTAAAATACTTACGTTTCCTCGTGAGATCAGGCTGAGATATTAGGTCCCAAAAAAGTCAGATCCTCGAATATACCCATCTATGATGTCATAAGTCAGTTCAAATCTGTGTGAAACCAAATTTGCGGTGCTTTTTTTTTGCTAGCACACATTGTGTAGCATTCAACTTAGGGGAAAAAGTTTGTTTTGGTCAATCAAAGGTCACTGGTTCGACCCTCGGCTGGGTCAGTTGGCGTTTTTGTCTGGAATATTTAAGTCAATTTAATATTGAATCACAGGAGTCAAACGTTTATGTTGAAATTTAAGGGATTTTAACATTTTTAAGTTTCCTTATAAGTGAAAATTGGTGTTTAATTAGTTGACTGCAAAGGTTTAGACAGCATGAGGAGGACAACAAATAAGAGCAGTGAATCTGGGTTGAGAATCAAACATAGAAAGAGGCTAACAGTTAATTTTTTCTCGCACACACCTGTCAGAGAGGACGTGCAAACAGAGCTTGAGTTTGGAAGAGGGAGTGGGGATGGTAAACACTGGGCAGAACCTGCAGTCAGAGGGTATTACTGCATCACACAAGAAAACCCTGTCAGATCCACCTGGGAAAAAGCTCCAAGGCATCAATCACATGGACAGACACTGTGTGCATGTGTGAGAAAAATATAGCCCTTCAGAAGATGTCCAAACATCGCTCAACTTACACTTACATGAGAAAAATGTTTCAGTTTTTAGTCATGTCAGCCTTTGAGCTGAATTTTTTGTTGTATTCAAAAACATTTGACTTTTAAGGGAAACGTATTTATCAAATACTATAATAGGGAGACCGATAAATTCAATTTAAGCTAGATTCAAATTGGGTCTGACATGAACATATGCTAAACATTGCACAGCTACACATAAAACAGCAACAAAAGACATGCGTATTGTTGCCTATCCTAGTTTTAAGAATAACAAATACTTACTTGACTTCTAGTTGATCATTTGGTATCAGTGGCTAAAGGCAAAGGCCTCTAGTTTACGCTTATTTTACCAAAATAAAATATGATCATGCCTTGATTTTTAATTATTTAATTTGAACAGTAAAGTCTGACTTTGCTTAGACAAAAGTCTTGTCACTTAAAGAATGAACAGTATAGAATATAAAGTCATGCTGCAGTGGAGAAAGTATGAATATTGTGTCTGACTCCATCATGAGCTTGGAGGACTGCATCCATACATCTCTGCACTGACTCAAATCACTGATTAATAAAGTCATCTGGAATGGCAAAGAAAGTGTTCTTGCAGGACTCCCAGAGCTCATAGAGATTCTTTGGATTCATCTTCAATGCCTCCTCCATCTTACTCTAGACATGCTCAATAATGTTCATATCTGCTGACTGAGCTGGCCAATCCTGGAGCACCTTGACCTTCTTTGCTTTCAGGAGCTTTGATGTGGAGGCTGAAGTATGAGCAGGAGAGCTATTCTGCTGGAGAATTTGCCCTCTCCTGGGGTTTAATGGGCAGCACAAATGTCTTAACGCCTCAGGCTGTTGATGTTGCCATCCACTCTGCAGATCTCTCACACAATCCCATACTGAATGTAACCCCAAACCATGATTTTTCCTTCACCAAACTTGACTGATATCTGTGAGATTTTTGGTCAATCTTGCTTCTATAAGATGCCAATTTTCCATGTAATCAACTAGGAGTCAAGTTATTATTTGTTGCTTTTACAAATGGGATCGACAAAATTTAAATTTGCAAGACTTTTGTCAGGCAGTGTAGACATAATGCTTATTTCTGAAATCCAGGAACACTCCTAAGCATTTTGGATTACTCAGAGTCAGACAGATTTCACATAGCAGTTTTTTTAGGGCACTTGATAATCAAATAAAAATACAAAGTCTATAACCGACAACACACTAAACCAACTCAGGAATTGAAATGCACACAATATTGAGAAACCAAACTAGACACAGGTGAGCAACATACCTTTACTCTCCTATTTCCCCTTAACCTGCAGTTACTAGGTACAAGTGAGAGACTGTTTAGATCACAGGTGTCAAACTTAATTCCTGGAGGGCTGCAGCTCTGCACAGTTTTGCTCCAACCCTGATCAAACCCAGCTGATCCAACTAAGCAAGGTGTTCAAGAATACTATGGACTATTAAGCAGGTGTGAGTTGGAGGTGGTTGGAGCTAAACTGTGCAGAGCTGTGGCCCTCCAGGAGGTGAGATCATTGGTTTAGATGATGATAAAGATGTTGAGCGTATGAGAATTAAATTAATATCTTAATTCCCTACAGAATGTTACGTTTTCACACACACATGCATGGATATCACGTAAACGGCTTTCATAAATAAACCTTTCACATCGTAATACTCACTACTCTTGAGTACTTTTGAAAGGGTACTTTTTACTCATGCACAGGTACTTTTACTCTACCTGCAATACATGCCTAAGTAATGGTACTTTTACTTGAGTATGATTTTCCACCAATGACATAGTTTGAACAAACAGCAAGCATCCTTTTTTGCAGTGTGTTTTGATTGTGTTAAGCTCAAGATACGGCCACCATATCATTCATAGCATGACGTGTGATAATAAGCGCCAGAATCAACAGTTCAGCTCTCCCAGATGGCTCTCTCGCTCACGTCCTGTCACCTCAGGGTGTGAACCAACACACTGTGAAGACTGTGAGGTGAACAGAGCAACCGTGAGAGATCACACTTATTCTGTCACCTCTGTGTTCTGACTGATGCGTCCCACTGACACGATCCAACCCATGGAAGTGACACATATACTCACCAGTGAAGGAATACACAAAACACATTTCACTACCTGTCTAATTTCATGTAATTCTGGGAGAAACATTCATTTATTTATTTTCCTTCAGCTTAGACCCTGATTCATCAGGGGCCGCCACAGCGGAATGAACAGCCAACTACTCTGGCATATGTTTCACTAAAGACCATAGAATACACAAAATGTGTCAACCTGCTTTTGTTTGATTCGAACGTCTTAAAACTAAACTTTTAATCAGTTTTTTATTTTATTTTATTGATGGTTCCAAATATGTTATGTAATCATAAGCTTGGCAAACACTTTTGGAAAATTTGATGTTTCACCATTCAGACAGAATGCCTGAGCATACTGCCAGAGAGGCATTTCAAATGGCTCGTTTCCACTGACTGGTACAGTACGGTACGGTTTGGGACGGTACGGGTAACCTTTATCAGGCTTGCATTTCCACTACCGAGGGTACCCTTTTGGTGGGCGTGGTGTACGACAAAAAGTTTCAGTCGCATCATTCACACTCAAGGAAATGTCTACAATAAAGCTGTACGGGTCCCTCACACATATCATATGAAAAGTACTTCTCACAAAGCAGATGCTTTCACACATAAATACTTGTGTATAAATGTTTATTACTAACTTTTCTATGAACATGATTTGATTATAACTGTAGATTGATGACAGTGTAAAATAGCCTACTGTAACGTCTGTAATTATATGAAATAAATAAATAAATGAACATATACGTACACATACAACATATGAACACACACAGCCCCTTAAAGTCTCCAACATGTTACCAACTACAGAAAAACTGCACAAAGCAGACATTTCGTCCTTATTTAGGTTAAAAACTAACACAATCTCACGGAAATGAATAACTTTTTGATTTAGTGTCTAATTCGTATGAATTCGTACGATCTAATTTGTGCAATTTAGTCCGACTTGCTCATCCTCCAATGACGGTTGGGGTTAGGGGTGGGGTTAGGTGCCACGCCACCTTTTTAAAATCGTACAATTTCGTACAACTGAACTCATACGAAATTGTAAGAATTAACCACTAAACTGGCAAAACGTAAAATGCTTACATTTTCTTGTGAGATCAGGCTGTTCAAATCAACACAAAATATAGCCTACAGTCAGTGAAAACCTATAATCTGTGTCTGTAATCTTCAGCAGCACATGTAGCCTCTGTTAGAGAGTCATTCCGTCATTCCAGAGTTTATATTAGTCCAAAAGGTGATGATAAAAATTAAAACAAGTTAGCGGTTCATTCTGCTGTGGCGACCCCTGACGAATAAAAGGACTAGGCCGAAGGAAAGTGAATTAATAAATGCTACATGTACACATGTAAAACATAAACTATGGCTACCAATGAAAAAATACAATTATTGACTTAATTTTAATATTAAGAAATAGAAAATTCTACTGTTTTCTCTAATAAACCCTATTACCCCTTCTTGCACTAAAATAGAGTTGTATTGTAGTTAATTATTTGTCGTAGTTAAAAAAAAAAAAATAAAATACTATCGCCCAAAATTCTTCATTTTATTTCTACAGATCTTTACTCGGGAGCTCAAAGTTCCTGAATTTTCCGCTCTGCAGTCTACCTTTCTAGAAGAAGCCAACCCCATGATCCATCTAAAGGTATGTGTAGGACATTTTATCAAACTTTGTTGGCATTAATTCATTTATTAGAGACTTTATTCAAAGATCTCAAAGAGGACCTACTGTGCCCCTTTTTACAAGATGTAAAATAAATCTCTGATGTTTCTAGTATGTGACGTTTCAGTTTAAAATACCCCACAAATACTAGGTATAGGTAATACTAGGAGGTAGGTAGTCTGTAGGGAATAAAGTGTTTATTTGTGCATCTTAAAACTCAACATTTTTAATGCCTCTTAGTTGATCACACTACATTTGGCTATATATGACGGATGGCTGCTTCTCGCTCAGGGCTCTTTATGGTAATGAGGGCAAGATTTCTCCCTCTGGTGATATGTACAAAGGGAGAATGCCAGTTAAAGCGTTTCTGCAAACTGTTTTGATCAAGTGTGATTATAAAAAATAAAGTTAATTATTTTTTTTACCATTAGAAACTGGTTATATTCACACAATGTTGCCCCACAACTGTATTTAAACTCCTTATAAAAATTATTTCTGCATAATAGGTGCCCTTTAAGGTAAGAATCAAGAGTACCTACCAGTAACGTTCACATGTCTGGATTTTGTGTTAATGAAATGAAGTCACCTTTGGGTGAATCTGTGAGTTCAAACACTTGAGGTTGAATTTTTTTTTTATTATTGCTTATGTTTTCATCTTGACAGATAGGCAATGAGCTACCAATCAAGTCAAAGACCATTGACGTTATGCAGAAAATAAGATTAATGCACAGCCTCTCACTCTCTTACATGGCTGACACCCAGAGGTGAGACTTTTACACGTCAGACATTCCATTTAAATGCAGCGTAGGCTGTAATTAGTTACACACTACTAGTAATTGTGATTACTTTTTCAGCGGGAAAGTAATTTACTTTAAAGTAAGGGATTACTTTTCATTTTTAGGTCATTTAATGACAGCTACTTATACTTGCTTAAAGGTTTCCTGAAACTGATGTTAGTTTCAGTTTGTTTTAAGGATATCTATTAGCTAGTGTGCTCCAAAACAGTGACAAAATGTATTTTTATAAGATATGTTCATTACTTATGCCTAATAGATGAACTATTTTTTACAAGTCATCTCATACTTCAGCTTCTCAATAAATCTTGACCAATCAAATGCTCTCTAGTATCTGACATGCCCCACCCCCTTTCATACGCTTCTCATTTGCTTTGCTTTTGATGCGCTTGTGCTCAACCACTCGCACTGGCAGAGCTGTGATAAAACCAAAAGCTACTGGTTGGTTTTTTAAAGGGGAGGAGCTGCTATATGTCCCGCCCTCTCTTCATGTTTCAGTTGAGATTACATCAAATATCGAATAAAAAATGCACATTTCAAAGGACCTTTAAGTACTGTAGGGTCTGCATAAATTCAACAGTTCAATCAATTCAGAGAGGCAGTGTGATTGTATTTTTTTGAGTGTGGAGTTTGCATGTTCTCCTTGTATTGGTGTGGGTTTCCTCATGGTGTTCCGGGTTCCCCTACAGTCCAAAAACATGCGCTGGGTGAATTGGATAGACTAAATAGGCTGTAGTGAATGAGTGTCAATGTGAGTGTATGGGTGATTCTCAATACTGGGTTGCAGCTGGAAGGGCATCCGCTGCATAAAACATATGCTGAAATAGTTGGTGGTTCATTCTGCTGTGGCGACCCCTGATTAATAAAAGCACTAAGCCGAAAAGAAAATGAATGAATGAATATATGAAATATGAAGTCAATAATTTGGAACAGTTTGAGTTTTGATAAATATGTTGTTTCAAATTTAAGTGTTTTTAAGCAAAATTAAAAGGTCCTGTTTGACTGAAATTTTAAGAACTTAGAGTTTAATTTCTGTTGTCTATGCTTTGGATTTCTGTGACTATTAGTATTGAGTAAAGTAATTAAACTACTTATTGAGTAACTTAAGTTACTTTTCAGACAAAGTAATTAGAAAATTGCAATTTTAATGCTGCAATCAGAAATAAAATACTTTTTTTAAAGTAACTTACCCAACACTGTTTACATGCATAGACGTTTTAAGCTGACTTTAGCTTCTTCTGTTTTTATTTGGGAAGAATTATGGCAAAAACTGGACTCGGCTCACATGTCACAGATGGATTCAGCATCAGAGAATTGGTTAGTTATGCACAAACATTCCCAGCATTACAAACTTCCTGAATAATTGACGGATTAATTTATCCAATTTGAAATGTACTCATCCTTTTTCTTTCTTTGTGAAACCCTAAAGAGGATTAATGTAGTGAAATATTTAGTGATGATTTATCCAGACCAAACATAATAAAATACACCTTTCAACCTCACTGATCTACTCTATATTTAGATTTTCATTCACACTTTAGTTTAATTAAAGGGACAATATGGGGGGAATATGCTCATTTTACAAGTCCCCTAGAGTTAAATACTTAGTTTTAGCATTTGTTAATTCATTCAGCCAATATCTGCAAAAGCCCTTTTAGCTTAGCTTAGCATAAATCATCATTCTTTTGTGGGAAATATGCTCATTTTACAAGTCCTCTACAGTTAAATACTTGAATTTTAGCATTTGTTTATCAATTCGGCCAATTTCCAGGTCTGGCGGAACCCCATTTAGCTTAGCTTAGCATAAATAATTGAATCAGAATAGACGATTAATATCTTACTCAAAAAAAAAAAAAGAAAAAATATTTCCGATCATTTTCCACAATGTATCTATAGAATAGTCTAAATTAAAATAGTAAAATTATCGAAACTATTTTTTTAAAGTTTTCGTGCGAGATGCTAATGGTCTAATCTGATTTATTGAATTATGCTAAGCTAAGCTAAAAGTGCTCTTGGCAGAACTAGAGATCGACTGAATGGATTAAAAATAGGTAAAACTCAACTGTTTAACTCCTGTGAGACTTGTAAAATGAGCCTATTTTCAAGGAAATTATGCATTTTTATGTGCAACTGTTGACTAAATGTTTATTTTGAGTGACCTATTATAACTTGCTTTTCAGCTCATTTATTATTCATAATTTTTTGAGTAGATGGAGAATGAGTATTCTCACAAAGTCATAACCCAGAAATCCAGATGTCCTGCAAAGCCCATAGAAAGTGGAAATGCACATTTCACACCAAGGTCAGGAAATACTATGAACGAAGAAAGTATGGCATGTGTCAGTTCACTTTTAAACTGTGTTACTGTTCATGCATGTAGTTTTCAGCCAGCAGAGAAAAGCGCCGAGGAATCACCATCTGCAGAACATTCTCCATCATCATATATAGACCCTACACTGCCACTCTGTTTAGCTGACATCTGTGCTGCTCATTCATTTGAGGTAGTGTGTTTTATATCTGTTCCAAAAGTATACTACAAAATAACAATACAGCAGATTTCAGTTATCAACAATTTACTTTGTTTCAGGCAGAAAAACGTGACAAGAAGATGTGGACAAATTATACGCAGAGCTCTACTGATGTTGATCTGTTATTTTAGAACAGCTCCAGGGTGCATGGTAAAAATACTATATTAATGTTTAGTAATAAATACTGTGATATACTTCAGTTTTTACTACAACTATACAATCACTACAAGCCTCTTATCTGTATTGCTATTTTTCACCAGCACCTGTAACCCTTTTGTTAAAAAGTAATTCAGTAATTCTGAGTTTATAATAAACTTTAAGTTCAACATTAATTCAATGATAATTTGGTTTATGTTTAAACATTTTTTTAATGTTGGTTTCAGTGTAAAAAAAAAAGAATAAATTATATGTATATATATATATATATATATATATATATATATATATGTTTTACTATTTTAAAATCTTAGAAATTTTACAATCATTTAGAACATCTATTTAGAATCGTTGAAATAACATAATTTCAATATTTTATTTAAAGAATGCAGATTTTGTGACCATTTTTATCTATTTAGCGTTATTTCAGGGTGCAAAACTGGCACAAAATGCTAATGCTAAGTAAATAATTTGGTTGATGTTTTCACATGTATTCAATGTTATTTGGGCATGGTGAATTGTAGCATACAGTTATAGAATACTACACTATTCGATCATTAGTTTATTTTACTATAGTTGTTGTGTTACCATAGCAGCAACATGATTACATGAAGTACTTTAATATAGTTATATATTATTTAGGCCTACTATAGACCATTTTGAGGGATGTAAACAAAAACAACGGTCCCAACATAGTTCCTGTTTTACAGTTTTACAGAGCCACATACTGATAAATAATGTTATGATAGCTGTTTAGCCATTAAGATATGATTGAATTGGCTCTTGTTGCTATTATAAAATAGTTTGAAAACAAACAGGAAATGGCCAATGACACTGAAATGGTCTGTAAATTACTATAGTATTTCCTCAATAAATGAATTTGAATATGTAGACTAATAATTATAGTAAGTCTAACAATTACACATGTATCACTGCTGTACGTTATAAATAAAGTGCCTTACTATTGTTTTTCTGTAATGTGTTTGAATAAATTTCCTAATTTAAAGCCTTCAGTTTAATATACTATAGTTTGATTTTCAGATGAGATGCCCGTATACTTTTTAAAATCAATTAGTTTAGGACAGTTTTCGTTGTTTATAAGAAGTATTTTATATTTTTACTGATAGTTTTACTTTAAGTCATGTCGCCAAGATGACGCATTTCACGCTATTTTATGAACACTCATTACTGTCCTGCAGCTCGTTGGTTTGGTGCCGTTTCCTCCTCGCTTGACACCTCTGGAGAAACATTCCCACGGGCTTTGAACTCATAAACATCTTATAAAACATTCGTCAACACCTAGATATCAGAAAGACTTGCATCATACAGCTATTTAATGCTAAATGTTAAAAAGTATCTATCTATCTATCTATCTATCTATCTATCTATCTATCTATCTATCTATCTATCTATCTATCTATCTATCTATCTATCTATCTATCTATCTATCTATCTATCTATCTATCTATCTATCTATTTAAATCCCAATAAGTTAAGGCAACTTAATTTGAGGAAAGGGCCTGATTTCATAAGTATCTTGAACTTACTCCAGCTATCTATTTTGTATTTATTTATATTACATATTTAAATGTATTTACATACATAAAATATATTAAATATGACACTTAAAAAATTATTGCAAAACAAAAACGATAGCATACAAAAATAGACACAGTATGCTACTTACACTTTTTACAGTAATATCAAAGGAACAAATCACAAGAGAAAATAAATAAATAAATAAATAAATGCACGGTATAAATAAATATGACCAAATATGTGCATTTCTTTTACATCATATCTCTGAACCAATCACTGGCCAGAACGAACGCATCAAAGCGGAGACTAACCAATCAGAGACTTCCTAAGCAGTTCGTGGAGCGAGTTTTACCTGAGTAAAGTATTTATTTGCATCTCTTCAAGTCTTCTGGGTGTATTTTGACTGGTGAGCCCTCGCAGTTTGGATATATCTTGTCGGATCCTCTTGGATGATAGAATGGACTCCGGTGACTGTCCTGAGAAGAACATTCAGTTTAGGGTGGACCATTTATTAACTGCGGTAGAAAATGAGCTTCAAGCTGGCAGCGAGAAAGGAGATCCGACGGAAAGAGAGCTTAAAGTCGCTTTGGATGAAAATGAGCTTTGGCAGAAATTCAAAGCACTGACAAATGAGATGATAGTGACCAAGAATGGCAGGTATTTCTCTTTTTTTGCCAGATAATATGTTGTAATTAACAGCAGAATTACATCTTTAAAATGTGCGGTTGTTAACATAATCAATGTTTATTTAATATGTTGATTGTTTGATTTGCTTATAGTGTTACAAAAGTGAGTGTTGAGTAAAAAAAAGTTATATATTAAAATTTTAAGCCTATCTTTTGTCTATTTTAATATAAAAACGCAAAAATAGCACATAGGCCTACAGTACTTTCAGATTACTTTCCCTAAAAAGTAGCTACTTTTTATTAACCATTTATACATCACTGCCTGCTCTACCAAATGGTTGACATTATTTCGGCTGTTTTAAATAATCACTGTTAAAACCAATTTAAAGGAAAAAGACAACATTGTTGGTTTATAAAAAATCCAACAAACATAATCATGTTGCATTACTATTGTAAAAAAACAAGAAAACGGGTTAAATGAGAATCTGAACTATTTTATGGCAAACTTAAATAAATAAAGATGATTTAGTGTTCAGATATGTTTTTTTTTATTTATTTATTTATTTATTTTAAATAAATTGGTCTTACTTTCATAGTAGCCCTATATATAATAATTCTGGTACTTTTACCATAAACAGACATACACTTTGTTTCAGGACGACAATGTGACATGAAGATGTCGAAAAGTTACAGACAGCTCTCTACTGGTGTTAATCTGTTATTTTAGATTTCAGGTCCAGGATGCTCACACGTGTTAAAAAAATACTATAGTAATATCTAGTAAATACCATAGTGTTTTAAAACTATACTAATACTATAGTAAAGTGTATACATTATAGAATTTACAACTCTGTGATTTTGGTTATATTGTAAAAATAAATATTATTTTCAGATTTTTCATAGTATATGAAATAAATCCGCCACTTTTACCATAAATTTGGTAGAGGTTAATATTTTAGAAATCATGGGATGTGTTGAAACAAAAATGCATTGAGTGTGTTAACTAGCGACATTAGGCGTTAAGAAATGCAATGCAAATTATTTTTTCTTGTTGTGCAGTTAAAGGCGACTTAGGATTTTAATACATTACTATTTCCAACACTGATAAAAGTAGTTAATGCTTAATTTTAATACGTATCTTAAATTGCATAGCCTAATTCACATACATAAGACGTTAATGATTAGATGTAGTTTTCAAAAAAGTTTTGTTTAAACTTTATTTTTGCATAAAATGTCATAGTATATACGAAGTTGCAAATCTGAAGTGCTATCTGAAATGGTTTTTTTTAAATGCACATTTTTTTCAGGCTCATGTGTGTAGGTTTAGAAATTCACATTTATAGAAAGTAGCCTACTGTTTTTTTTTCATAGGTTTTAAAGTGAAATAACTGAACATAAACATGATAGAATGCAGAGAAAAATGCTAATTTTAGAGGAAATTTTCAGATGACACTAGGCCTAGAGGTTTTTGCATCTTCCCTGTAAAACGATCTGCTATTTAGCAGTTTCCGTAGCCTGTTTTGTCATTCATTCACAAGTTCTTTCCGTTTTGGTTGTGAAATATTATGGGAGTTTTATCTCTGCTCTGTCAACTTTTGATGTTGAAAATTCAACTCTGCAGTTTAACAAAGTGACTTTATTGACATTTTAGTAGTTTAAAATATATAAATAAGTAGAGAGAAATAAGTGTGCAACATAACAGAAAATGTGCTGGCAGTTTATTACAAGGTTTTGTAGCGTAATGCAACACCAGCCCAGACAATATATATCACTTTAAACTATTAAAAATGTCAATGAAAGTCACTTTTTAATGTTAAAACTTTTTAGAGGCAAGATTAAGTTCCCATAATGCGACTCAAAAGCATAAAAAACGGGGGGAAATAAAAACATAAATCACAAAATACGGAAAACTGCTAATTTATGTATAGTTTTTATACCTAATGTAATTATATAGCCTATATACAAGTTTTTCCCATAACGTTGCATTAAAAATTTAACAGAAAGAAAGAATAAAAAAGAAAGACAGAAAGAAAGAAAGAAAGAAAGAAAGAAAGAAAGAAAGAAAGAAAGAAAGAAAGAAAGAAAGAGGCTAAGTAATTTTACATTATTGATGTGATTTGTTAAATGACAATGTTTCTTGCTTCCTCCAGGCGCATGTTTCCAGTACTAAAAGTTAATATATCGGGTCTAGATCCAAACGCCATGTACTCTTTCTTACTGGATTTCGTCCCAGCCGACAATCACCGGTGGAAGTATGTGAACGGTGAGTGGGTACCGGGCGGCAAACCCGAGCCACAAGCCCCTAGCTGCGTGTACATCCACCCGGACTCGCCAAACTTCGGCGCGCACTGGATGAAGAGCTGCGTGTCCTTCAGTAAAGTCAAACTCACCAACAAACTCAACGGAGGAGGGCAGGTTAGTGTGCATGATTATCGTCTGTTTAAGCCACTTTTACATGACTTTAATTTATTCAAACTTCATGGAACTAAATTAATTATAAACTCAATCAAAACTGCGACCATCGATAGTGAAGCAGAAAGTGAACCGAAAGTTTTTCTGCGAAGACGATGTTTATTCTTTTGCCATTTGGTTGATTGTTTTGTATTTTTTATTGGCTAATGTATATTTGTGTTGGTTTTTGGCATATAATAAATTCCATAATAGTCGAATTAAAACAAACAACAACAATTCCACCGCATATAAAAAACTTATCAAATTCGTTTTCTTCGTTTTTTATTATTATTTAAGCGCCGAGTTTGCTTGTTAAGTAGCCTATTATTATTACTACTAACGCACACGAAAATATTACCAAGAGCCTGAAAATGTTTTTTCCCCGACAGATTATGTTGAACTCGCTGCACAAATATGAGCCGCGTATCCACATAGTGCGCGTTGGTGGTCCACAGAGGATGATCACCACTCACGCTTTCCCCGAAACACAGTTCATTGCAGTGACTGCCTATCAAAATGAAGAGGTAATGTTTATGTTTTGTTTTTTACTAAGGTGAAGTTGGTTTTGTATATTTGCTTTTTCGGACTTTCTCCTTAATATAATTTCAAATAAATCTGTAATTTGTTCCTTATTTTCAGATTACGTCTCTCAAAATTAAATACAATCCATTCGCCAAAGCTTTTCTGGATACCAAGGAAAGGTACATACATATTTTATACTTTTATAATATTTTGTTAAGATTTTTTGCTCCACTGAATATGTTTTAGTCATTTTGAGGAAGATAATTTGTGTTTTCAAAATGTCATGTTTACTTCAGTTTGTTGTGAATCCTCTCTAATTGTTAATGAAATTTGGAAAGAATTTCTTAAACAAGTTTCTGTAATCAAACTACAGTTTAAAGAATATTAAACTATGTTTAAAGGGATAATTCACCCAAAACTAAAAATTGTACTACTCTCCCTGTACTTGTTCCAAACCTCTTTAGCGTCCTCCATCATTCATTCATTTTCCTTTGGCTCAGTCCCTTTATTCATCAGAGGTTCCCACAGGGGAATGAACCGGCAACTAATAGAGCATATGTTTCGCGGATGCCCTTCTAGCTGCAACTCAGTACTGGGAAACATCTATACACACTAATTCACACACGGCCAATTCAGTTTATTCAGTTCACCGATAAAAACTCACTAAATCAAATAGTAAAGTGGTCCAGTAGGCTGACCTGGGTGTCACTAGCCAATAGAGGCTGTGTACACCAGGTAGCTAAAGGGGCAAATTCAATTTTAAGTGACACTGCTCATCCCCTACACCCAGAGTTTCAGCTCCTTCCTTCTGGTCGCAGTTTTCTAGTATTAAGCTGTAGATTGAAACGATGCAAAAATAGTTTCATCCCAGCAGCCATTAGACCAGTGGTCACCAAACTTGTTCTGGAGGGCCGGTGTCCTGCAGATTTTTGCTCTAGCCCTACACTGTAAAAAATGTTACTTAGATCTAACTTATAAAAAGTGAGGCAAGTGGTTGCATCGGACGTTTTAGGTTGATTCAACTTCCAGCCTTTTTTAAGTATTTTAAACACTAAAACATTGCTTAAAACAAATGCAATAAAATTAAGTTGAGCCAACTAATATTTCTAAAATTACTCAAATCAGATAAACTTACTTTTTTTGTTAAACTTAACTTACTTATACATTGCTATATGTTGACTGTACTCATTTTAATTAAGTATTATGAACTTAATGATCTAAATAAAATTAACCATGCATATGTCATTTAAAACTAATTTAATTGACTTCTGGCTGTAACCTCAGAAAATAAATCTTCGTTTCTATATTGTAAGCACAATATACACTAGTAAAAACAGATAAACAGACTTTCCTGTCAATAACAATTAAATAAGAATGGGAAGATGGATTAAAGACCATAACATGTATTCAATATCAATCGATGTTCCTTTTAATAGTGACTACAAAATAGGCCATTAATGTGGCTACACATACACAATACATAAATAAAAACATTAATAATACCAGATCCTATTGAGAAATCATCCAAGGCAACTCAGTGAGGAGATTTGCATATTTTGATGAAGATTTAGGATGCATAATGTCCAGTCCCACAAAGAGTCTCTAATATATCTCAAATGTATACAGTTTTGATGGATACTTGAAGTCGAGGACATCGGTAAGTCCAAACAGGAGCCATCATGCATTTGACAGGTTTGGCAAACCTCTGACAGTCCTATGATAATCCAAACTGTGTTGGGCTGATGGCAAATTTTTCCCGTGGGCAGCCGCATGCACCTCTGATTCCTCACAACTCTATTGGTAGAGACAAAAACAAACAGGAGTTCAGGTGGTTGCTACCAAACAACATTAAATAGCTAAATACTGAATAGGAAATAACTACAAGTGAAGTTACAAAAGTCCAGTGAGAATGATGCATGGATGAAACACCTTAGTTTATCAGTTAAAAATTACCTTAGTTAAAATTACCTAACTTCTATTTAAAAAATAAAAAAAGGTTATAGAGGTTGTGTAATTACATTATTCCAGGTGTTTTTAGTTATCAAATTTTAAAGAAAACTGTGATTTTACTCAGTGTAACAGTGCATGTCATTGTGTTTTCCTGTCAATCAAAGAATTGTTAAAATTTAGGTATTACATTTTTTGTTTATTTTGGCAACTTATAAAGCATAAGAATGTGTATTTAATTTAGATATTAAAACTGTTTGAAAATGGCTATATGAAAATTATAGAATACAAGTTCTATAATTTAAATGTCATCTTCATTTTGCACCAAACTTTGCACGTCATAATACAAATTTTATTAAATAAATAAATAAATACATTGCCATTTTACACATTACATTAAGGTTTACATTAAATTTTTGCTAAAGCTACATTTAATTGACTTTTTCTTCAAATTTAATGTCACTGGCAAATGACAGTTCAGTGATTCAGTGTTATCAGTTAGCTTTATTGAAAGACTGACAGATAATAAGAAACTGCATTAGGATATTTTTATACTGTTTTTACTGTTGCACACATAATATCTGTGTAAAAAAAAACAGTAAAAATTACTGTTGCACTTCAAATATCAAATGTAAGTTAATTCTATGGAGCCCACTATTGTTTGCAATTTTACCAATGTTTTACTTGCCTGCAAATAATTATAGCTGTAGTTGTATCTAATGTTTTTCTTACCTGGATGTGAAGTTTGAAGATCCACAGGTAACAAAATCACTTTGGTATCTGAAGACCAAGAAAATGCATTTTAGAATGAGGTGCATACAGTTTAAATGGTTCTGTAAACATCAGTAGTAAATGTAATTTAAGTTAAAATAAATTGTAAATCTGTAATTTATTCACTATGCAGCATTAAAAAACTTATGGACTAAATCTCTAAAACACAAACTTTAAGTTATACTTTCTCTTACGTTAAACACAAACTACTTAACTGTTGCATAAGTTTCTGCATTTAATATCCATCCTTAATGTGCTGCTATAACTTAGGTGAGCTAACTTTAGCTAAGTTAGCGCTAGCAAACTGAACCCCCACACCCCGACCGCCCACCAGTGACCTTGTTAATCGGTTCTGCAACGTTAGTTATACCTACTAAGTGTTTTAAAACTACTTTCACTATTTTTTCTCAATAATATCACTTTTAATCATTAGCATAAACTAGCGTTGGTTAGCGTTAGCCAACTTAGCTTTCCATGTGAGAGCAGTCTAACTGTTAACATACCTGAGGCTACAGTACAATTTACAAAGCTAAAACCTCACCTGCCTAGCGAAGACAGCAGTTTTGCATGACTTTACAATTATCATTCGGCTAAATTTGCAACTTACCGTGTTAATCAGATCCGCTGCTGGGAGCAGTTAATGTCGACCATTGCAGAAGCTGCGTCTGCCTGCTAAATCCCGGGCAATGAAAAAGGAGTCACGCAAAACTATAAAAATCACGTTTTATGAACACCTGCCCACATCGACAGCTGCTCTAATAAATTGTCTGTGTCAACTCACTTTTATAACATTTATTCTACACAATAACCACGTAAAAAAATCTACTCAAATAAATTGCATTAGTTTTATTCAAAATATACAGTTATATAAAAACTGATATATTTTAAGTAAAGAGGAAGCAAATTAAATTTTTTTGGTATAAAACAAATAAAATTAACTAGATTGCAATTATTTAAAGTAGATAGAACCAACTTTGTGAGTGTAGCACTTTTTACAGTGTAATCAAACACACCTAAACAAGCTAATCAAGGTCTTAGTAGGTACACTTGAAACACCCAGGCAGGTTTGTTGAGGGAGGTTGGAGATAAACCCTGCCTGCAGGGACACCGGCCCTCCAGAGATTGGTGACCCCTGCATTAGACATTTAAATAAGGCATAGACGAAAGCAGAGGTGTTTCGGTGACTTGTATATTTTAGATAGATTTAAACATTTATTTAAGGGGGTGGACACTTAAAGTAATTATTCATTTATTCTTTATAAGTGTTTTTAGGTTTCTGTTTTATGTCCTAATGTTTATTTGTTGTTGTTTACTATGTGAGTTCCTTTGTGTGGCACAATTATGAGATAAGGACTCTTGACTGCAAACCAAATCTACCTTCGGGTATAAACAAAGTAACCTAACCTAACCTAATATAGCACAAGTCTTTGGACTGTGGGGGAAACCGGAGCACCCAGAGGAAACCCACGCCAACACGGAGATAACATGCAAACTCCACACAGAAATGCACACTGGCCCAGTTAAGACTTGAACCCGTGACCTTTTTGTTGTGAGGCGACAGTGCTAACCATTGAGCCACCATGTCGCCAGTCTTTGGCTTTCTTCCTTCTGTTAAACACAACAGAAGATTTTTGAAGAGTGTTGAAAAACCTCTAACCGTTGACATGCATAATAGGAAAAAACAAATGGAAGTCAATGGTTACAGGTTTTCATCATTCATCAAAATATCTTCTGTTGTCTCCAATAGAAGAAAGAAGCTCATAAACGCACTTAAGAGAGATTAAATAAAGAGTACATTTTCCTTTTTGGGTGAACTGCTGAATATATTAAACATACAAAACCACTGAAAAACAACAACATTTAGACTTTTAGTTTTAACTCAAAACCTTCTTCATAGACAAAATAAATAAATAAATAAATAAATAAATAAATAGCCCCAACATAAAGAAATCAGTTTTTGTTATAAAAACATAATTTTTTTTGTTCTTTTATTTTTCAGAAGTGATCATAAGGAAATTATTGAGGATGTCAGTGAAAGTCAGCAGTCTGGTTATTCTCAATGTAAGCAAACACAATTCAAATAATCATTTAATAACCGTCCTTGAATATGTGAATCATCTGGATTTCAGTTATTTAATCAATCATTTTGAAAATTAAGACTGAACCTCTCCACTATTTTTGTCGTTGTGCAGGTACAGTTGAAGTCAGAATTATTAGCCCTGCTGTGATTTTTGTTTCCTTTTTTAAATATTTCCCAAATGATGTTAAACAGATTCAGGAATTTTTCACAGTATTTCCTATAATATTTTTTCTTCTAGAGAAAGTCTTATTTGTTTCATTTCGGCTAGAATAAAAGCAGTTTTAATAAAAAAATAAATAAATAAATAAACATTTTAAGGTCAAAATTATTAGCCCACTTAATTAATAAGTTTTCTTCAATTATCTACAGAACACACTACTTTGATACAATAACTTGCCTAATTACCATCAATTTGCCTAGTTAACCTAGTTAAGCCTTTAAATGACATTTTAAGCTGAATACGAGTATCTTGAAAAAAATCTAGTCAAATATTATTTACTGTCATCATGGCAAAGATAAAATAAATCAGTTATTAGAAATGAGTTATTAAAACTGTTATGTTAAGAAATGTGTTGAAAAAATCTGCTCTTCGTCAAACAGAAATAAGGGGTAAACATACAGGAGGGCTAATATCTCTGACTTCAACTGTATTTATAATAATTTCCTTTATAACTGAGCAAAAGGAATCATCTATCGACTCTCGTTTTCTTTGTTGTTCTAGTAAGCAGCTGGTTTCTGCCATCCGCAGGGTCACTGTGTCCATCCGCAAACCCTCACGCACAGCTCAACAGTGCACTGTCTCTGTCTACATCCCACGGCTGTGAACGTTACTCCACTCTTAGGGGCCACCGGTCCGCACCGTACCCCAGCACGTACGCCCACCGCACTGCTTCTCCTAGTAAGTTACAACCAGCTTTTTCACCCGTCAAGGTTATTTAGTTTAAATATGAACCATATATTAAATGTTTTGTTAATTTATATCTTTGTTAATTAGGATAAATTAATTATTATAATTAATTAAAATTAAAAAATCATTAATTAAAAATCTATATAGACACACCCTTCAGATTTAAAGTAATATAAATATAAAATAATAAATTATAAATATACAAATAAATAATATGTAAAATATAAATAATTTAACAGCAGATTTCAAGAGTTCACACTTAGCTGATAATCAATAATGTGTAATTGGCATGCTGTCCTGGGAGAGAGCCCTGAGCTCGTACTATCCTCGAGCCCAGGGCTCCCTTCCATAAAAAGGGGCGTGGGGGGAGTTCGAGCTCAGTTAAGTCTCGAGAACTTTCCTACTTGTCACCGTGTGAGAAGAGTAAACTAAGGTTGTCTTGGGTAATAATGTGGTTTAGTCGATTGGCTATGCTGTATGCAACCCAAGCTCATTCTGAAAACTTAGTCCCGCGGACGTTTCTGGAGACTGCAATTTACGTGGCCGGAGGTACGTATGGCTGCATTTAATTTTTTTAAGCTAACGTTACGAGGTGGTGTGACGCCACTCCTCTTCGCGCTCGCCGGCTGACAGCTCAGCCCTGTGTGGAGGGCTTTCCTGCCGCAACCAGTTTGTCCGGTTAGCTCGACGTGTACGTCGGCAGAGTGGAGACCCGGAAGGAAGCTGACCGCGACGACCGGGTTCGAGTCCGGGGAAGAGTGGTTCCAGAAAGCAGGTAAGACAAAAACAGAATTCAAAAAATAAAGTGAACGAGTTTATAACGGGGCGAGAATAGGGTGAAATCCGAAAACACGCTCAAAATTAGACGAGGGCTTTTCTTTTTCTGGACCATTTTTGTAAATCGTTGCTTGGGTTTAGGGAAGTAAGCGGGCGGGTGGGCAAGCGGGTTCAATCGGTAAAACCGTTTGGGTTTAGGAAAGGAGGAGGAGGTTGGGTCGGCCTATTGCCCAGTCAATCATTCAGTCAGTCGGACAGACGGTCGCTCAACAGCGGCCACCGGCGTCTTTACACGAGAAGAGGAGGCGCCCGGGAGAGGCGTTCGAGATGCAAAAAAGCGTACACAGCGGCCTCTCGCAGATTTGCGAAAACAAAAACTGCACAAATACATACCTTCCTGGACATATTTCGGGGTCTACAGAAATGTCCGAGGGACTACGTTTCCAGAATGAGCCTGGGTTGGTTGTATGTTTTTGGACGGTGGGAGGAAACTGGGGAACCTTGAGGAAACCCACACGAACACAGGGAGAACATAGAAACTCCACACAGAAACGCCAGCAGACCCGAAAGGAGGTTGAACCAGCGTTGTTCTTGCTGTGAGGCGACAGCGCTAGCCACTGGGCCACCTTGTCACCCTATCGGAAAAAAGGGTGGGAAATAGGGGTGGAAGAGGGGGGAAACTTCGAGACGAAGATAACTGCAGTGAAAAACTCAGATTATTTATAATGCTTCCGTATACATCTAATAGGGCAAATTACAGAGCTAATGAGGTGCCAGCCGTGTTGATCATAAGCATGTGATCCTCTCGAAATTAGTTTATTAATAAACCACACTTTATGGTACTTTGATGTTTTTTTAATTTTTGTTTATGATCATTATTATTATCATTATTATTAAACTATATATAAAACTAACGTTATATAACCTTTTTATATCATTTATAAATCTTATATGCAATTAAAAATCCATGCTCTTATGAAGAAAATTAATAGAATTTGTTGTTTTCCTTTCGGTTTTATCAGCATTGAGTTGAAACCTGTCCACCTGGGGTTCTTTTTTTTCTGGTACTTTTACCATTTTATCTCGCCATCATCCCATTTAAGTATATTTCTACCATATTTTAAATCTTTCTATTAAAGGTGCCAGAAACATCTACACAAAGCTGATGCAAGCATAATACTGTCGTATCACTAGGGGGCACCCTTGCTCTCAAATGTGAACTTATTTAAGGGACAATAAAAGATCCCCTATTTTTACATCCCCATACATATTTACATTAGATGTCACCTACCCTGTTGTTGTCTATTGGAAGGAATGCATCAATAGAGCGCCATTTTAGTACAGGGTAGCGCTCCTTTGAAATGAATGCGGGACCAAGCTGCAGTAAAGGACTGTGGCCATCCAAAGCCAGAGATATACACATATATACATAGATCTATGAGCAGGAGTTTGCCTGGAGGTCAGTATGTCATTTTTTTTTAATTACTAAAATTTTTTCTGTATTGATGGATAAGTGATCGCACAGGCATTTCTGACAAACCGCTTGTATGTGTTTATGAAAATGTACTATCCACCCTCCCTGTAAGATTTGATCTAATCCGTGTCCTGAAACACAGCCGATTGAGGGAGCGATTCGTTTGTGAATGAATCTCCGTTATGAACGGCTCCTTGACTTAGCCGACAATAATACAAGTTTCTGGCACCGCAGCATCTCGTTGTCATATTTCTTTTGCTTGTTTGCTGAATTTATCCAACAAAACTAGCATAAGCCGAGTATTTAGTGCGAGTTGGTGCTAGTTTGCCTTATGATGAATAGTATTATCATCAATAACGTTACCTGTTTGGCACAAAATTTCAGAACATACAAAAACGTAAAAAACTGAACCTTACCTGTGAAATGTTCTGCCTTTGTGCTTGTTTTCTTTGTTTGCTTGTTACTACACTCGTACACAATGCATCTTCACGTAGTAACATTGTCTAAACTAGTGCGGTTGAATGACATTTGTCCTGGGAGCACTGTACCAATATGGCAGCGCTATTGACGCATGCTCAGGGTGTATATGTATATATCTATGTTACATCCCAATGTCGATATGTGAAAATAGCAAGCGCCTACATACTCATTGTGTGTTGTTTGTGCTGCAGCTGGTTATTCTGACAGCTCCTCGTGTTTATCCATGTTGCCGTCTCATGATAACTGGTCCAGTCTACAGATGTCCTCGCACTCCAGTGTGCTGCCGATGGGCCACAGCTCTGGCCCAAACTCAAACACCAGGTGAAGCTCCTATCACAGCTTATCAGTCACACACTGTTTATCCAATGCAAATGTATTCAAATGAAAGTGTTATTTGTGTAACTAATAAGGTATGAGAAGCTGGGTTACATAAGTGCTAGTTTTCTGGCATCCTCTTGGTCTGTCCTGGCCCTTTATAAGCCTTTATAAGTTCTCTTTTACCATCTATGTAACATCAGCTGCCAGTATATATGCCAGCTGTGATATATATATATATATATATATATATATATATAATAATTTTCCTCTGTTATTATACTTTTGGATTTCACAATAGCATGTTTTTAACCTGTGAATCCTCTGTTGTGTTTGTATCTTGTTTGCAGTCAGTACACCAGCTTGTGGTCTGTAGGGAACTCCTCTCAGTCTGGAAGTATGAGCAGCAGTCTGGGCTCTCAGTTCCTCCGCGGCTCGGCCGGTCACTACAGCAGTCTCGCTCACCCGCTCACAGCGCCCTCTTCTGGCTCTCCTTTATACGACACAGCTGCTTCAGAGGCTTCAGAATATGACACAGCAGCCCATACTCGCCTTCCTACAGCCTGGACCCATGTGGCACCACCATCCTTATAGAAGTCAAGCCTATGGACTAAAGTTAAGCCATGTACAGTACAACTGAACTCTCCTGGCTTTCAAATAGGGCTGTCAAAGTATGGGGCATTCACACCAGACATGGTTTGCATGAATAGATTGCGTTATTCACACGTAGTGAAGTTTATTTATAACAACTGACCACGTTTGGTATCATTGGTGGGATGTCTGTCTGCCCGGTAACTCCAGTTCTGTTGCTAAATGGCTGACATGGATTTAATTGAGAGAGTAGCTGTGCTTAATGTGCTTTAGGAATGCTGAAAAAACAGCGTAGATTCGTTCGGCGCCGTGTCTGGGTCTATTAGTTCCTTCAGAGTTGCACCCAGCTCTGTGAGTTCATCAACTCCTCCAGAAACTGCTCCTGGATGACGGCTGATTTCAGTGGTACTTCTGATTGAGCCTCGGGACACCTACTACAGGTGCTACGTCATAATCACGCCCCTACTAGAGCAAGCTCCTGATTGGTTAACATGTCATGAATGTCCATCAAAGTTCATCATTCGCTCGCTGCGAATAGTGTCGCAGGATGCCTAATTGCTTCAATACATTGACAATCACTCGGCCTTGATGCTTCAACTGTGTCTGTTGCGAACGTACCATAAAACACAGCTGATTGCTATTGTGCTCACGTGCTCAACAGAAACTAACTGTGATTGATTGTGAAGGTCATCAGTTCACCGCACTTCACCACTAGTCATCAAGTGCAAACACAGATACACGGACACTAGAGTTTTATAGCTGCGTCAGTCAGTCAACCCATCAGCATGTTTTTGAACAGGAATGATGTTCCAGGATCAACATACATACACTGCCTGACAAAAGTCTCGTCGTCGATCTCAGTTGTAAGAGCAACAAATAATATCTTGACTTCTCTTTGATCATTTGGAAAAGTGGCTGAAGGTCGATTTTTCTGCTGAATCATCTGTTGAACTGCATCACAATCATCACAAATACTGCAGAAGACCTACTGGAACCAGCATGGACCCAATATTCTCACAGAAATCAGTCAAGTTTGGTGAAGGAAAAATCATGGTTTGGGGTTACATTCAGTATGGGGGCGTGGGAGAGATCTGCAGAGTGGAAGGCAACATCAACAGCCTGAGGTATCCAGACATTTGTGCTGCCCATTACAAACCACAGGAGAGGGCAAATTCTCCAGCAGGATAGCGCTCCTGCTCATACTTCAGCCTCCACATCAAAGCTCCTGAAAGCAAAGTAGGTCAAGGTGCTACAGGATTGGCCAGCCCAGTCACCAGACATGAACATTATTGAGCATGTCTGGAGTAAGATGAAGGAGGAGGCAATGAAGATGAATCCAAAGAATCTCTATGAGCTCTGGGAGTCCTGCAATTCCAGATGACTTTATTAATCAGTGATTTGAGTCATTGCAGAGATGTATAGATGCAGTCCTCCAAGCTCATGATGGAGTCAGACACAATATTCACTCTGTTTCCACTGCTGCATGACTTTATATTCTATACTGGACATTATTTCTGTTGAGTGACAAGACTTTTGTCTAAGCAAAGTCAGACCTTACTGTCTTAATTTAATCATTAAATAATCATAATAATAATAATTATAATCATCAAGGCATGATCATATTTTATTTTGGTAAAATAAGTGTAATCTAGAGGCCTTTGTCTTTTTATATAAGCCACTTCTAATACTGAATTATCAACTAGAAGTCCAGTTATTATTAGTTGTTCCTGAAATTTGGATAGGCGACAAGACTTTGGTCAGGTAGTGTAGTCTTATCGCATCCTACTTGGCAAAATCACACACACCTTAAACTGGATTCTCTCTTTTTACAGTGTGATTTCTGTGTTTACATCAAAATCTGAGATCTTTGAAACAAAAATCTTGCTATTCAATCTCACAATTCACATAAAGCAAGTGTTATGTAATTTTGTCTTGGAGTACTTCGTGTTCAGACCATGAAGGTCATTTAGGGCTTTTAAATATACAAGTAACTCTATTTTTAAGGCATATTGTACATAAGTGGTATTTATATTTTGTCTTATTATAAAGGAAACTTCATATGCACAATTGTGAAGAAAATATTTTGTAAAATACTTGTTTTTTTTTTAAATATTTTTTGGAATTTGACTTCAGCACGGTAAACAATTAAAGTGTTTTTTAATGACATTATGGTACATTTATTTAACAACTATTTCTTGCAGCTTGTTTATTAAGTACAACATAGGCTCATTCTGAAAATGTAGCCTATATACATTTCTGGAGATCGCGAATTATGTAGCCAGAAGTTTGTATGGCTGTATTTTGTCTTTAAAATGAATGTTATGGGGCAGTATGATGCTGATCCTTTTCGCTCTTACCAGCTGACCACTTACCTCTGTATGGACGGCTTTCCTGCTGTTACCAGTTTGTCCAGTGGCTTGCAGCGTACATTGGAGGACTTGAAACACAGAGAAAAGCTGACCAAGAGGGTTCCAGTTCGGCAAGAATGGTTTCAGAAAGCAGGTAAGACAAAAGACAAAAAAGTTAAATAAGCAAGTAAATGACAGGGTGAGAATGTGGTAAAATGTAAAAACATGGTGAAAACCAGCAGGCTTTTCTTTTTCTCGATTACTTTTCAAGACACTGTTGGTTGGGTTTAGGGAAGGCGGTGGACGCTGGTCAATTGTTGCTTTTCAAAACACTGTTGGTTGGGTTTAGGCAAAAAGCATAGAATCACCAAGAGGTGACACTCTGGTGCAATTTGGGAAACAGCCACTAGATGCCACGGCGGCCATTTTGAAATGAAAACTTCAATAGTTTTCAGCAGCATATTATAAGTCTGTAAATTATAAGACAGCATATCATAAGGCTGTTATGGATGTTGGATGTAACTATTAAAAGAATCCGGAACTGTTGCTGAGCGCTGCTGTCGCAATGGAACGTTCTATTGAGTGTCGCTTCTTGGTCATTCTAAGCCCTTTGTTTTAGATAAGGCTGGTCAATTGTTGCTTTTCAAAACACTGTCGGTAGAGTTTAGGGAAGGGGTTGGATGAAGAAATCGGTTGGTTGGTCAGGGAGTCAGTCGACAGCAGCCTCTGGTGGATTTATGTCAGAACAGCAGGCGTGAATGGCACTTACGAGAGAAATTTGAGATCTGAAAAATCATACACAATGGCCTCTGGTGGATTCGAGAAAACAAAAACTGCAAAAAACGTACCTGCTGGTAAGTATTTGACACTCAATAGAAATGTATACAGGGGTACGTTTTCAGAATGAGCCTGGGTTGATTTTTTTTTTTACAAAAAAGACTGTTACTGTATATTGCTTGTTACTGAAATGATGTTATGTTCTAAACATAAATAAATATAGAAGGTCTTATTATTTTCACCACAAAAAAAACAATCCTGCGAGTTTTATACTGTAAAAATAGTGATAGGATCAAAAAGTCATGTGTTTTGTGCAGCCTGATCTCACGAGGAAACGTAAGTATTTTACGTTTTGTCAGTTTAGTGGCTAATTCGTATGAATTTGTACGAGTTCAGTCGTACGAAGTTGTACGATTTTAAACGTGGCACCCAACCCCACCCCTAAACCCAACTGTCATTTGGGGGATGAGCAAATTGTACTAAATTGGACAAATTACATCATACAAATTCATACGAATTAGCCACTAAATCAAAAAGTTGCGAATTGCCGCGAGATTTTGTTGGTTTCGTTATGTTACTTTAACATATTTCAATAAGTATTTCTGTTTTCAACTTAATATTTTTAAAGTTAAACTAATTTAAACTAAATGTTTTGTCACTTTGATTCATGTAAGTTTAAATTATTTTTGAAGTTAATTTGATTAAACAACTTTTTTTTAAAGTGCATTTATGATAAATGAATGGCACAATAATGCAGATCAGGTTATCCAGGCCAAGGTTTTATACATTTGCCGTAGATTATAAATACATTATCACACAACTCATCCCCAGTTAAAAATGTGTTTTTTTAGTATGAAAATAAAGTGTTGAACAAGCAGGTTTATACTTATTATTGTCATTATTCTTACGTTTATATTATTATGGTAACACTTAGATTGTATTAGTTCATGCTGTTAGTAAATGTATTTACTAATATGAACAAACAATACATTTAGTGCAATATTTATTCTTTACTGTAAAAACGCTGGGTTCCACAAAATTCCCGACATAACATTGTTCCAACACAAATCTTTTAAGTTAACTCAATCGTCTTTAAAAGTGGACTAAATATAAAAAAATTAAGTTGTCTCTCCAAAAACCCAAAGAATTGTGTTGTTTAACTCATTTGAAACATTTCAACAAGCAGCAAAGGTGTGTTTTTAGTGTTGTTAATATTAATTAATGAAAATAAAATTGTTCATTGTTAGTTCTTGTTACTCACTAATTTGTTTTTTAATGCATTAGTAACTAGTTTTAAACTATTAATAAATACTTAAGTAATGTTCATTTTTAGTTCATCATGTTAGTAAATAAATGAACTAACATTAACTAATGAAACATTATTGTAAAGTGTGACCATTATTAATGTATCTAGATTATTTATCTGAGATTCTTTGCACCTCGTGCATACCCAGATATAATCACATTTTTTTCAGGACTTTTACATGTTGTGTTCTCCTGTAAAAATCCCACTCGGGTGAGGAATTGCATCTATTTTAATGCACTTAGCTGTTTAACAGTGCAGTGAGCTTCCAGTGTCAACACAGGAAAAGGACACATCTCTAAGTAATAGATATGTGATTTTAATTTACACATTCATGAGAGCTGGATGATTAAATTCTGCTTGTTATTATTATTATTTATTATAATTCAAAAGCTTATTATATCTAACATTCAACCTGCCAACCCAATTATGGAACAATAGGAATTTAATCGACATGCCTCTAATAAATGTAATATTATACAAATTAAATTAGCTTTTCATTTATGTGACGTGCATTTAAACTTACCCAATAAACGTAGACGTTCATAGATGCAATAATTTTATAATATTAGCACACTAATAATAGTATTGACTAATGTGTTGTTCACTTAATTATAATTAATATGAGCAGTACTTTTAATAAAATCAATGCAATATGAAATGAAATCTCGGCTCTGCTACTTTTGTTGATGAATCTCTGTTTCTAGTCTTTTCTTTTAGTTACTCGGTTTGTCCACAAGGTGGCGGGGCAGTAGAAATATTCCTAAACCACACAAGAGCCTGCTGAAATGTTCTGCGTAATATGCAAATGATGTCAGTTCACGCACAACTGTTTTACGCAGCGGATGCCCTTCCGGCCACAACCCAGCACTGGCAATCAATCTAATATTAAAAAGGCTTTATATCTGAACACACAAGAAAACAAGAGATATAGACAGCAACGTTTGTTTCTGCTCTGGTAGCTGTCTGCGGGTTTTTGTTCAATTCCCATCTGGGCAGCACACTTCAACAACACACAAGAAGTAATTTAGTAGGGATAGATGAGACAGTCTTTTGTGGGTGTCTTTTGTGGCTGTTTAAACGCATATGATCACATGAGTATTCAACTTCTAAAGCAATTCGGTCAAATGGATTATTTAATTCTCTGTGGGAATTTATAAAAGAGGACAAGCTCATAATGTTTCAGACCACATTTACCCGTGTTTAGCATCGTGGACTTCTGATGAGACACAAAAATGCATTCTAATACACTAAAAAAACTCTTAAGGTGAAGTTTATTTATAAACTAATTTCGGGAGGATCACGTGCTTATGATTGCTTGCATTATCCCACATTATTCAATTCATGATTCACCAATCAGATGATTCCTTAGCCACTATAAATACCCTAAGTTCCATATCACACCATCTTCATTTTGAAGAATTCCCCCTTCCACCCCTACCCC